CACTGAATGCCCCTCAGAGTGCCCGTAAAAAATGGTAAGAATACATCATGCTGAAGGGTAAAATGCCAAGGTTTAGTGGTAATAGGTTTTGTTGGTGTGTGTGCTTACAAGTGTGTGTGTGTATGGGTAGGGATTACGAAGATTTCGATTGCAACATGCTATCTGTTTGGATAATTTTCACTTGTGACGCCACCGCAATGATAGTAGAGATTCCCAAATGGCATTTTGATAACAGCTATGTTAAGGTTGGTGAATTTTATTTTAGCCAGATTTAGCAAGAGTTGTTATTTTCTTAACTGGTTGGTGGTTTGGAACATGTTTTATTTTCCCCAATAGTTGGGATGATGATCCAAGCTGGCTAATATTTTTCAGGGGGGTTGAAACCACCAATTAGTTAAAAATCTTTTGACATGTTTTCTATGAAGATCCGTAGGCAGAGCCATCAGGAGCCGATGACTCTCGGGTGCCATTGTCCAAACTACTCGCCGGGCACTTGGTCGGTGGATGTCGGTGAATTGGCATGTGCCAGGTGGTCATAAAGGACAAGCCATTTTTTGGATGGTTTTGGAGCACATTTGAGACTATATATATATATGTATATATATATATATATGCACACACATACACACAGATACACATTTTGGAACATGTTTGGAACCAGCTGGGCCAAGGAAATCCACGCTGGTAGGAACATTGGGGCACCAAACCACAGCAATTTTCTCGGGTTTAGTATTCAAAACCAAACATCGTATAATGTTTTATATATTCAAAGATGTTGCAACATATCTCTCAAGCATATTGACACTTTTTAAGAAAGCTATTGAAATCTGGTTGGTGGTTTGGAACATGAGTGTTACCCTCTGGTAAACTTTCACATAACCATGGAAAATCACCATGTTTAATGACTTTAATGGCTAAATCCACATAAATCCACTATTTCTATCTATTTCTATGGCCATTTTCAATAGCAAACTGTTAGTTTACCAGGCCGGGTTTTTTCCAACTGACGAGCATCAGTGGTCCCAATGCGATCCCTCAGTGGTCCAGGAGCAGTTGGCCAAAGAGTCCAAGCCCAGGCGCCGCGCAGAAAAAAAACATGGCTTCCTTTAAAGAAACTCGCAAGGACATAGAAAATACCATGAAAATACCATGAACTACTAAGATAAATCTAAGATAGTGGGAACTAGTTGTTCTATTTTTCGGGTGATTGCTCACTATACTTCCAGGATTAGGGCAAATCTGCACGAAAGCCAAATCAATTGGAGTCAAAAAGATGGTTACAACTGCAGTGGCTCAACCCAGGTTAGTTCACCCCAGTACTGGAGTTACTGGACATTGCGTTCTTTCCGTTCTTTAACCGTTCTTTCCGCAACACCCAGTTTCAACACCCAGTTTTTCATCCAGATTTTGCATATTTTTCCGTGGATTTACCCTCTGGTAATTTAACATAGCTATAGAAAATCACCATTTTTAATAGGTAAACCATCCATAAATGGGGTTTTCCATAGCTATGTTAGTTTACCAGAGGGTACAGATATATTTGGGACCGGCGCCGGTAACGAAGCACCCAAGAAATCCCCGGTCAGGGCGGCCTCCAACGCCTCCGCCTCCGCCTCCAACGACATCGTTCCAGTGGAGGTGGCGCTCGGCTCCGAGCCAGCGAGTGGATCGGGCGCCCAGAGGATAGGACACATCAACGCCTTAGGCGCCCAGTTGGTGGTTTTTGTTGATGGTTTACCGAACTGAAAAATGGGGGGATGTTCCATGATTTTCCATGGTTATGTGAAAGTTTACCGGAATTATATCCGGTTGGTGACTGGAACATGGCTGGATTATAACTTTCTATGTGTTGGGAACAATAATCCCATTTGACGAACTCATATTTTTCAGAGAGGTAGGTCAACCACCAACCAGTAGGGGTTTTGAGATTGTGTTTTTTTTTTCAATTCACCATTGTTAAAAGCTTGGGGGTTTATGATGGTTTATGATGGTTTATGATGGTTTATGATGGTTTATGATGGTTTCAATGATTGATATTGTTAATGTTGCGTCCCACAATTTTATGTATTCCATGAAATGTGCGATAAGTTGGTTTTATTGCCATTGTTAACCCACAATTTCGCGACACCCTGAGTTTACTTGGGGTGTAAGGATGTTACTCGCAATTTGCCGGTTTATTTTGGGGCAACGCCCCCAATTGACAAACAGAGCTGGTTAGACATTAATGAGATTATTATGGAGGTATTACGGGCAACATGTATGATACAATCATCAATAAATGGAAATATATGAGAGAATCACCTACAGTATGTACGGCCCCCAAGATAGGAAAGTTGGTTTATAACTACAACTCGTTTTTTTTTTTGGTGGGATGTATATGTTATACTTTATACCTATTAAAAAAATGATTGATTCATAAACCAGCTTGTAAGTGGAGGGCCACGAATTGCAGAATACACGGTATTTATATAACTTATTTGAACTAACTCAAGGATAATTTGATTAAGCACATGGAGACTTCCATGAAGGCGATGAAGGTACTGGTGTGGCAAATTTCATGATCGGCCTCCCAAAATCGAATGCTTTGAGGATCATCAAAGGGAACTGCTTCATAACATTTATATAGTAAGCCTATAGTTAGTAAGTACCCATTCAGTGGGATTATCCTTTCTATATATATATATATTATATACATATATATACACATTTTATTTATTTATTGACTTCACTATTTATTTTAATGGCTGAACTAACCCCACATAGCCGATAAAACCAGTTACGATTCCGATCCAAGTGGTACCCCCGTTATCATGACAAACCCAGGCGGACCACCTCAAACAACTCCAATTTCATTGTTAAAACAAGCGTTTTTTTTTGGTGAAATGACCAGAGTTACCTGTTTCTGTTTCTATTATCAATTATATGTCTTTAATGAATTAAATCCACATTAAAAGATATAACTTTAACTTCTTGATATCCAAATATGTTAATATATTTCATAGTTAAAAGATGATTTTTAATCCAAAAAAAGGTCTAACTCCATCCCCATCGATGGACTGGTTTTTCATCTCATAAGGTTGGGAATTCCCCGTTTGAAACGGATGTAAACATAGCTGAGACAAGGGGATGTATAAATGGTGTATTTTCCCCATGGTTGATGACCGGCGATGCAGAAAACCTACTAAAAACGTCCATGTAACTCCATAGGAATCCAGAAAGATTTCTGTAAAGTCAGACTAAATCCCACCCATTAAATCCCAGTAAGCCCCTATTAAATCACCATTAAATCGCACTAAATCCCAGTAAATCCCTATTAAAATCATGTGTTTCCCTCCAAAAATTTCATGAATTCCAAGGTGCGATCCGTGGGGAGCTTGGTGCGCTGCAACTGCTGGTCCCCGGTCCGTGCGGAGCTCGTAGACCTTCGAGGAGGAAGTGGTTGGTGATTCACAGGTTAATATATGGGACTTTCTAGGGATTTTATATGATTTTATAGGGGTCAATGGTGTTGTCATGGCGATAAATGGTGGATAATGGTGGTTCATGGTTTTGTGTAAGGTGATTTTGTACTTTCGCAATGAGAAACGCACCAGAAATCGGGAATCCTTTTGTGTTTTTTTTTTTGTTGAGGGGGGGCCTTAAACAAATCCGAGTTCTAGCCCCAGTATGCCCCAATCAGTAGTGTAAGTGATGAAGTGGGGTTAGTCCATTTATAACTGGGATGAACTACAGCCCACACTAACTGACTAACTGCGGGGTGAACCACCAGTCGGAACCCAAAAAAGATGCAGAACAGCTTACAATATAACCTGGACCTGGAACGTATGGTCACAACATCATGGTGGAAATGCCTTTCGGCATCTTTGTAAGGGAGTTACTATGGAGTAACTTCATTTATAAATTTATATTATATAGTTATAGACGTGTATGTAACAGTAAGTGGGTTAGTTTCCCTTACTAAAAAAATGATAAGGAGATAACTAACCAGTTCTTACAAATGAGTCGACAATGTAGGGCCTCCCAATGATGTTTGTTGGTTTGTAAACCCCATGAATAATTGCTATACTTGTAGTTGTGAGTATCATAAATCATAAAGCCTCGTTATTGGAGTTATGTTCACCAACTTAGCCCATGAATATACTTTTTTTTTGCGATAAGTGCTGGTTACCTCCATCTACAAACTCCATCACCGGGAGAGCATAGACCCAGAGAATTTTCAGAGTGTTGGGCTGAGGGTGACAGCAAAAACATGGATTTCACCAGAACAAGTACTGGTAAATAGTGTTAACTGGAATATGTGTACATGTATAATATGGAACAAGCATGGGTATGTCAATGCAGAGCCAGTGGCCTAGTGATGGAAACTCTGGCTCACTTTTGGATCTATTCATTTTGGGGGGTTCCCTATTGTGGTATTTACCATGCCCCTATGTAGAGCCGGGTTGGAAGACGAGTTTCCTCTGCGGATGGTAGAAACAGGTGCCACCTAGCTATATGTGATTTTAAACCCCATCCAACTGTAGATATATGTCTTTGAAACCCTATTTTTGTACTTATGATATGGATGGATGGATGGATGGATGGGTGGATGGATGGATGAACTAACTTAACCTAGCTAACGACCTGGAGTAATCTTGTTGTGATTACATGTGATTTACCAACCATCAATTCTTGGCCGCAGCCGTCATTTGTAGACCTCAAAAAAAGTTGTGTTTTATGTGGAATGCAGCAGCAGAGAAGCAAACCTCGGCCTTGAAATATGGTTGAAATCTACACTATGTCTTTACATTGCTGACACGCACATGCACACACAGATGTATAACGATATATATATATAATTATATATATGTATATACATATTTATCTGTGTGTGTACAGATAGAGATGGATGTTTGGCACCTAGCCAGCAAGTTCAGGTTAGCACTCGCAGCAAAACAGGGAAGGAGAGCGAGGCTGCGAAGCCAGCGAAACCCGCAAGGTCGGCGAAGCTGCACACTGCCATGGAGTACCGCTGGCGCAGCTTGCTGGTGGAGCTTACCCAGGTGCGGATTTGTTTCGCTGATGACTGGTTCAATCCCGATATATACTTAAAACCATTTAAGGGTGAATTTGAGCAACTCCAAAACCAGCTGGTTAAGATGTGGATGTTTTTTGGAATTTAACAATGGCAATGTTGGATTTGAGGTGGTCAAACCCAAATAAAAACAAAATCTTATTCTGGCGATGGTATTATGTAGTAGTTAGCAATGGGGCACATATCCAAGTAAAGCCCTTGGATCAACATTTTGTGGGGCAGCCGCATGGACTGCTCTTTGAATACCTCCTTTGACAAGCCTACCATTTTCTACCCGCTATGGAACAGGATTTCAGAGAAAACTATCAGTAAATAGTGTGGCAACCCTTGGGGGGTTGCTCTCAAACCAATCCAATCAAGGTAAACCCGCAGAATCTCAGCAATTTTGATACCGTTTCCGGATATATATTGTATATTTATATATATACTCAATAATTATGTGTATATAATATAAATATATAATTATATATGTGTATAGTATATACTTTGGTTTTTGGGATGTAACATTTAGATGCAAGTCCATCATCATCCCAAACATCGCTGGTTATTTTGCTGAAACACCGAAACTGTCCCACCTTTGGGAAAATGGATCTGTAGGTATCAAATACACAGGTTTCCTATGATATTTGTGGCTTAGATCCTCAAATCCACATGTTGCCTTATAAAAATCAGAGCCTTTATCCTCAATTTATCAACCCATGTTCTTGGCACCCTAAATTCCCCCAGTTAGATCCGAATTGATCCCAATGGCATCAATGAAAATCGTGCAAAAAAAATGCAAAAATCACATGGTTTTCCTTCCAACAGGAGCTGGAGCGCCAATCCTTGGAACTGCAGCAGCTCAAAGTGGGCTCCAGGAACTCCTCCAAGGCACGACACGGTCACGTGTTGCGGCCATAGGTTGTACCCAACCTCGAACTTTCTATGGCTATGTTCAATAGTGAGCTGTGAAATTACCAGAGGGTATTTCCAAAGTGTCCAAACGGACTCTGGAAGTGAGTCAGTATGCCCAATTGCAAGAATTTGGGCCAATCACCATAGAAGGTGAAATGCTCGATGTTTTGTTTATATATAGAAGGTGGGGCCCCCCAAAAAAAGTTCATCCTTTCCTCTCAATATTTTTAGGCCCCATTCTGTGGTCCCAATGATGTGGAAATCACCTGCTGTTACTAAACCATGGTTCTGTGAGGTTGTTTAATATTAGGGGAAAGGGATCAGCTAAGATCTGGAACATAACTAACATAACTACAATTTCACCGTTGGCTTTAATGGTAGATTGATATATTTTTCACTAGTTACTATGGCGTTTTTGCACTCAGCTGGTGGTGAATGGAGGGAGCTACAGTTATGGCCCCTTACCAATTACGATTATAAATGGGATGAAGTAACTAAGTAACTCCTGCGACTGGTTGGTCATGTACTGTATCACTTGAATGAGGTTAGAGGCAAATAATTGCAAATGTTAAGGGCTGAAACTGTAGGGAGCTACGGGTATCCACATTCCCTTTTAAATGGGTAGCCAGTTGGAGCTACGCACTGAGTTTCCAGACCACATGATAGTTTATCATATATGGTGATCCACAGTATTATGACTATGGTGATATTTTTATACGCGGACATCATGGGTAATATGTGGGATGAACGTTTCTCACCTTGGCTGTTGATCATGGGGCTTTTCTGCCATTTTAGATACTTTTAGTAGCACATTGTGATAGATAATTCTCACGCTTTGGGAACCCACAATTTTCAATCAACCGGGATTTCATTTCGGGGGTATTGAAGCCTGGAAAATGCAGGGGTGGCGGGGCCCAGCGAAATGCCTTCCTGCCAACTAAGATAACCATGGACGCCATGGACCATTTATAGATGATGTAAAATGGTGATTTTCCATAGCTAGGTTAGTTTACATAGTATTTTCTGATTTTCTGATCTTCCTTCCTCTTTCCTTTGCCTTTCCTTTTCCTCTTTTTTCCTTTTTTTTTCTGTCATTGTTTTCACTTCATTTCCTTTTCCTTTCCTCTTCTTTTCCTCTTCCACTCTTATTCCGTTCCTCTTCCTGTGCTTTTCCTCTCTTCTTCTTTTTTCAATTCCGCTCTTCTCTCCTCTCTTGCGTTCCTCACGCAGAAGCACCCCAGCTCTGCTCATACTGGAAGACTCTTTGGCCTTTGTCAATCTCACTTCGTCAGTGAGCGAAGAGTGGTGGGACAGTGTGTAAAGTAGAGATCGGTGGCTTCAGCACCTGTTATGAGTCAACTGACTCTCGCACATGCAAAAGATGGACAACGAACAAATAGAGACAGACCGTCAATGACCGTTACATAGATTATGGCTATGGTAACATACCTGTTGGTGGTTGCCATCTAAGCCTGGAGCAATTTGATCTTTTCACCAGGACCGAAGCCGTCGCCACGTCAGTGAAGTGTGATGTCAATGTGTAGTCATCCTGGAGAAGATAGAACATGGATATTTTTTCAATCCCTCACAATCATTTGAATATGTTTTAACACGATCGAACGGTTATATTCAAACCATCTTCAAGGTGATCGTATCTTTGGGATAATCACATGTTACCCTGGGGCAAACTAACATGGATGTGGAAAATCAACATGTTCATAGGTAATTCATCCATAAATGTACCATTTTAATCCAATTTTTTTCACATCTATCTTAGTTTACATGGTTGTACCCCCAAATCATCCAGTCGTCATGGATGACCATGACTTAGTATAGCTTAACCATGCTTAACCCATGGTGACTACCTGGGATCCCGCAGGACCTGTCGCAGGAACTGGGACCTCCTCCTCCATTACTTCCAGCTCCACGGGCACCCGAAGCCGTCGTCGACAAGGACCGCGCCGGAGCGCCGGAGCGCGGTGATGTCGCTAAGGCCATGAACAAAATACCAGGCGTTTTGTTCAAATTCTCATATAATTAATCAACAATAAATTGGCTAGTATAAATCCCCCTGACCTCCGCTTATTTAACATAGCCATGGGAAATGACCCATGAAAATAGATGGTTTACCGAACTTAATAGCATGGTGATTTCCCATGGCTATAAATAACCAGATGGTAGGCATAATTTATGGCATAATGATAGCCCATGGATGCCTATGAATTGGGGATTTTGGTATGAGGGCGCCCATGGCCCATGATAGCCCGTTTTGTAGGGAGGAAACCCATTAATTAACCAAAAAGATAGAATATCCAACTAGGGGTGATGGGTGATTTTTTAGTGGCTCATGTGTGCTAGGGTCAAAAGATTGTTTTTACCCATAAAAACAATGGCCATGTCAGCGACCTAAAATATACTGTAGGTACTGAGTACTGAGCCATATGTTTAGCCATAGGGCTTGTGGCTATATCTAGCCATAGACCTTGTATATCTGGTTGGTGTTTGGAACATTTTTCCACAATATTATATTGGGATAATCCTTCCCATTGACTTTCATATCTTTCAAGATGGTTAAAACCATCAACCAGATATGGTAGATACCTCCGATAATGGCGGGAATGGTCATCAATCATCATCAATCCATTGGGACTTGATTCAAGCATGGAGTTTTCTCGATGTTATGTCACATCGATGTTATGTTGGTTTTTTTAGACGCAACATCCATTGGGATCAAAACAAACATGAGGTTTAGCCAGCACATACTGAGGATGTACATAACCCAACAAATATGTGGCTTTAACGATTTTTTACCAACACAGAAGGGGAATGAGCCAGCAGGAATGGGGATCATGGGAGGTTAACCCAGACCATCGTTTCTGCCAGTACCATGCTGCTACATCTATCTGACAAATAAAAATGATAAACTGAGCGTCAATGTCACCTACTATCAGTGGACTATTTAATATATATGAAGATTTTCTTCGAGGGTCCTTACCAACAACAGATCGTCGCGGCAAAAGCTCTGAGTGGCAAGGCCGAACTTTAAGCAGGTGATACTGTACGCAGTATGTTAGTGGCATGTTTTTGCCAGTAAATCGGAACATTGACTAACTAGCTGTTTCTTCACAAATCATACAATCATGATATATATATATATATATGTGTGTGTATGCATATATATGTATATAACCTAGTTATATATATATATATATATCTACATGTTGTGGGATAATGTCTATACTATAGTATATAACATCGTTTTACCACTGCATGTATAGTATACCAGTTGTTCTCCTGTTGTATATGCCAGGACCAACAGCTGAAGCAATTGCCCCTTGGCGCCAAGATACCCCCCGTGACTCCCGAGAGAGATCAGGGCTGAATAAAACCATCGCCGTCAGATCTGACTTTGGTCGCAGTTTTTGCTTGGCCAAATCCACATGGATTCTGAAATATCCACCAATGTTTGATCCGTTTTTCCGTTTTTCATGGGTATTGATCTCAATTTTGGATGGTTAAACACCAAATTGTTGGTTAAACACCCTCTCTTTATGGTTCCCCAGGGTGGACGCTTCGTGGTCCCTGTCGCTTCAACCCCACGGCGGCGCCGTCTCGAAGACTTCCAGCACCACGCACAGCGCAGGGCACAGCAAGGCGGTGAGCGGCAGCAAGGACAGAGTTGCATGAAAAAAATGCCTTGGTTGATTGGTTAAGAACTAGGGATTTGGCTATTTAACATAGCCATGGAAAATCACCATGCTATTAAGTTCGGTAAACCACCTATTTTCATGGGCCATTTTCCATGGCTATTGTTAAATAACCAGATGGTAGGGATTTATACCAGCCAATTTATTGGTGATTAATTATATGGGAATTTGAACAAAACACCTTGGTTGATTGGTTATTATCGCAGCTGGATCCATGTTTGGTAATCTCTTATGATATGGGTGTGTTTTTGAACACGGCGGATGCCCAAAAATGATACCTTTCAACGGGGAAAATAAAAATAAAGTATCCACATCCAATTTGGAGGTGTCCTATTTTCAGATAAACACATATCTTTAGGGTATGTACTGTATATATCTAAAGTATCTTAAATTGAACAGAATGTAAAAATTGAAATCCCAGCTTTTGGAGTGTTTTGGGTTGAACTTGAACCAAGTAACGGTGATTGAACTGTGATTAAAACGAACATATATTGGGGTTCAAGGAGGATACACATGGAGTTTGTAGTCAAATGATGGTCCTGCGCCGGGGAAAAACTGGCGAGCTTGAGACAGGACACGACCCAGAGTGAATCAGTGTAACTTGGTCGCAAGGTTCATCAAGGTTCCGGGGGCTTAGCAATGCCCCCAGTGATGTAAGTTGGTTCAAAAACACCCAATGAAAACTATAGTTACACGTATCACGGTTGCCATGGTTATTGGAGTCATGTTTGCCAAGTTAGCTCTCATAAATCAGCTATAAATCCCATGGCAAATCTGTTTGATGCTCATGTGTTTTCATATAATATAATAATAATAATAATATATATATATGGGATGCGTACAACCCAAGCCATGAACGATAGTGGTTATAATATTATAAGTTGGCTTATTTTCACCCCAGTGGTTTATTGGAGTTACCCTCTGGTAAACTAACATAGCAATGGAAAGATCCACCCATTTTTCATGGGAAAACTCACTATTTCAATGGCCATTTTCAATAGCTATTTTGACATAACCAGAGGATATATCCCATTAAATCCCATGGAAAATCCCATCAAACCACCATTTTCCTATGGTTTTCACGATAAAATCCCATTAAATCCCATTAAATCCCATTAAACCACCATTTTCCTATGGTTTTCCTATGGTTTTCACCAACTTCGCTTCCTATCCACGGCTCCAGGCTGAACAGTTGGCTTGGAGCACGACGTGTCACCGCGCCGGAGATCTCCGCATCTCGGGCCGGAAATCTTTGGTTTTTGATCGCGGAGGAGGCGATGGTCACCATCAAAATCGTGGGTAAACAATGGGAAAACCATAGGAAAATGGTGGTTTAATGGGATTTTCCATAGGATTTAATGGGATATATCCTCTGGTTATTCAACATAGCCATGGGAAATGACCCATGAAAATAGACGGTTTACCTATTAAAAATTGTGATTTTCCATGGCTATGTTAAATAACCAGAGGGTAGACAAATCACCGTTTGCCATAGGAAAATCACAATCTGATAAAAAAAAACATGTTTTTATCATCTACAAATGGGCCATGGTTACCATAATTAAGTAACCAAAGGGTGATATCGGTGCATGTTTGAGAGCATCTTAACTCGATGGGGCTACTTGAAATGAACATCAGCTGAAGATTAACTCCAAGCGGTTCTCATTGATACTTCACACACGGCCCTGGGGAGATGCCATGGGCGTTTTTTGTGGACCTTCACTGGTGAAGCGTTTCAAGGTCCATGTCGGACTTTAATGGGATTACTGCCATTTAAGGGAGATACCTGTACCCTCCAAGTTCCCATGAAAATCATGAGAATGTGTAAAAGTCCCAAAACAACGGGTATATTATATGCGACATTTTTCCAGATACTTTAAGGGTCTAGGAATAATCATAATCATGGAGGTATCATTGGGATACAATGGAGATATGAAGGGAGCTGTGAAAGGGGCTATGGATGATTATGGATGTATCCCTTTTTCTTACATGTATGCGGATATAATTAACAATTTGATACAAGTGATGGTGAAACAAATCACTTTGATCAGTTACTTTACAGGGATTTAAGTTGATGTTGACCTAAGCATCTATTGCGGTGGCGGCTAATCATTGAACACGTAAGGATACGGAGGGATATGATATAATCCAGACATGATGGTGGGTTGATTACTATGACCCCCAACATTGTGCAAATAATTCCAGATGCAGCAACTTTGGGCAAATCACATTTTTTTGCAACTGAAGCGATGACAATTTCCCAGGTTATGGTGCTGACTGCTGATAGCACCATGACTGGTATGGGTTGATTGCATGATATTCCCCTCCAAGTCCTAAAGCCGTACTACATGGAAAAGTGGCACTTTATGGCAACTTGTTTTTTTGTCTCTAGACTTCCAGGGTTCTATACCCCATGTAATATATATGTAATATATCCACAATTATCCCTCGCATCCATGTTTTTTGCTGGTCAAAATCGCTAACCTCGGCATCGCTGAGATCTTGAGATTGGCAGCCAGAACTAAAGACACACAGGCGCGTTCAGGCTTCATGATAGATGTATGTATGTGCGTGGTCACCATTTGGGGTAATATATATATATATATATATACATACATATGTATTGTATCTATAGCATGGGTATAATATTCATAATATAGAACACGAATGGAGAGAGAGGGGGAGAGAGAGAGAGAGAGATATATATATATATATCATAGCAATGCTGAAAAAGATTGAATAAGTCACGTTTCTTTCTTTTGGAGGTCGCTATGCCCATCTTGGTGGCTGTTTTTTTAACATGTCAGCCAGTATGGGAATCCTGGTCGGAATTGGATGATGGGAAGTCCGCAAAGCTCAAAATAAAACTATTGGTATATCTCATGGTATATTTGCTGGTTCAATCAACTTAAATCATATGACAATGCATTAAATGCTCATATTTGCTGGTGAAATCCCCCATTTTTCCAATGGTTGGGGATGACTGGAGCTGACCAGTAGGACCTGGGACCAATCGCCAGGATATGACCTTTTCGGAACAACCTGGGTGGGGCGTCCCAGCAAGGGCGCAAACATCATTTAACTAATATATATATATATATATAGTGTATATCTATAATGTAACATACATACATACATACATACATACATACATACATACATACATACATATATATATATATATGGTCCATATATAATATATACATAATATATACATATAATATGTATAATATGCATGAATATATGTACATATATGTTTTATTTATCTATATTATATATATATACATATTATAACATATAGTGTGCATATATCACTTGTGTACATATATTACTTGAATATATTGCGAGAGAGAGAGAGAGAGAGACATATATCTGACGACGGTTGAAACATGTTCATGTTGAAACCTAAAAAGGTAAACCCTCAGATGTTCCAACCGATTTCCCGCAAGAAAACAATTATTGAACTTGAGACCAAAAGGGGCTCTCAGCCAGATTCGTGGTCATGCAATGGTAATTTCGCTCCGACGCCCCGTTTTTTTAAAAAGATTGCAAGCACCAATCCATTTGAAGGTCGATAAATGCAGGTCTTTGTCCCCATTTGCCATTCATGCCATGGATTTCCAACCCCTGATTGAGATACCAGTGCTATCCAGCAATAAATGGAGGCCCCTTTCAATGCCATAAAAAGAGGATATCTGGCATTGACCTGCCTTGCATAGACCCTTCATATGTATTAATACTAACATGTGAGGCAGAATGACCTCCATCGCGAGGGAACTGAAATGGCACTTCCAGTCACTTCCATTATGTTTGGTGCTTTATTCATAGAATTATTATACATGTATATATATATACATACATATATATATATATACATATGCATATATATATACATACATATACATATATACATATATATATACATACATATTTATTCATTGTTTTATTCCATGTGTCCAGATGTATCTGAGGTTTACCGTCATGCGAGCCCAGAAGACCCGAAAGTTTGTGCATCAGAAGTGCCTGGGGCGTCGCATTTCTTGAAAGTTCTGGCTTGGAGGAACTAAATGAGCAAAATACAATTTAACGTACAACCGGAGGTTTTAGTTTGAAAAATCATTATCGATAAATATGGGTATTGTGTTGACATGTTTGATGAACGATAATGTGAAGTTGAATATGGATACCTCAACAATCTTAACAGACCTGGCTCCGGATTCATTGCTAGGTGCGGAACCATCTAATGGTATTACAAGAAGAACTCTGGTTTCATGACATGCATGCTGAGAAACACCTTAATAACCTTAATTTTCCCTAATTAATTAGAAGCATCATGGAGCACCCAGTTTGGAAACTCCGCACTCAACGCTTTACACTCTACACTTTACACTTTCCACTTTACACTCCACACTCTACACTTTACACTTCACACTTTCAACTTCACACTCCACATTCCACACTTTTACTCAAGTTTACAATTGACACTTTACACTCCACACTTTGCACTTTACCCTTTGCCCTTCACACTCTAAGCTTTACACTCCACACTCTACACTTTACACTTTACACTCCACATTTTTCACTTAACACAGTACACTCCGCACTCTACACTTTACACTACCCTTTTCGCTTTGCACCTTTCACTTTACACTCCGCACTCTACACTTTAAACTCCACACTCTACACTTTATACTCTACACTCCGCACTCTATACTTTTCCACTCAACATTTTACACTTTACACTCCACACTTTACACTTTGCACTTCAACACTCCGCACTCTACACTTTACCCTTCACACTTTACACTTCACACTTTACACTCCACACTCTACGCTTTACACTCCACACTCCACAATCCGCACTTCACACTCTACACACTACATTTCCCCCTCAATACTCCACTATTTTCACACTCCACACTTTGCACCCCACCCCGTTCCATACTCCACAGTCTAGACTGGTACCATAACAGGGGAATAATACATACTGTAAGACTGTTGAAATGACTTGTTTCACAAAAGTGTTTTACATGACTGCATTCGGGTTCGTTGGTTGGTTTTTTCTTTAAATGGGACATATGTTAACTTAACGTTAACCGACTGACATTTATATACTTGTGGTACTTTCCAGTTTGCACCTTTGTTTTTGTAATTACTTTTCAGCTACATAAGATTTAAGAATCTAATTGCCAAAATTGATGATGCATTTTTGTTTATCTTTTTTTTAAAGCTATTCTTCCAAACCACCCATCCAGACATGAAATCCGCAGAGAAGATTGGAGATCTTCAGGCGAACTCCGCATCCCGGAGTCACTTGCCCAGTGAGGCCTTGGTACGTCATCAACCCAGATACCAGCCTATGGGCAAATGTTTGGCAGGTTCCGGTCGGGGTGGGGTTGGTGAACATGTACTGTAATCTCTATCACTCTAGATATCATATAATATAATATATATAATATAATATATATAATATATATATATAATATAATATATATATAATATATATATATATAATATATATAGTATATATATATATACCTGCATCCTCAAAGTGGTTCCCTTTTTTGGCCTCTTTCTGAAAAGGCGCCTTTGGAAAATCAGAGGCAAATCTTAATGGGTAGAGGCATTTCTTTGCTTTCAACGATTTTCACCCATCAAATTACCCAAACTAGTTTCTGCTGAAAGAAATGTCTATAACTAAAGAGGTTCATTGTTTTGCTCCTCAAGCAGAAAAATATTTACCATCCAATACGTTATTTCATGAAAAAAAGGTTTCAACATATCCTGCAGTGTTTTTTTCAAAGTGGCTCATCAAGAATTTATTTTCTTGTCGACCGCGGAAACAACGCCAATAAATTGTCGCCAAGTTTCACTTCATGAAATCGCAGTAATTTGGCAGTAAAAAGCCCATGCAATTATCTTGTTTAATTTTCCACAGGTTGACTAGCAGTCATATCGGATATCGGTTTTGTGTTGGTAAGAAAGCTGAATTTAATGTATTTTAATCTCTGCGGAGCAGCAGCATCTCGTTTCAGAACGTCCCAAAAAAGCACACTATGATATATGATGATATATTTGGCATCAACACCTGGTTAATCATACACGTTCATAAGTATTCAAGGTTAAAAGGAGACTTCTTTGTCATAGAGGACACTTCATATCAATAGTTCATACAATATGTTTTGGTCAAAAAAGGAGGTGAATTGAATCGGGAATTTATGAGTGAAACAGTTCATATATTTTGTTTGTCAAACAAACGTTGCATCAGGATGTGTCATAATAATATCAAAAACAATTCACATGAGTTTTTTTTTTGGCGTGCAGGAAGTAAATCAGTAAATTACATTTTATATTATACGCTTATATACAGCAAAATCAGGACTTTGCATATTGAAGTTCATCTAGGGTTTTTGTCACAAGAAGGGAAATCAGGACTCTACATACCAAAAGCCCACGTGAGTTTTTTGTCATACATGGGGTAGAGCTGGAGTTTGCGTATCAAAAGTTCTGATGAGTTTAATATCATACAGCAGGTGAATGTCAAAGCTTCATGATGTGGGTTTCCTTGGAATTTCATGATTTGGGTTTTCTGGAATTTCATGATGTGAGTTTCCTGGAATTTCATGATGTGGGTTTCTGGAATTTCATGATGTGGGTTTTTTGGAATTTCATGATGTGGGTTTCATGGAATTTCATGATGTGGGTTTCCTGGAATTTCATGATGTGGGTTTCTTGGAATTTCATGATGTGGGTTTCCTGGAATTTCATGATGTGGGTTTCTTGGAATTTCATGATGTGGGTTTTTTGGAATTTCATGATGTGGGTTTCATGGAATTTCATGATGTGGGTTTCCTGGAATTTCATGATGTGGGTTTCTTGGAATTTCATGATGTGGGTTTCCTGGAATTTCATGATGTGGATTTCCTGGAATTTCATGATGTGGGTTTCCTGGAATTTCATGATGTGGGTTTCCCGGAGTTTCATGATGTGGGTTTCTTGAAATTTCATGATGTGGGTTTCCTGGAATTTCATGATGTGGGTTTCATGGAATTTCATGATGTGGGTTTCCTGGAATTTCATGATGTGGGTTTCTTGGAATTTCATGATGTGGGTTTCTTGGAATTTCATGATGTGGGTTTCTTGGAATTTCATGATGTGGGCTTCTAGGAATTTCATGATGTGGGTTTTCTGGAATTTCATGATGTGGGTTTCATGGAATTTCATGATGTGGGTTTCCTGGAATTTCATGATGTGGGTTTCCTGGAATTTCATGATGTGGGTTTCCTGGAATTTCATGATGTGGGTTTCTTGGAATTTCATGATGTGGGTTTCCTGGAATTTCATGATGTGGATTTCCTGGAATTTCATGATGTGGGTTTCCTGGAATTTCATGATGTGGGTTTCCTGGAATTTCATGATGTGGGTTTCTTGAAATTTCATGATGTGGGTTTCCTTGGAATTTCATGATTTGGGTTTTCTGGAATTTCATGATGTGAGTTTCCTGGAATTTCATGATGTGGGTTTCTTGGAATTTCATGATGTGGGTTTTTTGGAATTTCATGATGTGGGTTTCATGGAATTTCATGATGTGGGTTTCCTGGAATTTCATGATGTGGGTTTCTTGGAATTTCATGATGTGGGTTTCCTGGAATTTCATGATGTGGGTTTCTTGGAATTTCATGATTTGGGTTTCCTGGAATTTCATGATGTGGGTTTCCTGGAATTTCATGATGCGGGTTTCCTGGAATTTCATGATGTGGGTTTCCTGGAATTTCATGATGTGGTTTTCCTGGAATTTCATGATGTGGGTCTCTTGGAATTTCATGATGTGGGTCTCTTGGAATTTCATGATGTGGGCTTCCTGGAGTTTCATGATGTGTGGGTTTCCTTGGAATTTCATGATGTGGGTTTGCTGGAATTTCATGATGTCAGGTTTCGTGGAGTTTCATGATGTGGGTTTCCTGGAATTTCATGATTTTTCATGACGTGGAATTTCATGATGTGGGAGTTAAAATGTGATGATTTGGGAAAAACCAAAAGAATTAGAGGCGGAACTTGCCGGGTACGAGGCGGAATCTTCCAGGAAAGAGGCGGAATTACCAGGTCACTGATTTTTGGGTAGGCCCATTTCATGAAATGTGGGGTTCATAGGTCATCTCACATCATATCACAAAATGGACATGAACACAACCATTGCTGAACTTTCGCTTTTCACTCTCCAAGGGCCAGCCTCGATACAGCTTGATTTTCTGTAGATGTCTCGCGCTCTTCACTCTGGGGTGTTTTCAAGTAAAACCCTAGTCGCGGTATATCAACTTCATCTGAGTTCTAGACAAAAATTTTGCCACCTTAGGCTCCGTGTCTAGCAGTGTCATTCTGGTTGCCCATCCATAGATATGGCTGAAATGTGGGTCAAGAATCTACCCATGTTGTTCAATCATACCATTCCATCCCAAATATGGGTCAATGCTTTTGAGCCAAACCCACATTGCCAGTGTTGCAGCCAGTGCCATTTATGAAAAAATCATGATGATGATATCACAACCCTACATACATCAATATAACTAGACTAAAAATGCGCTGATCGGTGTGATGTTGGCCAAAATGTGCTTAGATAACTAGACTTTAAAACAAACATATCTATATGTATAATTATATGCATATCTAATCTGAGCTCAATTTAAAGGAGTTGATAAGTTGATTTTGGAGAAATACTGTTCGCACTTTAGACCAAAACATCACGATACATTCAAATACAAAATGTTTTTCAGCCCAAAATGTCACGCCAAACTCAGAAACGAATGCCCAAAATATATGTTGATTATTGTTGTTTTGTATATTCAATCTTGCTGAAACTATGTGCATACTGTTTTGCCCAAAACTTGTTTTATTCGCTAACAGGGAAACTGTTTGGTTCGTTATCGCTAACGGGGGACCTGTTTGGTTTGCTATCGCTAACGTGGGGACCTGTTTGGTTCGCTATCGCTAACGGGGGGAGCTGTTTGGTTCGCTATCGCTAACGAGGGGAACTGTTTGGTTCGTTATCGCTAGCGTTAGCGCATCTTTAGTAACTTTAGTACTGTTTTGTTGAACTCGAACCACCATTTTAATGAAGTTGGTGTTGTATGGGGTTGCAAATTTCGCTTTCTCTTACAGACGTCGCTAGCGAGAGGGACAGCTTTAAGGGAAAATCCATTTCGCTGGAACTGGGGAAAACATGAGTTTTCATGTTTTTTCGCAAACAAAGCCTTGTGAAATCAAAAAAAACAACTCTCCTGTGAAATGAACATCCCCATAGACACGTCACTAGCGTTGGTGACAGCTGTAAGGGGTTGCAAATTTCGCTTTCTGTTACAACACTATCTTCATTAAATTTGAGTTCCCAAAAAATGTGATTATGTGTTTTCTTGAACTTTTCATGAACGAATTTCACCCCGCCGCCAACCCATTTTTTTTAGCTCACTGTTTTGGCTAGTATTGTTTTCTGCCTTGATATGGCTTGATTATAAGACTATGATGGTGGTAACATGTCAGAAACAGTTTAAACATGCAAACATGATGGTGGCGACATTTTGTCCTATATACTTTTAACATTTCTGTAACTGAAAAACTGATGGTGGCAACAGTGCTTCACCATTTGAATAAAAAACAAATTGAATTATTTATATATATATAAACATATAAGATCATGATGGCAACCGTATTTCGTCATCGATATTTGGAATTGTTTTATTCTGGCTACATTTTTTTTTTTAGATTTCACTTTTTCACCTTCCCTAAAAAGACTTCAGTATTGCAAATATGTAAATAAAATAATATATACATATATATATATATGTTTTGGGGTGATGTTCCATGTGGGTTCGGGCCAAATCTGATAGCGCAAACCTGATCCAAAAAAAGTATGAACTTAGGCACAGTTATCGCTTTGGATTTTGCTGCACATGTGCAATGTGAACCCAAATGAATACACATAACATGACGCGTCGCGTAATCTTTGTCTTGCGCTAACTAGCTGGTATCTGTTGAATGGCTCTTAGACACTGGCAGTTCTTTTGGCCTTCATGATTTAGTATATGTTGGTCGAGTGTGCGGTCTTTGTGAGGGTCAGGTTCTTCTAGGTCAGCAAATGTCATTTCCAAGATGCTCACAAATGGGCGCTGGCCTGTTTATAGACAATTTTGGGCATCGCTTGGAGTATTGCTGAGGGCATCCAAAACTGGTTCTGAAGTTTCGAGTTCTGAAGTTTCGAAAAGCGATGCTTTAAATGATGTTCACAACATGCAAAAGGTGTTGCATGAGATTGTTCATGTTGTGGTTCAAGTTTTGATCATAATATAGATAGACGGGGCTGTCGTCTTGCCGTATTCTACAAACAAAATACGGACTTTCCCCAATACGTGATAAACTTATCACCATTTCAGGTTTTGACCCTAACTCACTTGTATAATGCCTCTTTGACTTGAAGGGCAAACCAAGAAGCGGCAGAGGCATTTTTTCAAATCAGAGGCGTTTTCCAGAATTAGAGGCAATCATTTTTGCCTCTGTGATTAGAGGCGGAAAAAGGGAACACCTGGAAGATCCTGGTACTGTATATATATATGGGATTAGCGAATCAAAGATATAGAATGATATAGATCAAATGACAACTGAGCATCTTACGTTGAATAATCCCATTCCTCCAATATTAAAGGCTTCCCCGCACTGAACTTTGGTTTGATGTTGGATCTATTGGTGACTTAGGATCCCAAGCCAATGGAAAAAAATCTTGCAGAAGCCGACTGTTTTGCCGGCACATGGTAGATCTGTTTGGAAATGTATATACACTATGATCAGCATATAAATAATTATATGCAGAGAGAGAGAGAGTTATATAGGTGTATATGTTTATAGTTATATATGCATACACGATTATATATATATATAGTAACCAACATTTTTTGTAATATATACTTATATACTAATTTAGTTTTGTTTCGCTTTGGCCTTTCTGAGGTTGCACAAGACCTTCATAATTCATAGCGGACGACCCTATCCCGATACCCCATTTGCGATACGTCCGGGAGTACTGAAATCCTCACAACCGATAGGGGACGACCCTAATTTGTGCATGGCATTAAAATTTAACACCAATTTTGTTTGCTATTCGATATGTACATAATACCACCCTTGTTTGCAGTTGAAATACGGAAATCAACTCAATTGTCTTGTTCCCAGGCAATTCGAGTGGATTGGGGAGAGATGAGGAGAGATTGGGTTTAGAGTAACTAAACCCTCTACTCGAAAAGTGTGGTGATATATACGAATATATATATATATATATACGAATATACCCATTTTGACGGACTCTGAACCATTCTGACGCGGGACTTGGAGCTTCTGCCAGTAGATCTTCCGCCTTGCCGCAGGGTGTGGTAGCTGCTGCATTGATGTTCGTAGCCTTCGTCACACCAGTGCAGGCGCCAAACTTGATGCCTTAAGGACAACAGCAGATGTTCAGCTAACCGGTTCAAGTCACAAAAGCATGTGAAGTGTGGTGAGGTGGTTGCTGTTTTCAGATATTGCTTTAAATTGGACGATCCTAATTGATCTTCACGTTTGATAATTTTGAGATGCCTCGCTCAAGATTGAAACCTGGTGGATTTGCGATACATACTCAGTTTTGCCCCCTGTTTGGTTGTTATCGAAAGCCAGGGTTGTTTGACAGTTGTTATTCATAGATCAGCTCCATGGCTGGAACATGCACCAGCTATAGTTCAAGAATGTTCACATTAAAAAAAAAACTCCAACGTACCAATGGCCATTTCAGGTACCTAAACTGGGGCTACTGTAATATGAGATTATATGTTTGCCCTCGTTTTGAGGGCAAAATTGCAGGGAAGAAGATCCCTAGAAGTTCGCCAAACACATGGTTTTTCTACGTATCTCCATTGTAGGATCAGATTTTGGGATCCTGAACATCTGGCCCAGGAGGTGGTGACAACTACATAAACGATATAGATTAAATTGAAGAAACTATATAAACTTGTTATAAACTACGTAAAGTATGACAACTATACGTTGAGATGGCGATGGAAAGAGGGATATACCATACCGGTATGAGTTTCCTCTAGGATTTCAGGGGGGTTAACCCCCCTAAGGAGGGTTGATTTTCTGTCCTTCGAAAAGCTCGAATTTGCTGAAATGATGCTTTCGAAGTTCCTCCAATTTTCTAAAGAAAAACTACCTCTGAGTCGTAAGATGCTGATTTTCTGGAGAGTTTAGGTGCCCAAAATCCTGAAGCATAATTTTAGCATCTCTGGGAGTACGTTCATAGATTTTCTAGTGGTCCTTGATTTTCTAGAGTGGCAGGTGATTTTCTTTTGTTCGTCGCATCCTTTCACAATCCCCTTTCGAGCATGTGAATGGGCTGAAGCCCCCGAGCTGGAGCGGACGATTTTGGCATATTTTAGCCCTACCTTGGATTTTGCCATAGCTTCACGACCTCAACCTAACACGATCCCCCGTGGAATTTCCTCTATGAAATCAGTGGGCGAGGGAGGTCACGAAACAGGCATTTGTTTCGGCACATATGAGGTGTTTTTTTCTTCACATGTTAGGCGCTCTCCACCCAGACGACCTTTAGAAAATGGAACTCCTGGGGGTTCCACATGTGGGAGCCCTTAGAAAATCAAACCCCTGGTATGTTTATTCTCATTGTGTTCTTTGTATATAAATGATTTTGAGCCCGGCTGAAGTTAGAAAACGTATTTTTTTCTTTTGTCCATGGCATTGTTTAAAAGATTTCTAGAGAATTAAAGTGATTGATGTGAGATATAAGCCTATTGGATGCCTAGAATATTGAAGCACATGGGGTAGGTAAAGATATGTGGTTTTAGGGTTGTACAAAAATTCCTAAAAATGGAACCTGAGTGGTTTGATTTTCTCGAGGGAAAAAAACATATTTAAATTACAGAAACACATGCACCTATCCCCCAGCACATTATATGGATTTCCTAGAAAAATCGCCTTCTTTGAAGGGTACCTGAAACATCAAGAAAAAAATCCAAGTTGATTTCCTAGATGTCATTTTGATCTTGACCCAATCACTTCAATTTTCTATATAGATGCATCTTGGGGTGGGGGGTTGCCACCACCCGTTTTCGCTCTAGAAAATCGATATCGGGGGGGATCAGCTGAATTATAAAAAGGTGGATATCTAACCATCCTGGAACCTCCACCTTTTCTTTTTAGTTCTCGTGTTTGCCTAAGTCACCAAGTGTTTTGTGCAAACGATTATCTTGACAAGAATTACATTTTCCCGCGGTTTGAGCCTGTTCGCAACCATTTTGCATGATTTTTTTAAGTAACAATGATTTCCAGCAACACGTCATGAACAACATTTTTCGTTTTCAAAACCTATGAGATGTTGCATTTTGTATATTTTTTGAAGGGTCAACCAACAGCCACCAACAAACAAGCAAGATAATTTTACAACCTTACGTCTGTTGTTTTTTTTTTTTTTGTGGGCTGTCCTGCGCGACTATTTAGGGAAGATATGCATTTTCGAAAAATTCGATCGAAAAATTCGAAACCGCACGCTGGGTTGCATGTTGGGCTCTAGAAAAAGGGTAGCAGTAACTTGAAGTTGTTTTTAACATGTTTGATATCGTAATTGCAAAACTAAGCAGTTCAAGTACGGCGGTGTCTTTCTAAGAAAAGATGCTAAACAAAGCTTCGAAAATGCACTTCATGTACGTTGCCATTTTTCTAGGATACCTCAAATTGGTTTGATGTCTGTTGCTAGATTTTCTTGAGTCCCTAATTTATACAACCTACATTTTCTACTAGAAAATCACAGGCCCCAACCTGACTCGGTGAACCCGTACAGGGATGATATACCTATGTATATATATATATGTGTATATATATATATGTGTATATATATAAGATGTGTATATATATCACCAATACGATGGAGATAGCTGTATAAATAAGTTCACTCTTCGTGGAAGGACGACCCCGTGACTGAATGTCGGCCCCAAACTTCACCCAGCAGAAATCGATTGTATACTTAGGCCATGGTGATCGATTGTAGCGTCATTTATTTGTTTGGTATACCATGTTGGTAAAATGTTTTGGTGATGACAAAACCCCTATGTTTTTTTAAAAAAAAATCCCATCCATACCACTAGAAATCCAAGAATTCCTGAAAAATTGATATTGCTGGTTGGTGGTTTGGAAGATTTTTCATGACTTGCCCATCATATTGGGAATGTCATCATCCCAACTGACTTTCACTCCATCATTTTTCAGAGGGGTAGGTTAAAAAAAACAACAAAGATTATTCTTTGCTAAGTTGGTGAACATATCAGTACAGTAGTGATTGCATCCGTCGTTTTTTAACGCGCCAACTTTTTCCAGCAGCGAAGCAGGTTGGGCTCTTCGACTTGCAGTTGGATACACTGATGGTTTTCAGTCACTGGACCTGGGTGGTTGATGGGATAACTATTTTAGTCAACATGTTTCATGGCTGTACACCCCCCAAATGTTACTTTTTGATAGGGAAAATGATGATGAATTTGTGGAGAGGTACCATGAGGTACCCTATTTTCAGTCAAACCCAGATGTCAAGAGTTACCCTCTGGTAAACTAAGATAGCTAGTGAAAATGGCCATTTATAGTGAGTTTTCCCATTAAAAATTGTGATTTTCCATAGCTAGGTTAGTTTACCAGAGGGTACTGGTCTTTGGTAATTTAACAGTTTGCTATTGAAAATGGTCATAGAAATAGTTGATATTCCCATGAAAAACGGTGATTTTCAATAGTTGCAACGGGAGATTTTGAAACCATTCCTTGCTGGTTGGTGGTTGCCAGCGGGCACACCAGGCGCCTGGTAATTTCGTGTGTGTTCTGTGTTAAAGGGGTTCGTTCGGGGGTGGGGGGGGCGGGGGGTGGGGGGGGGGGGGGGGAGGGATGTTCACGCTCATTGGACTTGCACACTTACGTGACTACAACTACATGATGCTACGTTGACTGGGGTGGGGGGGTGGGTGTGTGGGTGGGGGGGGATGTTAACATTCATTGGACTTGCACACTTACGTGATGCTACGCTACTGCACGTTCTCTTCAATTTACACAACTACGTGCGGCTACGCTACTGCACGTTCTCTTCAATTTACACAACTACGTGATGCTACGCTACTGCACGTTCTCTTCAATTAACACAAGTTCACAGAAAAGTGAAGACTTTGGTGGGGTCAGAGGTGAATCCATCTCTGCGACGTCGTTGTTTCCAATATGTGTGGAGATGTAATCTCCAAACTTGTACACCACTGGTCATGCTGAAAGGGCTGGCAAAGTTGGTGAAAAACAACGACGCCGACAACTGCTAAAAGAGTTGAAAAGAGACGTTTTGATGCAGAAACGCTATAAAAACGCCAGGCGCCTGACGCGCCCGCGACCTGGTGGTTTGGAAGATTTTCCTACTGGAGAATGGTACTGATGGACAATGGTATATTACTATCACTAGGATGTAATGGCAGTGATTTTTTATGACTTTCCATATATTGGGAATGTCATCATCCCAACTGACGAATTCATATTTTTCAGAGGGGTAGGTATACCACCAACCAGATTATTAGCCATTTAAGTCATCTAAGTATTGGGGCACCCGATTTTGCTGAATTTTCATGTGTGATGTGTTTACATATGTTTTTTCTCCATTTTGTGTATAATATATATATATATATACATATACATGTGTGTGTAGGTGTATAGTGTATAGGTATGAAGATTTGAATTGTAGATGTGGTAGGTTGTATATTTATATATGTGGTTGCCTTTTATGTGCATACACACATATGTATATATATATATATATAATACACCGGTTTGTTATAGATACAAGTGTGCATGTCTATCTGTATACCTATCATCATATCATCAGATATCTCTTGAGCCAAGGAGTTCACACCATTGCCACCCAAGCATTTTAGGGGCCCGGGATAGGTCTATCTCTGGACTTAAAGAAGATGTTGGAAGGGAAAAACACATGAATATAGTTAGTTTTTACACACACACATATATATATTATATATATGCACATATTTTTGAGATTTCCGGAGATGTTTGACTTGCTATCCATGTCTGGTTGGAGCTGTTTGGTTTTAGAAGTGCTACATTTGTTTTTTAATACAATGGCCATTTATAGTGGATTTACCCCTTTGAAAATTGTGATTTTCTATATCTGGTTGGTGGTTTGGAAGATGAATTTTATGACTTTCCATATGTTAGTTGGGAATGTCATCATCCCAATTGACGAACTCATATTTTTCAGAGGGGTAGGTATACCACCAACCAGATATAATATGTTAAGAAAATCTGTCAGGGCTGGGATCACACGAAGTGAGGTATGTTTGTTGGTGTAAGAACCCCGTTGGTTTGCTGGTTTTCTTCCAGTCCTGGGGCCCACATTGTAGCATCCATTACAGTGCATGGTTTGGAGGTTTCTGCGTTGACTTCGTCTTCTTGACAGATATGGTCCTGCAGCTGCTTGGATTACTTGGAGAGAATGTGACGGAGACGCGTTAGTTGGAGATGATTTTGCTGGCGATAGTTGGAGCTGATTCAACAGGAGGAAACCCAAACAACATCAAAAAACGATACTATATCACTGCATAAAAATAAATACACAAAGTACAATCCAATCCAATCTTAAAAAAACAAGAAACATATTCCTTACACCAACCCACTGATCGTATCACGATTACAACGCGAGGGAGGTTGAACATCACGTTTGGGTGATTCACATCCAGATCTAGCTGATGTTTCAACAACAAATGTAAGGTTCCTTGATATAGCACTTGCAGAAGTTCTGCGGTGGACTGAAAGGACTTCCAGGTTGCTGTTCTCCAAGATTCCCAACAAATGATATTCCAGAGCTGGGTGATCCTTCAGAAAACAAGTCCCAGGGATAGGAGACTACAACCCAGATACACATGAAAATTTAATGTAAGCTTTTACTTTACTGACTGTATATAATATAGACACTAATTACTATGAATTTAGACTTATAATCTACTTTCCCATTTTTACTTTACCTGAACCAAAACCAAATTGACTTCAATTCCACGAATAGTGGGATTGTTGCCACTCCCAACTTGCACCCCGGGCGCCAAGAATCAGGTTTCCAGGGCATTTTCAGCATCCATGACTAGGAGTTACTTCCAGCCTAAATTGGGTGTTTGAGATTGGATACCAATTGCCATAACTAGGGGCGGTCTATCCCATTTTCAGACACACCCATATCCATTCATCATTGGTTGAGTCACAATGGTTCATGGTTAAATCCTTCTGAATCCCCAGTTTTGGTTTTTAAGCCACCAGTTTTTTTTAAACTAAACTTGGTTTAGTGACTTTTCAAATATACGGTAACGACATTTAAATATGTGGAGGGCGGGCCAGAACGCAAGGCCCCGGAGGTAGTATGAAATACCAGTTCGTATATTTAAATGTAGTTGCAGTATGTTTAAATGAAATGGATTCCGTATGTTTGAATGGCTGGGCGGGCCAAGGAAAACCTTCCCGGAGGTAGTCTAAAATACCTGTTCGTATATTTAAAAATCTGTATATTGAAATGTAGCCTACCGTATATATATTTATATATATCTTATTCTATCCTCAACATATCTCATTATATCTCCCCATAGCTGGCCTGAGTGCAGCGGCCCACGGTCCCACAGGTTCTTTACCACCTATTCACGCGACACCTCAGACGGCATTGTTTGGGAAGTGGACCTTCGCCGGATCGCGTTGCATTACCTGCTGCTCGGCACTTGAAAATATGGGGATTGATTGTTGATTTATGATGAAAATTTCAATACTGGTTGGTGGTTTGGAACATTTTTATTTTTCCATAAGTTGGGAATGTCATCATCCCATCTGACGAACTCATATTTTTCAGACGGGTAGGTATACCACCAACCAAATTATTCTTTGCTAAGTTGGTGAACATATCTCCAACACCGCAACGATTGGGTTTTTAGCAGCACCGGTAGGATATGGTATATGGAACTGGATAAGTGGTTGTAAACCAATTGCAGGAGTTGTTGGCAGTGTGGTCTACTTCTGGATGATGTACCGGAGAACAGTTACTGTATGTTACTGTTGGAAACCACGCATTTTTTGCGGCAGGAATTGTATTCAAACTAGAGATTGCTGTTTGTTGGGATCACGTAGGGAAGCACCGACATCGATAGATACCGTGTGGGCCAACAGACGCATAGATGGTGCTGGTTTCAAACTGTGTTTATTGTTTGGCATTGAAACAACATGGTTCGACATATTTTGGATGATGGTCTTAACAACTACAACGTGGGGCCCCAAGATAGGGATTCTATGAGTTTATAGCTCCCACAACTGTTAGAGTTATGCATGGTTTTAACCAACTTGAAACTGGGTCCTGTTTAGGGGGTTGGAAGATGCCAACTTTCCAACCTAAAGGTGGGCTATTCTCGGGACCAATGCAAATTTACCAACAAGGTATATATATAGATATATCGGTATAACCCACTTAAAGTGGCACCCCCATGGGTTTCTGGCAGTTTTCTTGAGACTTCGGATAACCTCACTTGCCAAGTAATTTTGGCCACCTGCAAAGGCAGACGTGGTTCTTGCTCGACTTCATCACAGTGATCCCCTTCGACGTTTTCACCCTAGCCGCGGATGGTGGGGCGATGGACGAGTTCAAGAGTCACGCGGCCCAGACTTGGGACCGGGGTCATGACACATGGCAACTGGAAATCCCTGAAATATGGAGGTTCTCATGGGAAAATGGTGGAGTTTCCAATGTTTCCAGCAAACCACGATTGATTTTTTGTGGGTAAACTGTCCTGCTAGAGATTGATTCTGTTCAATTTTTCCCCACCTGCCAGGTGAGGGTTGTTAGATTTTATCAGAGTTGTTCTTCATCTCCTCCTCCTTCTTCTCCTCCTCCTCGTTCTCCTCCACCACCTCTGCCTCCACTTCCATGTCCACTTCCGCCTTGCCAACTCTTCGCCAAGCTCTTTGCCAACTTCCGCACGCAGTGGCCACTGCTGGACCTCAACTGCAAGGGTCTGAGCGCACTGGGCACCGCTGGACCTCAACCTGGGACCTTCCGAGCTCAGTGAGCACCGCTGGACCGCAACCTGGGACCCGCCGAGCTCAGTGAGCACCGCTGGACCTCAACCTGGGACCTTCCGAGCTCAGTGAGCACCGCTGGACCTCGACGGCCAGATAGAATGCCAGAAGGTATGCCAGATAGAACGCCAGATAGCATGTCAGATAGAATGCCAGAAGATATGCCAGAAGATATGCCAGATAGAATGCCAGAAGGTATGCCAGATAGAATGTCAGATAGAATGCCAGAAGGTATGCCAGATAAGGTGCCAGAATGTTTGCCAGATAGAATGCCAGAAGATGTGCCAGAAGATGTGCCGGATAGAATGCCAGAAGATATGCCAGAACATATGCCAGATAGAATGCCAGAAGGTATGCCAGATAGAATTTCAGATAGAATGCCAGAAGGTATGCCAGATAAAGTGCCAGAATGTTTGCCAGATAGAGTGCCAGAAGATTTGCCAGATAGAATGCCAGATAGAATGTCAGAAGATTGCCAGAAGATATGCCAGATAGAATGCCTGAAGATATGCCAGAACATATGCCAGAAGATATGCCAGAAGATATGCCAGATAGAATGCCAGATCGAATGCCAGAAGATATGTCAGATAGAATGCCAGAAGATTTGCCAGTAACAAATGGATAAATGTCATGGAGGGGATCACACGAAGTAAAGTCATTTTGATTTTTTTGGGGATATAGGCTCTACAACGAGAGAGAGAGGAAGAGACTTAGATGATCTCAGACCATGACCTTTGAAGCTCCACAAGACTTTTTCCGACATGAATAGGTATACTATATAATTCCCAGCGTTTTCCGGAGATGTCTTTCGTTGCCAGGGGCAGGGGGTTCAGTCACTTTGACAATACTGATATGTTTTTACCTATTTTGTATAACACACACACACATATATATATATATTGAAATTTGGTACCACGGTTTATCAAACAAAAATAAATATACCATATATTTTGTGTAAAATATGTGTATGATGGGTGAAACCATGATGTATATTCCTCACTGTTGAAGCATTTGTGGAACACCCATGGTGCCGCTCGCGGCTCAGCGTCGGAGTCGTTTTAAGGCTTCATCCCAAGAGTTTTTTGTGGGTCTGAGATTGCCTTGTCAGCTGTCTCTCAACACAGTTATAAATACCCTCTGGTTATTTAACATAGCCATGGGAAATGGCCCATGAAAATAGATGGTTTACCTATTAAAAAATTATGATTTTCCATGGCTATGTTAAATAACGATTATCCAGTGATAATCCATTAAGAACATTTAATAACTCAGATAATTCATGAATAAATCGAAGATCTGCCATGCAGAACCAGGTCAGATTGGGCCGCGACAGAATCGCCAGGGGCGAACAAGATGAACCACTGCCGACCCGGTTGTGTTACAGACCGCGTAGAGACGTCGGACAGACCGCACTGTCAGCCGATCCGATCTCTGAAATGCAAGCAGAGTTGGCCGCCAGGAACAACCGACATGGCCTTTGTAGCTTATTGGGTCAGGCTGGATGTTACAGGCTCCTAAAGCCTTGTTCAAATGGAGTAGTTGCCCCCTGTTGCCCCTATAGGGCTGTGGACATACTGTACATTTGTTTATTATTATTTTTTTTTAAACATGATTATTTTTATATTTACATAGTATTCATATATATATATATGTTATGCATGTTGTATTTAAATAGGTATATAAATATAAATGATTATATATATATATTATACATTGCCGCTTCAGATGTACATGATAATTCCTCCACAGCATCCAAGTCTCTAGTATTTCTATGCATCCCGTACTTCAACTGAATTTGCACATGCTGTAGTTTTTTTGCCTAGTGTTCTCGACTGATTATATAGTGTGAGGGCCCCCCCCCCAAACAATTTTAGTCTACTCAATAACTGACCATTTTTGATCATGTCTGGGTATCAAACCCAAAGTGAGGTATCTACTCTGACCCATGTGGCCTCATATGGCTGTGTCAGGAATAGGCTACCCCCAAAATCCTTTGGTCAATGATTTTTCCAATCGCTCTGGAAAAACGCACATGACTAGCTGGAAAATGATCATTGTGTTTGATGATGTTCCCATTGAAACCTTCATTTAGTTCGGGGATTCCCCAGCTCACGATGTTTGATGTCACCGAATGGTATTAAGTATTATCTACTATTCTATGCATATGCCATGAATATTCCATAACATACCCAATATATCCAATTTTTGTGGGTGAGATCACCATTTTTCATGGTTGACGGCAGCGCTAGGCTAATAAACGCGCCCCCTAGGTTAACGTAGTCAACAAGGTCCTTCTTCGGGCGTCACAAAAAAGAATCCGGATTAAACACAACAACTTCAGTCATTGATGATGACTCAATGTTGCTGGAACGCGCCAATGATGTGTATATTTTATTGGAGTTGGCTGCATAGTAGCATCCATGAATGATCAGATTTCAAGTACTTATATAGGTTGGAATTAGCATCCATAAAGGGTCATTTTAATGAGAAAAACGCACCATAATGACAAGAATCAAGAAAGGGATGAGATAGGGAAGGGTCAGTAGGTAACCCTGAATAAGATTAAATCAGTACCACCACAAAATCTGGGGGTTCCGGAGGGGTATGCTTAATTGGGAAGGATTATTAGTCCTAATGCATTATACAACATGTTATTTCCACCTATACCCCCACTATAGTCATATGATCCTCATGATCGATGGTTGAATCCCGTCATTTCGACCGGGGAAAGCTCCGTGATTTGAGGTATCAAGGTCCTTCGCGCCCTTCGGCTCTTGAAACTCATTCGCTTGGTGAAGACTTCGAGGTGGGGCCCCCGCGGGCGAAATCGGTCAGTTGGTGAACATAACTCTAATAACTATGGTTTGTAAACAGCCTTGTAACTATAACTTCAGTCTTATAACTATAGTCTAATTAATATGGCCTCTAATAACATAACTATAGTCTTCACGGGGTTTGTAAAGCAACTTTCAAAACTGAGGGGCCTCACATTGTACAGCTTATCCTCTTGTAATTTGACCATTTGCTATGGAAAATCACCATTCTTAACTGGTAAATCATCTATAAATGGACCATGTCCGATAGCTATGTAGTAAGTATCAAAAATGGAGATTTAAAAGGATTTAACCATGAAATATAGGGTGTGTGAAAATCGGTTCTACTCCGCAAACGAGCCTGTTTAATGGACAATGATTATTGACCAATAGTGGCAACACCATGTGAAGACAAAGCCAATAATTACTGAGAGGTGAGTTAGTTGACAAGCAGAACTGATGTGATTTTTGTGGTTGAATAACCTACAGTTGGCTAGCAGCTAGGTGAAACTAAGCACATGGATACAACTGGGGGTGGCCATCCTGGTCCCATCCTGCCGATGTTTTCACGGTAAATCTCGGGTCCTTACCGTAAGGACCCTCCACGGACCCTTGGAGAAATGGGGGAATATACCGATCATTTCAGGACACCAATTATCATGGCTATGAAAGAAGGCATTGAAGGGACTAACTATCTATGATTATCTATGCTTAAAATTGTTGTTTGCCATACGAATACACACTAGCCAGCATGTTTATGTTTGCTTCTTTTTCCGTGTGTGTGAGTATTGGTGTTGCAATTTTCCATTGCTTATATACTTTGACTGAAATCACTGGCTGCACTTCGCACATGGGATTATAGCCACCCCACTGGCTGATATGTAAGGAATCATGACAAGAATATACAACATGTGTTTTTTTGGTTCCACTTTGGATGGGTACTCTATGGGATATCATTATAAATTATAAAGCTATAATATATATATATATTATATACATATATATATATATATACACATATTCTTATGCTACCCGGGTGTCTCAGATTGACGATATTGTCCAGCTTGTGAACTATTGTAATTTGCAAGCAGCCTTTTGTTGGGTGACCAGCAAGTCTAACTACACTACTTACAATTCAGTTCAGTTAAAGCCCGATTGTCTTGATAAATCTGCTGGTTCTTAGGCCCCATGTCGACATATATTTCGAGTGGTATCTCGCGGATCTGTGTTGCGCCGCAGGATCATTCACAATCTGGAGATCCCCTTGTCCATTCCGTATCAGAAGGTGGCTCTAGCTCGACCCATGGCGACTGCGCCGTGGGTGGTCAGTGGTTGGGTCGGCTTTACGCTGTAAACTAAGACGTTTGCTCTGGGAAATGGACCATGTAGTTCGATGATTTACCTACAAACATAGTTATTTCCCATAGCTATGTTTAGCAGAGGGTACTCTCTGAGATCTAAACTAGAATAATTAGATATGGAAAATGGGTGAACATGGCCCATTGATAGATGATTTGCAAATGGAAAATAAAGTGATTTTCCGCTACGGTAAATTACCAGAGGATACAGTGAAGTGTTTGAACAAATGGATGAGAAAACAAATGCCATCTGATTGATAATAATGGAATTGGGTTTGTCGGATATTCGGGGTGTAATTGTGCAATATCTTGACGGAATGCTCAAGCATCGCATTTGAGAACCGACTTGATTTTCATGTCGGTGCTTGAGCTCCAGATCCAGCTTTTCTATGCTTTTCTTGGGTTTGTTTTGCCTTAGGATTCTTGATCGTTTTGGGTCTCTTCTGTCACTGGGTCGCATGCTTTTGGGTCCCTTGACTGCAGTGATGCAGCTGCCTGGGCGGGATCCCTCCACTGGGAGTAGGTTGGATCATGAATTGCACTGGGATTCTGGGATGGAATTCATCGAATATGAGAGTTCATTAGTAAGTAACTGTTTTCCGAATGAATCTTGTGAATGGAGCTCTTAAAGTCAGTTGGGGCTCTAGAATTTGTGTCAGCCCAACTGAACCGCCTGTTCTTCCTCCTTCTTGGCTGGCCTCCTATCATGGTAACGCTTCCAGAGTCTTTGTGTCTTCCCATCAGATGGTGTGTATAGTTGGGAATGCAAGTATGTTCCAGCATTCAGTCCGCAGTTCTGTCAGTTAATAATAGATAATACAATCATGTCTTGCCGGTGCAAATCCTATACGTTGTGGTTTGCATGTCCATTTTTGGAGGTCTTATCCTATGCAGGTGAACTGCCAGTTCTTGTGGGTGAACCCATGGTGCGTTCATAGATGTCCTTTTCTTATTGATTGCTTCATAGACAGTCCCGCCCTCCTTTTTGCCCATCTACGGGCATCTCCGAGTAAAGTGTTCCACATGTTTGATGCATCGTTTAAATCCCAAGTTCTTCTATGCTAGGTTAAACATCATAAGTTTTGCGGTTTGCGTGTGAAACCACCAATTGTATCCATTTGTGGAGTCTGCGTTTTTGCTGCTTCAGTTCCCATTCTTGCTGGTAACGACCAGCTTTTCAATGTTGGATGCGCAGAACTTACCATCCCCGAACCAACATAGACCCTGAAAATAATATATGTTTGTTTGTGTAGTGTTCCACCCCCTATATATGTGGCCGAGTCTATGTTAGCTGAAGGAAGGGTAACATGTCATTGCAATATCCAGCTTCTCTTGTCGCCATTCAGGCTATGACGTTGAATTTAGGCAGCGACTACGAAAAACATTGGTTCGATGTAGTCGAGGCGGGATTGACGGGTTGCTGCCATGCCAACCTTGGTGAATGCTGGCTGGATTAGCCTGATTCCCGAATGCGGGCGTGGCAAGGGTTCCCGTTTCACTCTGGGGGTCTGGGCGTTGAGGGTGTGTTCGCTCCACGTTGCGTTTATGTCCGCAACCGTTCGCAACCGTTCGCAACCGTCCGCAACCGTCCGCAACCGTCCGCGCGAGCCCCGCATGGCCGTCCCTAATTAGGTAAGTTCTGCAAAAGGGGGCACTTTTGGAGTTTGCACATGTCGTGTTGCTTCGTTTCGCATGGCAGGCGTGGCAATTCGTGATATTCAGACGTGTTTTGTAACGTGTCGACTGTCGAAAGTCATTTTTTGGCAGGCGCAATACTTCTGCGACTTTTTCAGCAGATGCGTTGCAGTTTTCCTAGCAGGCGCAGCACTTTGGACGTGTCCATCGTCATTTTGCGTGGCAGGCGCAGCACTTTAGACGTGTCGTGTTGCGTGTTTTTTTGCGAATCGCATTGTCGGGGTCAAGTGGTGACAAGGTGCAAATTCCCGGGCAGGCGTTGCATTTTGTGAGATGTGATGAAAATTGACGGAAGCCTCGCACTCGGAGGTTCATAAGAAAACTCGTAGGAAAACATCGATTTTGAAGCTGCAAAGTGTGAAAATTGCAGTCGCACGATATGCTCGTTTTGATGCTCCCACGCATCTCGTCTCGAGTCTCTGGTTTTCCTGTGGCCTTGCCGTGTCTATGGGGAAATCTCTCTTTTTCGAAGGTTTCCAAGCAGGTTGTCATGTCTTTTTTCTTTGCAGGCACGGCACTTGGTGACATTCAAACCTGTTTCATAGCGTGTTGAAAGTCGTTTTGTGTGGCAGGCGCCAAATTTTTGCGTCGTTTTCACAAGATGAGTTGCAATAAGTTGCACTTTTCGTGGCAGGGGCAGCATTTTGGAGATCTCTGTCGTCATTTTGCGTGGCAGGCGCAGCACTTCAGACGTGTCGCATTGCGTGCTCTACACTCCACGCTCTATATACATTCCACACTTCACACTCCACGCTTTACATTCCACACTTTACACTCTACACTCCACACTTCACGCTTTACACTCCACACTTTACACTCCACACTCTACACTTTACACTATACACTTTACACTCCACACGACGCACTCGACACTTTACACTCCACACTTTACACTTTACACTCTACACTTTAGGCATCTTTACACTTTACACTCCCCACGCTACACTTTACACTCCACACTTTACACTCCACACTGTGCACTCCGCACTTTACACTTTACACTTTACACTCCACACTGTGCACTCCGCACTTTACACTTTAGACTTCACACTTTACACTTTACACTCCGCACTTTACACTCCACACTTTACACTCCACACTTTACACTTTACACTCCACAGTCCACACTTTACACTCCACACTTTACACTGCACACTTTACGCTCGACACTTTACACTCCACACTTTACACTCCATACTTTTACACTCCAGACTCTGCACTCCACACTCCACACTTAGGACGCCACCTTCTTTCATTTTCCACAGTCTACGGTGCACTGGTATGGCAACGGGGGAAAAATGTACAAGACTGTTCAAATAAACTGTTTCACAAAAGTGTTCAATGTGACTGCAAATCCATGTGGTCCATGTGTTTCAACATTTGTACGTTAATATACGTGTGAACATTCGGGTTCGTGGGCTGCATCTTGTTTTTGAAAAAAGAGTGATGGGAAACCAGACAAACCAGCCGTTGCCGAGTATTTAACGTTTGAACTATATTGCTGGAAATCGTTTTCGCTGACAAATTCCAGGTGTCCAGCTGTTTGAATCTATCCTTGGACATCATCAAACATTAACATAGCTAGGGAATCCCCGAACTAAATGGATGGTTCAAAGCAATCCAGGAATGCAAGGCAATTTTCCAGGGCCATGTTTGATGACACCGGAGGGTATCCCTGGGACTACGGTGCTGATGAAAAGGCTTGGGATTCAACCAGAACCGAGCCTAATGTATTTATTTTATTTTATTTGTCCATGTGCTTGTTTGACCTGAAACAAGCGGTCACACTGGTGAATATGTGGGCAACATGAATGGTTGGATAGTTTGCAATTTTTGTGGCAATGTAGCTTGACGTCTGGTAGAGAGGATATTGAAGACTCGCAGTTATCAGGGCTGGGGTATCATATTCCAATTATATAGGGCAGTATCCGGGGCAAGCAGGTATACCAACTGGGGGAAGTGCTTGGTGACAGTGAGTCTCGCTGTTTTGGGAGACATGTGTCGCCAAAAATCTTACGGGATTATTTGATTGGTTCAAGGGGCCATCTACGTCGTGCAAATTTACCCGCCGGCCTCCACCCCACCAGAAAAGAAGAACATGCTCTTTTTTACCATCGAATAGGGTGTTTAACCATGTAAGTTCTTCACGTAAATCGATTCAGGAAACCGGCTTCAAGTAGATCAACCATGAGGGGGCAGATCTGCTCACCGTATCCAATGGCGAACCATTCGCTCCATCCCACTGATATCTGGTGTGCACAATCCCATCTTCAAAGCACCGGAAAACGAGAGGAATCATGCTAGCATGTTTTGATATCGGAAAGAAGCATCACAGTGGATGGAGGTGGTTAATCATAGTTGTTGATGGAAAATCATCCCAAAATGTTCTGCTTATTTAACCTAGGTCCTATAGGTCCGCAGCAAAGAGCAAATCGCCAATCCTGGTTAAGAAGTCCCCTTGACTGGTCTTTGTGTGCAGTGTCTGTGTGAAGCCATGAGCACACTTAAAAGGGTCGTCGGAACATCTATAACATCTTTAAGAACATGTTTGCAGGTTTCAAAGATACTGTAATGACTTATGGCCAAACTTATCAGTTGCTAAGCCAGATCGCGCTCCAAGAATGTATAGCAGTATAGCCACCCTCTCTCGCCACAGGATCCGCATGATAAACGGCCTCACCGTGGCTCTGGGTGCAAGCAGAAATAAATTCAGGGAAGAAACGCTTGATGAACCGTCGCTTGATGGGCTCAAATATATTCAAATATGGCATTATACATGTAAACACGCGCATGGATGCGCATATATAATGTATTTATATTTATGTATATATATATATATTTTAAGGCTTCCATGATGACTTTGCCCCACTTACTTGCACAATGTGTGTCTCGGAAAGTTCGACACTTAATTCCATTCTTGTCTCATATTTTCCATGGTTCACAATTCTTTCGTGTCATGTGTGTACAGCCCCCATGGTTCCTGCCCAAAGTGTGGCTCCGTTTGCTTGGGCCACCAGCTCTTCCCCAGCCTTAGCTGAAGCTTCGGGATGGCGATGGGGAGAGAGAGAGAGATATATATATATATATACATATGGTATATCTATATGTCAAATCAAAATTTGTCTTTATAACATCCATACTAATACATGCGTTTTTATATATATATATATATAGATATACATATTAACTATTTAATAGAGACACTAACAATAAAAAACACGATATATATATAGTAATGATAATAACAACTAGATGAGATTAATATAAATAAGTATGCGTGTGTATGTATAGTTTTTTGTGTTTATTTACTTAGTAATAGTATTATTTCATACTAATATATATATATAAATTCATATACAGTAATATGGTATAAATAAATAAATATATATATATACAACACAATATATTCTCTCCTCGCCAATTTTACTTAATTTATACCCCCTCCCTCATCAGAATTTCAGACTCCCGTATCAAATATCTAGGTCATATCCTCCGCCATCCCGATTCACCTGAATCACTCATTATGTTGAAACCATCACTCTCACATCGTACTATTTTTTTCTCCTTTCAGAAGAGGTGCGCCTAGAGCACATTGGCCAGAGCTCGCGTTAGCAGAATCGGCCCACCAGACCACAACCATGAGACCCTCTCCTCCAATTTTAGGGCATTTTACTCATACCTTTTACCAACTTTTCACCATTGCCAAACTCAAGCAATTTTCCTCCGTGAGCATGAAACAATGGTATGATACCACTAGATACCACTAGATATCTCAATTTTTTACTTCCAATTGCGGAAAACCGAGAACAATGGCTTTTGCTTAACCTCAAACTGCAATAAGTAACCAGCTTAGGGTGCGCTGCTGCGGACGTGGTTCAATCCGAAGCGCATATCAGCTTGCGAAAAAAATCTTATTATTTATATATGACCCCCCATGGTCCCCCCCCCTGTGGCCTGGGATGGTGGTATGGTTCTTCTGGTCCCCCCCCCCCTGTGGCCTGTGGTGGTGGTATGGTTCTTCTGGTCCCCCCCCCTGGTGGCCTGTGGTGGTGGTATGTTGGTATGTTGGTATGTTGGTATGTTGGTATGTTGGTTGGTATGTATGTATGTATGTATGTATGTAGGTAGGTAGGTATGTATGTATGTATGTATGTATGCATCCATGCATGCATGCATGCATGTACGCTTGCATGTATGTATGTACGTGTGTACGTAGGTACGTAGGTACGTAGGTATGTAGGTATGTAGGTAGGTAGGTAGGTAGATAGGTATGTATGTCTGTGTGTGTATGTATGTGATTGATGGATGGATGGATGGATGGATGGAGGGATGGATGGATGGATTGATGGATGGATGGATGCATCCGGATGGATGGATGGATGGATGCATGCATGCATGTATGTATGTATGTATGGTCCCGTGTCCCGTGTTCCCGAGAGCGTGAGCTTGGGGGACCATACTGGGGGCCAGGGATCCGGAGTCCGGACTCATTTATATATATATATATATATATACATGTAGATAATACTCAGACATATCCAATATGTACGAGTAATGTATCTTAGAATAGCTTTAGAAAAACACAAAACATATAATAACATTTTCTGAAAACATAAAAATAGTAATGACATATAATATATTTTTAAAAGATACAATGCAACTCATAACAAGTAAACATATATAGTTACGTATCAAAATTTTGTATGTATATATACAGATAGAGAGAGAGGTTGGAGGAATACGTGTCTCGCATATACATATATATATATATATAATAGATATATATATATATATAAATTTTATGTAAATATTAATAACTGTTGGTTATCCTTTGTGAAACGGAAGATGAATAGACAAGAAAGAGTCATTTCCAAGGGAAAATGGTTTTGAGACCCGATTGCATTCAAAAACACCTTTTCCCTGAGCGGATAGAGCTACAACGCTTGTTGGCATTTTTTAATCGATTGTTTAATACCTTCCACCGATTTCCACAAGGTCATAGTCCTTCCGTGACATTTTGGGCGAATTTGACCCCCGTATTTTGGTTTGACAATCAAGATTACACACAAATTTACCTACTAAAAAAACAACAACAGCAACACCTGCATGCTACTCCAGTTTTGGCACTTTAGCCTCCGTTTTGATACAAACTAACCAAGGGTCACGAGATAGGTAGGGTGACAGAAACTGCAGACATCTGCAGACGGCCTGGAGGTATCTATGTTGCCGCCTTCTACTATGCTGCCTGGTGAGGTATCATTTCTCTGGGTCAATCTTGGATAAGGTTGGCCAACATTGGGATGTTCTCTCTAGTGAAGAAAAAATCAAAAACGGACAGCATACAATGGTGCCTCCGCCCCACTCTCAAAATACATGCTTACATACAGAAAGTATAGAAACACATATTTTTACACATGTAAATGTTTCTTTCTAATTTATTTGTGTGAATATTTTTGAACCTATGTGTATATATACGGATGTGTGTGTGTGCTTTGATGAAGGAGCTGTGAGCTCCCAAAAGAGGTTGCAACCGCATAACATCCGTGCTTCCCGGCCCCAGGCTTGTTACACCATCACATCTGTGGGCTATGGAGATATCACACCGAAGAACGTGGTGGAACGCTCAGTTAGCAGCGCCGCTCGGCAAGGTCGAAGTTTTGCGAAAAAAAACATGTATTCTGGACGAAACGGGAAAACCTAATGCATGCACATGCTTAAGTTGAAATATTCATGCTCGCGGGCATGTATGTATGTATATGCACGATGCATAATGATGCATTTTGGGTTTTTAACCTAGTGATATGAATTGCCGGTTCAGACGTTCAGATATGATTGTAAACTATGGCCGGTTCAGTAGACTTGACTTGACGGTGGTTGATGGCATTGGGCTGATCATATGTGTAGGAGAAAGTTCCCGACATCATATAATTCACGCACCCGGTTTCTAATCACCTAGCATTATCTCAACCGTTCAAACTGTGTCACACTATTAGCTTGACTAGTTTGAGTTGTTTCACATTGGGTTCATACTGGGGTAAATTCCTCTCACCCCTACCGTACAATTGGTTTGAAAGAACTTCTAGGAATATCAAAATTGATGCAGCAACTGTGCATTTTATCATTTGTGTTTCGTTGAACATCGCGCAGTTGAGCTGATCCATCAAAAATCGGTTAATTACTGTGGCCAGTGACCTTGTAGGATGGTCATAGATAACCTCGAATCTATACATACTGGGTCCCGTACTCGTAGCTGTTTTAGGTTGCAAGTGTTTTGCCCGGCTTCCATGAGGCAACAAAATTTCTGCCAGTTAGGAATAGACATGTTCGGTGCATGGTTGCCGAAGGAAAATCTGTTTGTCAGTCATTCATTTGGGCATATGGCCAACAGAAGGCTAAATCAGACCTTTGGGAGGCGCAAACGCCAATTGCCCACAGATTCCAAGCCTGCCTAGGGTATTCTGCTTGCCTCTGGCTTGGCATGGGCCTACATTCTGGGGGAGGCCGGCTTATCCCCAACGTTGGTGGCACAGGATATGGAGAGTAAAATGGGGAGGTAGGAGGGATATGCGATTTCACGGATAGTGTATAAGATTTAACCACCAATAACGGGGAAAATCCTTGAATTGCTTCACTTGAAACAGTTTGTGAATTCCCAGTGTTTCCTGAATTTGCAGAACATGTTAATCAAAAAATAATGGTGAATCCACTGTTTGGATTGGGGCGGTTGATGGGAATATGTATACATTTCCAACCTTGCCACGGGATGGTGAAGGTGTTTTGTTGGGACATGATACCAAAGGTTGGTGATTCTGGTGGAAAATGTGGAAATTGATTCCAAAAGCAGGGGCAAGACATCGCATAGTGCAGCACGCTCCAAGAAACAGTTCATGCTGTTCTTGCATCTTACCCACTTTTTATGGGCATATTTACCAAGCAGCTAAACCCTTTTTGGGGTTTTGTATACGGTATACGGTCTGCGGTAATCTCCACTGGTTGGCTGGACATGTTTCACCTGATGCTGGCCAATCATCTTCCCATTTTTCGGCGGATATTTCCAAGCAGCCAGCGCCATGGTACCCGAGGTTAAAGACTTATTACAATAACCCGTTTGATATGTTTGATTCCACTGCAATTGTTTCTCAAAGTCCGCCGTTTTCAGTGGACAGGTGTAGGTGGTCAGGCTGGTCAGGCTTTGACGACATGGAGAAGATGTTGATGATCCATGATGATCCCTTTCCCAACATATTAAATACGGTAGAACTTTTCCACTACATACATTATACATATTTATATAATTTTATATACCATTATTCCCCATTATATATTACCATTATTTATTACCGTTATTGATTACCATTGCATATTACCATTGCATATTACCATTGCATATTACCATTATGTATTTTACCGTAGAAGTCGAAGATATTTGACAGCACATGACAGCACCCATCCCGAGAGTCCCGGCCAGGTGGGAGCCATCGTCGGCGACATGACCGCGGAGAGTCAAGAGTTCAGGACCTTGTGACGGCGCGGAGCGTCACTGGAAAGGAATCTACCCTCTGGTAAACTAACATTGCTATTGAAAATTGCCATTTATAGTGGATTTTCCCATTAAAAAATGTGATTTTCCATACTTACGTTAGTTTACCAGAGGGTAAGACAGTCCGATAGTATAGTCCCTGATAGGTTTCTAAAAAAACACCGAAACAAACATAAACCCATAAACAGCAAAACAACAATCCCAGCTCCCTTGTCAACATGCCATGTAGTAAGCTGATCCGACCAGATATTCTCACTGGATGTAAACATCTAGATGTGGCTCACTGACTATAGGGAGATGTGAAAAATGAGAGGGCAACTTGTTCCGATATTAGATGTACTAGTATACGTAGTAAGGTGCCTAATCGAGAAAATTGAGTAATTAGACTTAGAATAGTTTTGGTGCTCTTAAGATAGTCACTGCACACGGGAGAGGGGTCAGTTGTCTCTCTCCCCTGTGCACTCCTGAGCGCTCCGGACTGCACACCACCTCACTGGTACTACCTTAAGAGCGGCTTAAAAAATCAAAGAGGGGCTGTGCAATCAAAAATCCATGGCCCAAGGGTTGGTGGTGAGAGGCACTACCTTAAGAGCAGCTACATACCACCCTTGCATGATTAATTTCAGCATTTTCTGCATTTTCAAAGGTTTGAGCAGTGGCGGATTTGATAGTGCGACACGAGAGTTGAACAAGCATTGGCTTATTACCCCATAGGGTGTTTTGGGTATTATGATGGGTTTTGTTTTCAGGGGAATGGTCAGCATTCCCAGTAAAACAAAGTCCAACAGTAATGATCATAACAACGATTATTAAAACCCATGGTATAAGCCGGTCATGCCAATCCAATCCATGTGCTGGTACTTTTGGACTATGTTAAGCACAGCTCAGTTTGCTATGGAATTTCATTATTTACATATATTTATATTATGTTCAATAGGGAAATCATCGAACTAACTGTGGCCCATGTTCACTCATTTTCAATAGCTATGATAATTTGGTAGGATTGAATGCATGTATATAGTTTTAGCCAAGTATAATATGGGATCCTTCATGATAGTCAACTTCTGTTTGGAGTATCTTGGAATGATATATGAATATGATAGCCATGATAGCCTTCAAACTTCGAACTGTTGACAGGTGGGGGGGGGGCCAATATTAGGTTCCGCGGGTCTGGGAGTAATTCATTCCAATAAGTTGGATTTGTGGTGGGTTTTGGGTGTATTTGCGTTTGAGAACACATGTTTTTGTGTGTGGTTTATATACACTTTAAACTCGGAAAAAAATGTGGGTCCATTGGTGCATCTGATTTTTTGAGCCATGTTGAGCCGTTCCCATGTGGATGGATTTGAATATGGGCGTATTTACACATAATTAGATGTGTTTTTTAATAATTTTAATTGTGAATATGGTAAATGTGCCGATCATGATGTATATGAAGATGAATATTGGGATAATGATGATGATGATGGTGATGATGATGATGATGATGATGATGATGGTGATGGTGATGGTGATGGTGTCGTTGGTGACATTGGTGACACTGGTGATGGTTATCAGGATGAGGATCAGGATGAGGATCAGGATGAGGATCAGGATGAGGATGGGGATGATGGGGATGGGGATGGGGATGGGAATGGTGATGATAATGAACAGTTTGTTTTGAGCAGTACCCTATTTCAGTCAAAGCAACGCGCAGCGAGTCACGAAAACTACGTATAATATAGTACTGTAGTTGAGTATATAGGCGGATTGAAAGCGTGAATAGGTAGACGGATAGATGGGTATGTAGATTCGTGGATAGCGGGACAAGTTAATATCCTGAACAAGAGATGAATTTGGCAGAAAAAAACATTGGCCTTGAAGCAACAAAGCAAGCGGGTTTTGACAACATGTTTCCTGTTTGACCAGCAAGAAGTGTGGAACAGGAAAATGGGTCTCCATCCTGCTTGGGAGGTGTTGACTTCCGTGATTTTGCAAGCAAACAATAAACTTGGAGAGAGTCCATGGATTAGTTTCAGCTAAAATCTATAGGAAATACTTCTCGATGGTGGGTTCAACTCTATATTTTCCGTTCAAATCTTGTGTGTAGCCGCGTGCTTGTAGCATCTTGTAGCCATGGTTAGGAATCAGTTACTTAGATAATCCTCCCAGCTGCACATAGCTGCGCTGCATGATTTCTTCTAAGATCCACCTTTGGATATCTGAAAATTGGTCCCAGAAACCTGCTCAGAATTAGGCTAAGCAACAACACACCGTAAGTCATTCAGCACATGTTTGTAAGGAATTGTATTTGATTCAGGGCTGTTTGAATTTGATTTGGGGTTCGAATTCTAATTTGCAGTCATGGTTTTAGATACTGTAAGATTTATTATATATATTTATATATATCCAAGTTTTTCTTCGTACTAAATGCTAGCGAAATACATTTGTATCCTGATCCGTTCTGGTTTCCCGGAACAAGGCTTCTGGAGTCCGATTTGTTTTCAAAATTGCCTGCTGCATAATATTTTACTATATCGGTCCCATAGATTCCAGTAGTATATCCATCCAGACTATCCCCGAACGTTTTCAAATTCATATTCATCATTATTTCCCCATGTCAGACTCTATTTCCTTGCTCGTTCATCAAATTTTATTATATGGGTTCTACCGTTCAGAATTCCATCCCCCTCGTTTTGGATTTGGTTCCCTCCTTACGGTTTAAACCCCCAACACTTGCAAATGCATTCCCCCTTTAAATTTCCGAATATTGATTTTCCAATGCTTTCCTCATTCTTTGTTTGAAAGAATCCCAGTATCATAAGGCTATTGATATATATATATATATGTGTGTGTACCATAGATCTATATGTTTATTCATGTTTATTCCAGGTCCATTATTTTGAGTAGATGTTATGTCATCAAAGTTTCCTATTTCAAGTTGCTAAATGATGTATTTGAATAGTATGAACGTTTGGTTTTAATGCAGCTAAATATGGATGAATCCAAGCTTTGGAAGCATTTATAAAAGTACAATGTGTTCATCTAGGCGCCAAGACGGCGCAAAGTACAGTACGCCGCTGAATGATCATAAGTGTTCACTAAGTTGTTGTCATAAATTTCTAGTTTGAGATCCTGTTCACGCGTGATAATTTTTAAAATGTAACTCAAGAGAGTTGTGGTAAACATCCGATATTGATGATATGTTCAATGCTGGGGGCTAAATGGGATTCGGGCCGAAGTCCAGTGCACAAAACGCGCCCCCCGATTTAGGACGCAAACACAAAAAATCAGCCTAAATCCTAGGGTTGAGGTGGGGTTCAGCCTATCTTGGGGGGTACAAAACGCGTGGCTGACTTAGGACGAAATGTACCTCACACCCTAGATTTGGGACGAAAAAAAAACAGCTTATCTCAGGGGGTACATTTCGCGAGTGGGACTTAGGACCAAAACTCAAAATCCATATAGGTTTTTGATGTTTTTTGTTCAATTAATTCGGGAACGTTCAACCCGGATTTAGGACAATTTTTGTTTTGAGCCTATCTCAAGTCCCATTATCAACCGCAGGACGCGCTTTGTTCTTATTTTTGCTGGCGGCTTGTAGCCCCACAATACAGGCGGCACAGGCCCACACACAAAATATGCAAACTAATTACATCAATTTTAAATTAATTTTAATATGTTTTAATTTAGGGTTAACCCGTTAGAAGGTTTTAGAAAATTACGTATTCATACTTCTGCGCGTTCAGCACAATGCAAAATGTTTGTGGAAAATCATCTATTCAACCGGTGGGAGATCCTCAGGTTTAATCAACGCCACCTATCCCTTTTTTTTGTATTGTAAATGGATCCTGATGGTTGCCATTGGATGGATTCCCTGCGGGTTGGATCCAAATAGATAAGCGGTTAAAATTTCATTAGTCATTGATATCGCGCCTCTGAATCTGATGTTGTGTTTGGCACTGGGTTTCATGATTCCTTCCAATTCCTGTGGTTTGGTGTTGGAAAGAATGCTGCACACCATGAATTAAAACACCATATATCAGTTTCACTGCACGTGCAAAACCCAAGAAAAATCAAATAAAGCAAGACCTTTTGTATACGTGCGTCTTCGGAGTCGTCGCATTTATAGAACTGTATCCTATGGTATGAGCGTAACGATATGCTATCACATATACATATATATTTATATATTTATTTTATTTATTTATTTATTTACGATTCCCTTGGTCCTGGAATTAGATGCCAAAAAATGACTTATCTTAATTAATAAAAAGTGAAGTAGTTAAATTCAATCATATTCAAATATTTTTTCAAATATAATGGCTCCTTGCCAAACAATCTGCATACATATGGATCCACCTAAAGAAATCAAATTCCAGAGATCCACTTTCAATCGCAAAAACCTTTTGTACTTATCTGTGTTTATTAATTTATTAGTCAATTTTGACTATTTATTTATGTGTTGTTTAAATTTATCGTTATTTATTGTTTTTTTTGGCTTATATCGGCATCATATTTGCAACATTCTTAACCACCCTTCTTCTGCGCCCAAGTCTGGAGTGGTGCTTCCCGCGGATCATACGTTTTAAGCCCTCAAAGACCTTGGAATGTGAGGTACCACCAGGGCAAAACTTCTGAATCTGGCAACAATATTTGAATAAAATAAACATAAATTGCGGAAAAAAACACATAAAATACCACCATCTGACACCATCTTGTCCCTGTTCAAATACAATTCGATCTGAATAAACCGCCACCGAGAGGCAATGACATACTGGATTCGTGCTTGTGGGCCCCAAGTATCTGGCCATTTCATCATTTTCATAGAAGCCAATTCTATCCTCGAATTCCCAAAAAGATAGATGATCTCCCTATGACTTTGGACAAATCCTAGGGCCCTATAGCAGATGTTTACCATCTGGTTATTTAACATAGCCATGGAAAATCACCATTTAGAATAGGTAAACCATCTATAAATGGGCAATTTTCCATGGCTATGTTAAATAACCAGATGGTAGAGCTTGTTACCGCAAGCGAAAACAGAGCTCGAAGGAGAAGGATGCATCATCTCAACGTGATGATGCAGGAACAAGGGTGCCTTGATGGTTGGGGGTTACCCACGGGGTCCCACGGAAGGGTTGTGGGTTTACCCGGTGCTTCGGTGGTTTCCCTAAGAACATCATCTATAAATGGTGGGCTTTCCACATCTACTGTGTATTAGTTTACGTACAGGACCTATGGGTATAGTTACATGAAGGCGGCAGGAAGGGCCCTAGTTATGTTTGTTGGTGTATAATACAATCTAAGTTATACTTTATCCACCATGAATCCAGTCCTTATAAACCACCTTACAGGCCTAGGACATTGGAGGCATTCCTGGGTTAAAACAAACATCGCTCAAGATCACTTGTGATAATGTGGGATATAACCCGCTAAAGTTTTGTGAATATAGTTCCTGAATATCGCAAACTTATGTTTATTGGGGCTGCTACTTGGAGAACCGTCGCACTTCACTTGCTGGTTTGCAAGTGGAGTTATACCGTTATACTCGTTATACCCCATGATAAGTGGGAGAACCAAAAGTTACAGGACTTACAGTGCAGTATTTACCAGGGTTAGAAAAAACACTAAGTGGGATGATCCTCCAGGCAGATCCGCAGCCGACAAAAGATTTCAGAAACGCTTCATAAACATGTGAAAACCCATGAAACATCACCGCCCAACAAAAACATAGAATACTAACAGGTATGGCATATATGTTTGATAATTATCGCAAAGTATCATGGATGTTCATGGTCGCTACTGTATTTGTTGGTTGATATCCATGGTACAGCTCTTTTATTGACTCAGCATACGGCGACGTGACGTTCTGAGGTTGCACCATGACCTGCGGCGACGCCTGCGGAGTTTCTTCTTGCAAAATCGGCATCATTGGGTGCCTGGGCTTGCTGGGAGCTTTCTTGAGTCAAAGCCCCCGTTCAAAGCATGTTTTTTTGTCACTGGCAACCCACGTTGAAAGAACGGAAAAGTAAAATCATGTGAAGTCCATTGCCAAAAGTGGAAAAGTACCAATTTACCATATTTCAAGTCAACGGTAAACATATTGTAATTCTTCCAATCCTAAAATTCTGAATCACTGTTCTGGCCCTTATCCCGGGGATTTGTATCATGCCCAGCAGTTGATTCCATGAAGGCAGAAGGGCCAACAAGAAAAATATGGGATTTGAGCATCAAGAGTGGTGGTTTAACCAGTTTAACCAACAAAACGAGGGATTTGACGCGATTTTGACTTAAGCATCATTTTTTCCGGGAGCGTCCATCTCGTTTACCTTCGCGGAAGTTGCCTCAAAATTTGTTGTGTCCCGGGGATTGCCATGACTCTCCCGTCCTGAGAGGTGCATCAAACACGAAACCGGCTTTTGGAGTCGATGAGTCCTCAACTTCAGAACGATGTGTGCCGCAGCTGCAGGGAACGATCCATGATCCCCGATGGTAGAAAACTAGGCAAAGAATGAGGATTCAAACAGCAAGGTAATTGTTGCAGGGATTTGAGCAACCAATCTTTGGGGTGCCTGGTGATCGTTGTATGAAAGATTGGGATGTGATTCCTAGACATGGTTCACATATATAAAACTACCACCAGCCATGGGTGTTTATAGACTGGTTTGGTGGTTTCACACATGTTCAATGCTAAAAATGGGATGGTGATTCCAACCGAGTTTAATTTTCTTGAATGGGGTGGAAAACCATCAGTCAAGTAATTATAAACGTATGATAACATATGTATAGTATAGACTTCTGTACAGATGTATATACATAGATAATTAGAACATATGTATATTTAAATATTATATATATACATATTTCTATGTTGCAGATGCACATGCAGAGAGAGCGAGATAGATAAAACAATGAAACTAGAAACCACGACATGGGTTTGTTGGAGAATAGTTTGTTCCCCTGCAACCCTTCTTTGTACATTAAAAATCATATGGATTTGGGGAGCCTTCCCAGGTAGGCAGCCACGCTTGCCAGGCTTGCATCTTCCAGTTTCTTCCAAATATTCTTCCGAACATTTCCAAATCTAAATGTGTTAGTTTTCTTCATTTGACGGTGTTTTTTTTGTCCAATCCCCCCCAAAAAATGCAGTTACAGTTCGGGACTGATGCTGACATCGCCCTTATAGATACCACACTGACTGGATCTAATACTAAAGCCGGAGCCACTGGACTTGAGAGCTGCTTGGAGGCAATACAAAGATGGAACATGATGGAACCCAAAAAAAATGTGTCTCGAAGATCATGTTCCTTTATGAAGATTCTTAGCTTCCAGCTTTGAAGTCTTGGGGGCTCGTGATGATTGCTGCTGGACGGTAAAACAAATCATCCAGCATGCAGCCAGGATGTTCTCTCCACAAGGTGCGTGCCCAGGGTTCTTGCGGGTACCTCAAATTGCCCTTGCGAGCCAAAGCCTTGGCTCTTTAGATAGAAATGTAGAGTAGGGGGTGCGTACTCTACTGTATCTGATACTATCTGTGATTTGAACATATCTACCTGAATCATCCTGAATCTGCCTCTGGAGCATACCCGAAGTCTCTTCATTCTTTCCTTTTTGGCCACGAGCTCCGGGACATACGCTGATGCTAGCTGGAAGCTGAGGTGTATGCAGACGGAACTCCATTGGTTGAGGCCAGGTCTGCAGGTTTTTTTGAGACTCCAAGAGCATCTCGCGAAAAATGTAGGGGATATTACCGGGAACCACCAAAGTGATAGGTGTTCTTCTACCCTTCCCACTTTGCGCCCAAAAATCACAGAGCATCACTGTGTCACAGGGTGACATTTGATTCACATGGCAGTTTTAAGGAGGTTGAAATGGAGTTCAACCTCCGGTAGTCAAAGATGGTACGAGAAAATCTCCCATTTGCAGATGATTAAACCATATTAAGACACATTAAACCATAGTAAACCATATAGTGGATTTCCTAGCGAGCCATGTTTGATTCCCAGAGGGTTCCTGGAGTTTCATCGCTTCTCCCAGGAAAGTGACCGTCTTCGATGTCTTCATGAAATGGGTGGAGGCCAAGGAGCGATCAAAGCTGAAATGGTGTTTGATGTTATTCCCCAAGTATGGCATGTATATATACCTGGTAAGTCTTGGGGGGGACTACAATGTATGTATATATTATATATATAGCACATACACACACACATATATATATATATGATATATATATATACAAACACATGTGCATTTATAATTGTAATATATGATAGATTTGATGTACAATATTATATATATATATTACAGTATATATTATATATGTGGATATTTGGTCCACCTCGTCCGGGAAATCTACGACATATCGACGACCACACTGCATGCGATGGAACTGGGGAGTCCTCGACCAGCGGAAACCATGGCTGGCTTACCATGAAGATCATGGGGGAAAACCCTGGAAAATGAAATCCCGTAAACCAATCCTTGATGATCTACACTCGTGTTTGCTTTCAGCCATATTTCACCAAACACAATGTTTCACACGGTCTGCCATTACAGGTTGAGGGTTCAAAACTGGTTCCAAACCAGTTCAACCATGTACTGGAAATCAGGGCCACGATATAAATTTACCCACTTGAGCCGATTTGTGGCAGTGTTTTTGGGCATCTGAAACCCTGAGCATCAACATTGCCTTGTTTCAGGCCAAACCTGGCTCATAATCAAAGAAGCCATCATAGACAGAGCTTAAACTTCCGCATGTTTAAGTATGTTTAAGGATATCTACCTTTTTTTAAGGGAAATCAAAGGCGTAAAGTTTCCACCCCTTGAGGCTTTCCTTAAAAAAATATCTCTTTGTCCCGCGGCCACAGGAGAGGTTGGGCATCTACACGGGAAGTTTCCTTGTTGTCGACATTGTGTGGGTGTGTCTGAAAATGGTGATTTAAACGGATTCAACAAAGAAAAAGTGATTTGGGTGTGTCTGAAAATGGGGTATGCCTGCAAATGGTAGTAGTTGATGGCTAACCATCAAATTGGAGGTACGCTGTAGAACCTGGAATTGCACCAAGAAATTAAGGATGATTTGGGAGATTGCGTTGTGTAGGATGTTTATCTTGTTTTTCAATCTGACATGTATTAATTTACTTCTCACAGCCGGTGTGTCACCTTGAAAGCTGGCAATCTCTGGAAATTGTCAACCAGACATGTTCATGTTGCACACGTTCATCATGCTCTCACTGGCCATCACAAGAAATACGTGTAGGAGTCGAGGTATTTGGTTCTTTAGAAATTAGAACTAGGGGTCTGACTGTGTAGCTGGAGTGAACCAAAACACTGGGAATTGGCCAGATTCCTGAAATTATCCAGTTTCTGGTTGTGAATACCATCCCCCTTGTTTGGTAGAGAGAATTAAGAGGATGGTCCAGTTTTTTGATGCTAAAATGACACCCTCCACATGGTCCCCATTTTATATAAGTTTTTCCGCAATGTTTTAAACCTGATCAACTGTATGTATGTGTATATATATATATACATTATGATATGTTTTTAATATATAAATATATATGTATAACTATATGTCCGCCCTAAACCAAAAAAACATGCCAGCCTACCAAAAGACCAACTTGTTTTCCTATGTGTTCCTATTGGTATTGCACAGAGTATGCACATACATACATACACTTTGATTTGTTTACTTTTTTTGGTAGGTCATAAGTTGGTTTATAACTCCAATAACTAGTGTTTGTGGTAGATTGTAGATATATCTATAGTTACTATGCTGTTTAAACCAACTTATAACATGGGTAAACATCATTCAAATCACTTATCCCACTCAAAAAAAAGTTAGACGGCGATCTTGCCAAACCTCCAAAGAAACGTTGCTATTAAGCACCAACTAAAGTTTAGCACCAAGATGCTCCATGCTTGGAAAAACACTTCCTAACATATGCCCTAAAAATCACTCAGTTTTGTGGGAAAACATACGGTACATCGAAAATATACAATGAAGTATGACCTCAACATCAGAATCTCCGTGAAATTCAGTCTAATTTCTTTCACACCATAATCATCCCCATAAACCCCTAATGTAATCCCTTAAAAAAAGACGAGAACAATCATGATATTCCCGAATCTCTGTCGCATTCCAGGTTTTTACGGCTGTGTGGCGGATGTCACTCGACAGTTGCGCTCCACAGCCTTTGCGCAGCAGGAAACCTTCGCGAACGTGCAGGCGCGTAGTGCGGTTGCTGAAAGGCGATGGGTGGCCCGATAAGTTGACGTGTAACTTGGTTGACTATATGGGTTGATAACTTATAGCTGGGCTGACTTATACTTTATTTTTAATATTGGGTTATAACTTATAACTTGTAACTTGTAACTGTATATAACTGGGTGGTACACCTTTTCTTGAAGCAATTTATAACTGAGGGGCCTGACCTTGTACTGCAGCTGAGTAGCCCATGAGCTCTCTTTAATTCTCTTTATACAGGATATGTTTAGGGGGAGGATGAAGAATGGATATCTATAAGGTGGTGCCTCACAGTTGGCTAGATTAGTGAACATTACTGTAACTGTAAGAACTTGGATTAAACGGTGTTTATGATGGGGGGAAATACTTGGAATACGCGAACATTCTTGGGGGGAAATCTATATGTGATGCCTCGAAACTGGTGACGCAAGTTGGTTGCAACTAGGTTGACACTTGGGTTCATGCTAGATACATCTAAGATCACCTAAGTAATACATAGATAACGGAGTTTACAAAGCAACAAACATATAGCTGGGGCCTGTGGGGCACCACCTCGTGAAAGTTAAGCCTTAAATAAAAAAGAAACAGTTCTTGAAACCCTCCCACCTCCCTGCTGTCAGCCAGGTGCTGTACATTTTGTCCAAAGGTTTGGTCATGCTGAACAAGAAAGTGGGTGCTTACGGCGAGGTTTGGGGAGAGGACTTTGTACTCTCAGACGCTTGGTGGTCTCTAAGCAAGGCCTTCTCATGGCGTTTCTTTTGTTTTTTTGGGGAGCCCATGGGTTCATCAGTGTATCATCATCCCTATAACTTTGGCCATTTTCTGGGCCAACCAGCTATGGTTGAGGGAATATGCATATATATATATATATAATCACTAAGTTGTTTGTGAAATTTTATGGCTGGATATCTACTACCCAGCCGCGTTTTTTTTTCCGTCGTAAAGATCGGCCCTGGTAGATCGGTCATTCTCGTGGATACCAAGGATCCCAGCTTAGTGCGACCTATCGCAGGAACGGCCTTGACCTACATTGAGGCGCCGCCTGGTAGGGCAGGTGTGGTTGTTTGCTGGTTTACCATCTCCATCCCCCAAAGAATTCGGTTTCACGTGCGTTTTAAGTTTGTAAGCAATATTATCATGGGATAGGTGGCTCACAAAAATCAGTCATGTTTTTCCCGGGACAAAAATAAGAACATGAACATTTGACATCGGCAAATCCTCGAACTAAATGGTGGATTTGCCATGGCAAACTGTTAAATTGCCGTATGATATGATATATATATAGAGAGAGAGAGTTATAAAAAGTCCATGTGCAGTATATATATATATTAATTGATTATTGTTGGTTATAAGGCACCTTAGAAACAGTTGCAACCATAGTGCAAACCCAACTACTGCTTATAGGAAGATCAACCCGCAATATTGACTACAACAATCGTCAACACAATGGACCCTACTTACATGGGTGATGGAGTTTGTGAGAACTGCTGCTCGCAGGCGGGCTATAAGTTATTATTTATATAGTTATGTCTATATATTTAAGCATATGCGTATAGTTTTATAAGATGATACATTCATTTCCGGTGAGTATATTTCGCAGGTTATCACCCACTTGCATTTGTCAGTTAACTGACTAACCAGGGCCCATTTATATAAGTAGTTTTTTCTCTCTGGTGTTCATTGTTTCCTGGCTAAATGCAAATCCCTGTTGATTAATTTCCCCTTGGTTTTAGTTAAATCCGAATGTTTTGTTTGTTCAATCCCACTTGTTCATTGTTCAATCCTTCCTTTTCATTGCTACAGTAGATAAGATACATTAAGATGCATTTGTTGCTGACATCATGACTAACTCCCCATTCATGTTTGTTGCTCAAATATTCAAAATGGGCCATTTCGGTTGGTTATATTCCCGGTTCTCTTGGTTAAATCATCATCTTTGTTGGTGAGCCCCAGTATTTTCATGTATTTTCATGTATTTTCATGGTTACATCATGTCATTTCCATGTGCATCCCCATTTAAAGTCAAATATTAGCCAAGAAAAGATGGAATTTCACCAGCCACAAGGGCGGATTTCAATATTTAAGCAAACATGAATGGCGATATTTAACCTAAATAACCAACAAAAAAGAAATCTATTTATATATATATATATGTGTGTGTGTTAACCATGTTTCACCCATTTTTCACCACGTGACCTCCCTGTTGCCTGGAGCGTTTGTTGTCAGGTCCACTACTTGACGCGCGAGTCCTTGATGGAGGTCATCGCGCGCAACCGCCATGGCTGCCCGCAGTTGGAGAAGATGCTTGCGCAGATCTTCATCATAGTGGTTAGAATAGTGAAATTCACTTGAAGAGGATATAAACGGCCCATGAAAATAGATGGTTTATCTATTAAAAATGGTGATTTCCATGGCTATGTTAAATAACCCGAGGGTATAGTATTTAGTGATTAATATTGAACATAGCCATGATTACAATGGAACATAGCCATGAACCTAGCCAGAAAAATATTAATTCTTCATTATTACAATGATTACCCTCTGGTTATTTAACATAGCCATGGAAAAAGGTCCATGAAAATAGATGGTTTACCTATTAAAAATTGTGATTTCCATGGCTATGTTAAATAACCAGAGGGTATATAGTGATTACTATTGATTAAGGTATGTATTAGTAGTGATTAGATAGTAATTATAAACCAACATTTACTTGAAAATGACAATAGTTCATTATATGTTCATTACAATAATCATTGCTCATGCTTTTACAGTGTTGACTACCCTCTGGTAAACTAACAGTATGATTACATAGTGATAAATCGTAACTTTAGGACTTTTTAAGGGGATTTAACCATCAAGTATGGAATTACCCTCTGGTAAACTAACATAACTATGGAACATCACCATTTGGAATGGCTAAATCAACTATTTCTATGTGCCATTTTCAACAGCGATGTAAGAAAGTACCAAAAGGTACATATCAATATCCTTAATAATCATTAGATTATAATATCTATATCTATCATTATCATGATATATTTATCGGTGTCATTATTTGTGGTCATTTTTTGACAATAACCATAGTGATGATTATATGAGGATGTCAGTAATAAGTATCAATGGGTTCATTATCTCAATAGAGATTATTATAGATCAATGTCAAAGTGCTTATTTTTTAACAATATCAATAGTGATTCGATGATTATTTTATATTTAGTGATGGCCATATAACAGCAACAATAGTGATGATTAATTAGTGCTACTATTTTTGTCTAAGAGATATTAATGACTAGGGTTATTGAAAAAACGATAAAAAGTCATATAAACATCACTATCTATGGTTATCTATTGTCATATGTTTAACGATAACCATAGTGATGATTATATAACAAGTATCAATAGATTCATTATCTATGGGTTTGTCCATGTCTATTGCAATAACCATATAATTACAGATGACTATTTAACAAATATCAACAGATAGATATTTAATAATGATATTGACACAACCATAAACAAAACAAATTCAGAAAATAAAATGAACACCACTGAAATCAAACGGGATTTGCCATATTAATAGATATTATATATGTATATAATGATTAGATAGATATAGACACACACATACATATATATATATATTAAAGCAACAAAATTGGTGTTCCCAAGAAATCACCGTCCCCAGATTTTTCTGATTGGTTGATAGCAACCCCCAAAATGATGCCGAAAAGTGGTCCACCTGGAAATATGTAGACCTAATATGTAGTAAACTAGTAGACCTTTAAGTAGTACCCTCTGGTAAACAAACAATTTGCTATTGAAAATTGTGATTTATAGTGGATTTACCCATTAAAAATGGTGATTTTCCATAGCTATGTTAGTTTACCAGAGGGTAGACCTATAACTTCCAGGAAACACTTTAAGTGACATTGTGGTGGGATGTGGTGGGTCAGCCCCACCAATCATGGCCACGTGTCCGCTGCCGAGGATCGTTCGACGCTACTGCGTCCGGCTTGCGGTCTACCGTGGCATCATCGCAGAAGCGAAGCGCAGGGCCAGGCTGATTCTAAGCGAAAAGGTGCGCCCTGGGCTACAGGAAGCAATAGGGCAGTGTGGCTATCGGATTTCAGGTGGCCCAATATCTGGGCAATAACTTCCATAACTATGGTCTCTGGTAAATGGGGTTTATAAACCAACTATAGTTTTCATGGGGTACCCCTTTATCGCTGGATAAATCCCATCTATATGGATGAAGGTCCGGGGTACCCCGGACCTCCGGAACCCCGGACCGGAAAGAAACCTCCATGGCTCAAACTTTGGGGGTTGAACCATTGAACCACCCAAAATTGAGGGGTTAACCATGCAAATTTGGAATTGAACTACATTAAATTGAGTTGAGTGTGAATAACCTGGGGTATGCTTTGTATGTCCACCATTTGTTGTTTTTTTCTTCATAGGAAAGATGAATGGTCCGAATTCTGACAGTTTGTTATTTCGTGTGCCGCTTCTGACAGTTTGTTGGGGAAGTGTGGTGGGAAACCACCCAAGACTCTTTGAGCCTCGGCTCATCCGTTGCCGCTCTGGCTCAGCTATTGACAGACCTATAACAGCAGGTAGAAATGACATGGGAACGTTGCTGAAAGATCCGCCAGCTCCATGTGGATCACCTTAAAAGGTACCTTCGAAATTTGGGGCAGGAAATGTGTCAAGGACGGTGACTTTCAACATAGGATGAAACATGAAGTCTTACTGAGCAGTGAATTTCAATGAGTGAAAGATGTGAAAGTGAGGAAAGTGAGCTCGGCTAACATCTTAGCAACATCCATTGTGGACCAGCCGACTTCAAAACTTCAGGGCTTTTGGCGGGTTTCAACCCTTGAGTTTCAGGGCTATCCTGGACTTCAATCAGCCCTTACCAAGTTCAACACAACATACTACACATGCAACAGCCTTGACCTTCAAGAGCAGAGAATAGTATATAAATACTGTAAATAGTTGCAAAGAGATACTTGAGGTTCCACATGTCATCCAAACACAACTTTGGGGCTTCTCATTGGGTTCTTGGATTCCATCATTTGGAGGTTCAACGACCTGTCCCCCGAGGGTCTTCGCTGCGCCGCCATGTTGCCGACCACGACACAGCAGGCGGCAGCCCTGGGGAGTCGAGACCAGGACGTGTTGGGTCGGGAACGACCAGGTCCGATGCCAAGAGAACCCGGAGAGACAACAAGAAAATCATGGATCCTTGGGATAATTAATTACACCTCAACTCATGGATAATTGGGATAATTACACCTCAACTCATGGATAATTGGGATAATTGGATTCTCATTGGGACAATTCTTCACCATGGATACACCTGAAATAAATCCCCATCCAAATGAAGCCATGCAGGACATGGTCATCAAGACGGTTGACATGTGGTACCGGTGCCCGGGCAACATTCGGAGAGTTGGAGAGTTGGCCATATACTGCGAGAAAAATGCTTCGCATTCACAATGATAGCCATGCCTGCCATGCCCCATGTGCCATGAGGAAAACAAGTTTCCTGTTCTCACTTTCACATCATCCAGCTTTGGTGCTTCATTCTTGCCATTCAAAGTAATTACTGTTGGTCCGTTGGTTGGTGGTTTTAAACATACTGTATATACTGTATTTGATTTGCAACCCTAGCAATGGCAGGAGGATCGCAACTGACTTGCACATATCAAGGATGTGGTGGCCACCACCAACCAGATAAACATGTGATTTACCGCCTTTTTTTGATGACCGGAAGCCTCTCGGCTCAGGTCCTTCCGCAATTCTACGATTTACGCACAGCTTCGCATGATTGCGTCCATCCTCTTTGGTTGCCTCGGCTGGATGTGTGGTCCACACGGTCCACTGGATGTGGAGGAGTTTGTGGACAACGATGGGTCCCCAAGAATGGGAACATATTACGGTGGAATGGTGTTTTGAAAATCACACAAAAAGAGTCACCAGAAGTTTTAGTGATTCTAGTACTAGTTGGCCTAGTTGTAAGGCAACTTACCTAGTGGTCTAGGAGTCTAGGGGATGCCCTTCTTGATTTTCACCTGTTCCCAGGAGTTTTCCAAGAAGTGTCTACCCATAGCTTCCCTGCGACAAACAGAACTGACAATGAAACGTGGAAGATGTTCATTACCATTAGTTCCATCTTCTTGGATTGCCAAGTACTGCAATTGGACTCTTAATTACTTTTGTTATTCAATATATAACTTTATTATATAACTGGATCGGACTGGATTTTTTTTTGCATGTCAAGATGCCAGCTGCTTCCATCCCACTGAGGAAAAATTAGCAGGACCCCCGGACCCCCCCAAATCAATTTGGGGGTAAGTTCATTCCTCACCTAATTCCCGCTTGGTTTCGACAGTATCAGTAATAATTTAGTTTTCCCTTATAGAAATGAATGCCCTGAACGCCTAATTATAGTGATCCCGAGTTAGTACCTGCATGCATAAGGTAGTGCCCCTGATTACATGTATTGTAGGTAAGTTTATTATCCACATTTATCCACTAATTATGCTACCTAAAGTTATCCTAGTAACAACATGTCACTCTCTCTCTCTATATATATATATATAGTTCTGAGGCTACCATGCCTATTTGTAAACCTACCTGGACCCTTCAAGTACCCTCAAACATGGTGGTTTACCCCAGAATCTAAGTACTTTCACCACTTTTTGGAGGTATTTGGAGGGCCTAGGTATCTATATCATTCTATATCTATCTATATCTATCTATACATATTTGAATCTTAAACTCTATACATTATACAGATAGCCTAGTCACAGCTTACAGGGCTCACTGGCCTGGCTCACCGTCGTCCCAGGCTTTGTGGTGCTGTTTTTTCTGTTAGGCGGCGGAAGTGCGGCGCCGGGCGCGGGCGCTTTCTCCCCAGAGAAGCCCAGCCGATAGAGTGATGTTTTACTCAGCAAGTGGGGGCATTTTTGCACCCCAAAATCCGGAAATTTGGGGCTCGAAAGATAATTTTTTACTAACTGCACATAGTGGATATGATGGAGCCCTGGCTGACTGTGGACTTCTGCAATTGCCAAAAAAGGGGGTGTAATCCACACAAGACTCGGGGAACTCGGGTCAGCAAAATCTACAGGATTGCTCCAAGCAATTACCGTATATGGATATATCATGGCCGGTGGAAATTTTCGTGACTTTACCCCCCTTGTACCGCTGCAGCTGTGCTCTAAGGAAACTAGTGGAAGATAGGTCCACCGAAGGATTGATGGAGGCGACTGAAATTCTTCAGTCAAGATTCTTGGATCAGCGTGCTGAACGTTGCCCAAACGTTGACCTATCAAGAGCCCAGAAGCCCTCAAAGACTTAAAGACCACCCGGGTAGTTCACAGCAATGATCAAGGGGTGAGGTGATCTAGAATGAGGTGACTGTAGTCGACAGCAACGAAGGAACCCACGTAATCATGTCTTTAAACAGACATTTTGACCAACATTTTGATGAACGCGGTGCCAATGACGGGCAGAACATTCTTTAGGAGACCAGCCCTTTGTTCTCTTGGACCATATTTGGCGTTTTTCTTTAGCTCCAGCCATGGCTGATTGCACACTGTTTGGGCAGCATTCTAGCCGGCCTTGCTGATGTTCGTGTAAGAGGAGTTGGACATGTCTTCTAATGCTGGATCTTATCTTGATCCATCCTTTGCTGATTTGTTTTGTTTACAACCATTTATAACCACTACCCCCCCAAAAAAAAACACGTTTGAAAAGTAGGTTGCCCCTCACAATGGATATTCACCCACTGATAGACACTATTCATATAACGGTTTCCCATTGAAGACGTTGAATTCCCATTGCTTTGTCTACCAGAGACTGTGTCAAAGAACTTGACTATCCAGATCCAGACACCCATTGGCGTCCCTCACTGTTGAACATCTACAAGACATTTGTTGATTTCACCCAAGCAGCAACACCGTCCCAACCTTGGCCAATCCCAGCTTGTGTAAAGCTAAACAAGCTGGATGTTCTGCGCATGTTCTGCGGAAACCCCAAATGTTCGCCGTATCAGCATGTGCACCTTCAATTCAACAACAAAAATTATACCGTGAAATCACACCAAGTTGCAACGCCTTCAACGCCTACGCCCAGGAATACCTCCATCGGCCACCCAGCCTTTGCCTTCCATGCTGTACCTAGTGGCCTTGGTGGCCTTCAGCGGTTTAGCCTTTGCGGGCTGGCTGGCGGCCTGGGTGCTGGCGAAGGATGAAGGCGATGAGAAGATGCGACAAGTGTGCCACGGATGGCGCGTTGGGAATGTGGGGAGGCGATGACAAGAATATGGACGAATTGACTCAGATTGAGGGGCTTACAGTATCTTACAGGGTTTTACCATGTTTCATCAGCAAACATATCTAAAAATCACCAACAAATGGAATGGATAGAAATTGGTAGTTTTGGTGAGGAACATTCTGAAGTTGAGAGACAGATATCACGAAAGGTAGCTCCAGAGGGGCTACCTTGAGTTTTACTTTACGAAGTAAAGGGGAGGGCGGCCAGCCCCGTTACCTGATTCTTCAGGAGATTGCTAGTTATTTTAGTACCCCCCTCCCCCCCCCCTCCACACCTCCCACGCACCCTAAGAGCAGACTCAAAATACTGTAATTTACAGTATTTTTGTTCTTTTCGGATCAAGAAACCACATTTTGTTACATGGTGAAACCTCCGTAAATACCAGTGTTTTTGCTAGGTGCTGGCCAAAAAACACTGTAAATACGTGCTTTTTGCTACCAGAGCAAAAAACCATTGTAAATACCGTGGTTTTGGGCTTCCGACCCGCCAAAAACATCGGTATTTACGGTGTTTTTTGCTCCGAGAGTTGCAAAAACACGCGAAAACACCACCGATTTGACGATTTTCGGCCACTACGGAACCGAGCAAAAACGCTGCAGGGGTAACACCAACACCAACAACAACAACACCAACGGCAACAGCAACAACAACAACGACGACAACAACAACAACAACAAACACACAACGCACAATGCACAACGCACAACGCACAATGCACAACGCACAACGCACAACGCACAACGCACAACACACAACACACAAAACACACAACACACACACAACACACACAACAACACACAACAACACACAACAACACACACAACAACACACACACAACAACACACACACACAACAACAACACACAACAACACACCACAACACACAACAACACACAACAACACACGCAACACACAACACAACAACGCAACAACAACACACAACAACACACAACAACACACAACAACACACAACAACGCACACACACAACACACCACAACACACCACAACACACACAAGACACACACAAGAACACACACGAACAACAAGAACACACAACAACACACACAACACACCACAACACACAACAACACACAACAACACTCACAACACACAACACACACAACACACAACAACACACAACAACACACAACAACACACAACAACACACAACAACACACAACAACACACAACAACACACAACAACAACAACAACACACAACAACACACAACAACACACAACAACACACAACAACACACAACAACACACAACAACACACAACAACACACAACAACAACAACAACAACAACATCAACAACAACAACAACAACAACATCAACAGCAGCAGCAGCAAACAACAGCAACAGCAACAACAACAACAACAACACGAACACGAACAATACCAACACCAACAACACGACCAACAACACCAACACCACCAACAAACCCAACCACACCAACAACACTAACAACACTAACAACACCAGAAACACTACCACCACCAACAACACCAACACCACCAGCACCACCAACACCACCAACACCACAACCACCACCAACCCCAACCACATCGCCGAAGCCTTTCAGTCGCTTTTAGCGGACTCCCCTTCATATTTTTGGAAAGAAAATGGCCGCGTCGCTTTTACCAGACTCCACTTTATGTATTTTTCCCTCCCCTCTCCCCTTCATTTTTTCTTCGGTTCCTTTCTTGCTTACCTACCTTTCGTGTTCCCCCTCTCAAGTGAAGATTTCACCAGGAAAAACTGAAATTTTGCCACAACAATTGGTAAGCATTTGAGTAGTTGGATCACGCAAAGTAAAGTAATTTTCTGATGAACATGTTCGACCTAATCAGTTACACTTTATGCAAACTGCAAGGGGGATTGGATGAAATTGCTTGAAAACCTGCCGAAGTGGTACGCCTAGAAATTCGTTGAATTTCTCCAATTTGATCCAATCCACGACCTTCCAAATGCCACCCAAAAAATGTTGAAAATATATGAACATATATAGTAAAATTAATGATGGTAAAACAGCATAGATCCATTGTTATATAAGGGTAGAGACGGAGGGATACGGAGGGTCTAGGCACCCCGTCTGCCGAGGTCAGACGCCATTCGCGAAGGTGCCGCGGGCTTCCTGTCCACGCAGCACCTTGGCATTTCCTCAGAGAAACGGGGACAGTGCAGCATGGATTTTTGTTTTGAGGTTGAACAGAAGGTAAACAAAAATATTCAAAGATATCTATATTAAGCTTAAAATAATTTTACGTATAATATCATTATATATATCTCATATATGTATATATAGTTAGATAGCTGATCTATAGATCATTTTTTGATATGGATGATGAGATAGATACCTGACGCTTCAGGGATGAACTTCCGAATCAACCTGGCGGTTTCAAACATCTGGTATTTTTTCCCATTGATCCCCACGAGAAACACAAGGATCCACATGTTTTATGGTTCAATCATGTTCAATCCCCATATTGGGATTATCCCCAGATAATCCTAAACCTATTTTAGTTTCATTTAGTTTCACTTCTATTGGGGCTATAAGAGACTAGATAAACATAGATAAACTAGCTTTCATTTGCTACCATTTGTCACCAACTTCGACAGATACGCCAGCATCTTCAAGTTGGCGGTGGTGGTGCTCATCGGAATCTTCTTGATGTACATCGTCCGCGAGCCCCCGAAGAATCTCTCCCAAGTGCCCTCCTCACGGCTGGCGGTCTGTGTGGCCGTATCCTTCGCCACAGGTGCGCGCTGTCGTGCAACGGTGGTTTGATGGGTAGATCTAGGGATGGGGACAATGGGGATAACTATAATGATTACCCATGGTACATAAATATAGACCCTGAAAATTACCAATTTTTAGTGGAAACTAATCTTCCAACCCCTATCTGCCAGGGTCTATGTTAATTTGCTGGAGGGTGATACATAATATATATATATATTTATAGAGAGAGAGAGAGAGAGAGCGAGAACCGGATATCACTAAGTCACTAGGAAAGAATATGGTTTTGGAGTGTGAATCCATGTGAATCCCAACTTTGGGAAATGGTGGGGTGCCGAGATACATGGGTGATCTTCCACGGCAACATATTATTCAAGGCTAGCATAGGAGCAATCTATGGAGTTGACTCAGTTGGCCAGGAAAACCTTGATGTTGATAGCTTGATCATGCGTGGTAACGTCCTGGTTTGTGATACAAACCCACCGTTTCATGTGCTGCAATTTTGAGGGCTCTCGAAGGGTGGGCAAGGGTCATGACTAACCCATGACTATTGGGACATGGCAAATCTGATGAGACTGTCAGTCGGCATGGCAAGCAGCCACCTCGAATAAGTTGCTGTGACTTAGCGGAAGGGCATGGATGGTGGTGCCCCTAGCTATGTTTGTTTTTATCATCTCCTTATCCCCACATATCCCCACCTACCATCAACTATCTATGTTTATAATGTGTGATCACCACAAATCCAACAGTTAGTTAGTGCCTAGTTAACCTAGTTGTTTCCACATAAATCCTACATAGTTAACCTAGTTGTTTCCACCAACTTAGCTACCTTTAACTGAAATCCTGCCGATCTTCTCAGTGTCGAGGTTCGGTTCTCAGCGGCATTGCTGGCTATGTTGGAATGTCTCCCGGCTGCGCTTCGGCCACTCACCAACCACAGAGATATTAATCAACATCTCTATAATCTACGTTCTGCATATGTTTTTTCATATACATATATAAAACACATATACAACACACACACACATATATATATATATAAACAATATATATATTTACACATATACATTCCAACAAAGTTGTTCCAACAAGAAATCAAGAACCAAACCGCCTACGAACCCCATAGATCCTCCGTGGATTCATCCACGTGCCGCTTGGCGCGTCGCAGGTGGGTGGCGGTCCGCTCCAACATCCGCGTGGCCAGTGCGGCGTGTCGCAGCTTTCAGGAGGCCATTGCGGTGGGGCTGCGGGCGGGCGCCTTCAGTGGGGTTCTGGTGGTGTCTATGGCGCCTCGGTGGGGGAGGAAAATGGATGGGATGGAATGGGCGAAGAATGGGCTAATCATATCTAATCATGGGTTCATAGTGTTGATTATTTACAATTAATGGTGATAATCAATGGTCAATCATTGTGGGTATATAACCAACAACAATTCGATCGGGAATGGACAACTGGAATGGTCTGGGCAACCCAAAGCCATAAACCTACCATGAATTGGGATGGGTGCAAAAAAGACCCAAAGAAATCGTGATTTTGGGGATGGTTTATTATTGGGTTTACAATATCATGGGGAGATTATCATGGAATAACGGGATATGAATGGAATCTTGATGGACTATTTGACTATTAAATCTATGGGAAATCACAAAACTAGCGAGGTTTCAAACTGGGAAAACCAAGAATTGGGAGAGTCTCCACTTGGACCATCCCATGGTTGGTGTGGGGTTGGGACCCAACGGAGGGATGTCAAGCACCGTTGGGTGATTTGATGCTTTGGTTTAGAGGAAAGGAGTTTATGGAAAAAATGGAATGGGGGTGTACTGGGAGAGTGTTTGTGAATTTTACTCCTGGCTGTTTGCACTGTTGGCATTCGCTGTAACATGCACCATTGAGATCCATTGATGAGTAGTTTCTTTTACATGTTTGCTGCGGTAATGGTGATAGATGTGTGCTAATTATTTTTCGAATCTCTTCTGTGACTGCAAGCGCGGAGGCGCGCAGAAGGGGATTACAATGAGGACCATGGGGACCAAGCATCAGCGATGGCTCATAAGCCACCATGAAATAGAACATAATCTATGGAGGGCTAAAAATATCCAAAAACTATTCTATACCCACAATCTATGAATGGAGATGCTTTCAAGGCGAGAAATTCTTGGTTGAGATTCATCACCTACAGGGTGACTCCAGACGACAATAGACATGTTCCATGACTCGAGACGACTCCGAGATATCATCACATATCACAACCTAAACGTTGGTACCGTGGTAAATCATGTCTTGGTTGGTGAAATACCTACTCTCATGGGAACCCAACCTCCTAACCAATACTCATTCCATATAAGGATTATCCAATGATAACCCCTGAATTTTCCAGAAGAATCTGTTACAAATCACGAGATACTTGTCTGATTTTCCTGGTTCGGAATTGTTCATTGTAATGATGTATATAATATTATATATATATTTATTTACATATTATTATATACATATAGTATGTCACCGTATGTCCAAATGTTCCCATATTACTTTCCCAGTGAATAGCAAAGGTTCCACTACTCTCCACTGGGTGTATGTTCCGCTAGGTTTTTGACCTCACATAGCGGAACTATGGTGGACCTGGGAAGTCAGATACATTATTTAACATGATTTTTCCCCATTTGACATTCGATGACCATACCCTATTCATCCCATATTTTGACTTACGTTTGTTCGTTATAAACCCATTACAAGCCATGAACCAGTCCAAGAGTGGGCCTTCGACTTGGAATCTTGCGATAAACCCATTACAGTTATAATTACCATCGACCCAAACGCGACATATATACCCAACAACACCAACAGAAAACAGCCTCGCAGCGTCAACTGGGCGTCACCAGTGGCCCAGGTCCTCTTGGGCATCATCGGCTTACTCTTCGGTGTCCGTTTGTTCGTCCCGGCAGCGCTGCATCAACTGCCCTTTCTGCTGGTGGGCTACGGCTTTGGCGCGTCCTTTGTGGCGCTCTTTGCGCAGCCGCCCGGAGAGCGGTGGAACGGGGGGGTGCAGAGAAGTGAGGTGAGGGACTGGGTGAAAAGGTGATGTGAAAACAGATGAAAACAGGGAAACAAAAAAAGTTTGTTTTGTCGATCTCCCATTTTTTTGGGGGGAAAACAGACCATTCAATATTTGAGGAAATAAAGGCACACATTTGAAATTATAAGTCCCAATTGTATAGGTTTGCCGATCTAGTTTTTCATCGACGGATCCTACAACCATACTGTACATATATATACATCAATATCAATCTATTCAGAGTCTAATCTTAATCTGAATCTTAACCCAATCAAAATCCAAAGTTATAAATCAACACTAATTTGATTTAATGTCGAGTTTAATCATGTTTAATCATGTTTAATCAATCTATCTATCCACTAATATCCATTATATTTATTTACCTTTCCACTTTTCCACTGCCATGTTTGATTACTGGACCACCGGCATCCACCGGCCATGATTTCGGCCATGATTTCCACGAAGCCGAGGCTGGGAGGTGGCATCTACACCAAGGCTGCGGATGTTGGTGCCGACATGGTCGGTAGCTTGGCTGGAAAGGGGGACCTTGGAGAGGCCCCTGGAGGTGGAAACAGCTGGAAACCCACAGAAATCTGTAAATATAATATATGCTGTATTTTTTTGTCACATAGTCGCTCCGAGGATGGAGAAACATAATGTAAAAAGACAAACAAATTGAAACACATTGTTTTTTTGTTTTTCCAGCAGACATAGGGATTGGACCAACGAAAAACACAGGGATAGAACAAGAAGAGGATATCCAGAACCCAGCAGAACCGTGGACCGGTGAAATGTTTATCATCCAACAAGGGCATGGATCCGCAGCATGACCAACTCACCATCCATCTTTTTTGGAGCCTGTCAAGTTGACCATAGTTGACCCATATCAGAAACGTAGGTGATTTCACCACATTGATCTACAGTATGATCTCAAACTTGCACACAAGCACATGTATATAAAATGTATATACTTTTCTTTTTTTAAAATAAATATGATACATAATATTTAATATTATATACTAATCATAGCTAGTGATATTAATGACATCAGTTGAATATGTATTCCAGATATTACAGTACCTTCCTATGTGCATCACATTGAAGCAACGGCAGCAACGTCTCAGGAAAGGTGGAGTCTGACATCCCCGAGGACGACCCCCGGAACCCCGCGGTGATCGCGGACCTGGTGGGGGACAACGTGGGGGACTGCGCGGGCCGCGGCGCGGATCTCTTCGAGTCCATCGCGGGGGAGATCCTGGCGGCCATGATTTTGGGCGGGACCTTGTCGCAGAAGCGCCTTGGAATGAACTTGAAGGATTTTACCCAGCCTGGTAAACATACAAAAAACTATGGACAATCACCATTTTTAATCCGTAAATCAACTGTAAATGGGCAATTTTCAATAGCTATGTTAGTTTACCGGAGGGTATATGATTTTATGAGATTTCTGCATGATGGCAATTTTTTAAATGAGGATCAAACATGATCAAACTATGCAACAATATGAATACCTTAAGGGGATTCGCCGGAATACGTGGAATGTCAACATTTGCGATGGGATGAGCAGTTTTTCCAACCAGAGCTGGAGGTTGTCCGTCTTCATTTCGTTGCGGAAATTGCCAGATCAGCTGCAGATTTGATGGCTGAAACATGGAAATTCCATGAACTATGAACTATATTGTGGATGTAGATGATTCTGACATGAGCTAACATAGGTCCAGATTCTGAAGTTGAACATAGTGTATGTTTATGTATGTTTAGAGTCGTTCAACTTTCGGTGCCTTGCATTGGCCAGTCGGACTTAAATGGTGGTTTTGTTTCGTCGTTGCTTCGGGGATGATCAGGTTGCCTGCAGATGCCGCAAATGGCAACTTGGCTGACACGTGTAAAGTCTAAAGGATCAACCTCAACAGGGCCCAAGAATGGTTCATTTGCTGTGTTTAATCAGTTTAATCCGCGAATGATGCAAGTGATAACTCAACAGACGTCATAAGCATGGTGAAACTTCAAGGTTTTCCCTATCTTGTCACCTCTGGGTTTTCTCCAAGGCTATGTCTTGTTCCCCTTGGCCATTCATGCGATGGATCTCATTGTGAGTGGTGTGGGGATCATGATGACCGAAGCTCCCAAGGGCAAAGGCAGCAAGATGCTCGGCATCAGGCGAGTCTGAGGTTTTGTCCCTCGCTGCGACGTCACTGCAATGATGCCTAGTAAGGGCAATCATCTCCAAATGGTCTTATTTCAGGTTGGTGAATGATTATGTGAAAAACTACCTATAAAACACAATTATATAATTTGATCCAGAAATATCACTGGTTGAATATGTTTGAATACATTCAGGGTGAAGATGTACGTGCACACGCAAAAAAGCTACATGCATGGACTCGAGATTTGGTCTGTATAAACCATGTTGGGGGGTTGTATACTACCCCATAGGATCCATGGTGCTAGTATACATGCTAACATTGATTGGGGGTGTATTGATGGGATCCATGGCACACCATATATAGCAGCACCATGGATCCGTCATGGGTACCTGGCTACATGATATCGGGAAGGATTCCACTGAGCCATAGACATCTCCATTCCACTGGCAGAAGCATAGCCCATCACACAAAAATCGAACTTCCGCCAGCAGAGTCCAACATTTTGGAGGGTCTGTCATTTTCAGAACATGGAAAACCTGCTTCAACATGAAATCCCAAGATATGGTACGGACGATAGTGTTGCTTCTGAAAAAATCATCGCTCTTGGGTTTGGAGACATGAGCCATCATAAACCATCTATTCTTTTGAGATTTGATTTACATACTAATGTAGATACTGTTTCGACTATCGAAAACTGGCATCCAACGGGAAACAAAAATCACAACACATGGTTTTCTTATATTCGTTATAGTGGATGGAAGAAATCCTTCATCACATTGGATGGTTGAAACCCTATAAATAATGTGATAAACACCTATCAACTGGTGCAGGATTAATTCCATCCACATCCATCCACCATATTTCAATTGTTGAAGGATTTTTCCAAGGCAACGCCTCCAGACTGGCGATTTCCAAGCCATTTCCGCTTGAGGAACATCGACCCAATGGAGGTCTTAAAGAGCGGATACAAGGCGCTTTTCGAGAACGAACAGATGGCGAGTTCACCATCCAAAATGATGATTTAAGATGATTCAATAGGATTTAACATGATTTAACATGTTCGCTGCAACCTGGACGTTTGCCCGGAGTTGATGTCTCGCCTTCCTGATTTTGATCCTTCATGAAGATCAAGTTGATGTTATTACCCCAATCCATTCAACATATTGGTCACAGGGGGTGGCGAATTTTGATCCCTCATGAAGATAAAGTTGGTGTTATTATTCCAATCAACGTATTGTTCAGAGGGGGTGGCGAATGTTGATCCCTCATGAAGATAAAGTTGATATCAATTCCCCAATCAACATATTGTTCTGTTATGTCACAATCATGAGTCTGGGCGAACGTTAAGGTTGCGGGCAACATGTTTTACTAGGATTTAACATGATTTAATATCATTTAACAATATTTAACATGATTTAACATGATTTAATAGAATTTAACATGATTTAACATGTTTCAATAGGATTTAACATGATTTAACATGTTTTAGTATAGGATTTAACATGATTTAACATGATTTGATAGGATTCTAATAGGATTTGATATTATTTAAAGGAATTCAAATCACTAATTTTCAGCAAAATGGTGAACTTGAGTATATGACTATTGGGATTTAACCATCCCACCAGTGACTCAATGGTTGCCGTTCTGCGGATTCAACCAATTCCTTAAGAGGTCGGTCACCGGCCCGATTAACAGTTATGATTGAAGCTTATTAGCTATCATTGGGGGGGATTACTTTTTTGCAAGTATTGGTAAAATGGTACTAGCCGCTAGGTATTCCCCTAAGATGGTACTAATCATGAAGATTCCTTAAAAAAATAGATAAAACGGTACTAATAATTACATATATCAACATATGTCCATATTTTTAGTAATCTGAATAGATCCTATCAGGTGTTCCAACACCCCGGTTCTTTGAGGTGTCTGTGGGCTTGGCAGCCGTTGGCATCGTGGTGCTTTGCAGATTGCTCCTCGAAGCCGGTCAAGTCATCTATGAAGTGGAGCTATGTTTCATTGGATTTGGATAAGGGAAATTTTACAGGAACACCCTATATTTGATGGCAAAAACCATGGTTTCCTCTAGATTTTCCCTTATTTGAACCAATCCAATGAATGTTTGATTACCAGAGGGGAAGTCATACATTATCATAAATTGGTTTAGTTTCAGCGATCTGCAGATAGATCCACCATAAATATCCACAAATCGTATATAAAAATCCTGTTAATGGAATGGTACTTAAAAACCAACTTGCCCATTTTGGGAATTCCAAAATGAGGTGGTTGACGCTTTATATGGGCAGATCAAGTGAGTATAAGTATAGCTGGGTAAGCTTATAAAATAAGCAGCCAACACCAAGGATTTATAACCAACCAAAGCCGGTGAAATAAGCCACGACTGGCATGATGGGTCTATGGTCGGTTGATGGTTGGTTGTTGCATTAAATGCTAAACAGCTAGGTATTTTTTGACAACCGTGACTACCAGGTGGTTCTCCTTAGCGAAGCTGGTTTTCAACCCCATCACTTCCACCCTTTGCAGCATTGCAGCACTGGAGGATGGTCATCAATAAAGGATATCCCATGTTTTGAGCATGACACATGGATTGGGAGAAAATAAGAACTATCACGCTAAATTTAGATTTGGATAAAGGTTTGAACTTTGCCTATGTTTCCCTTAGTTAGGCTTATGATGATATAGTCTGATATAGTGTTGTTTTGTTCATGGGAACACCCCAACTGGTTTCTCTTTTTGTGGACACAGGTGCCAGGTTTAAAGCCAAACAAAATCCATGCAATTCTTGCGGTCCTAGGACAAACCCAAAGAATGACTCAAATAATGTGATTCATATGATGGTATAAATTGTATAGTTATAGTTTGGTTGTTTCGGCTGAACAAATCCACTGACATGAGCAAGTGACGTTTTAACATGAATTTTAATTAAGGATGTATATCGTCATATGTGGCTCCGTTGCTATGGTTTGACCTCGGGGCATTGGCTACGTGTTGGCCTTTTAAAGCGGGTTCCCTTGAAACCTCTTTTTCCGGTACAGAAATGGGTTCCTAAGTCATACATCACAAATTCCCTTTTAGATGATCAATTTCAATGGTTGTCGATATGAGGATGAAAAACAGGCCATTGAAATGGTTTTTTTCATCCCCAGGCTTCCCGGAGTTTCACCCGGTAACGCGGTAACCCGAAGCGGGCTTCGCGGGTGTTCCAAGTCCAGGCTCCTGTACACAGAGAGTCACCCAACTGCCTGGATGTACTTCTCGGTCTGCGGCTTAGTCGGCCTGGGCACCGCCTTTCTCTTCATTTTGGTGACACAGTGCCGTGGCAGCCACGGCAGTTTGTGCGTAGGATGGGATCGGATGGGATCGGAGTCCGGTGACATTTTGAAGCGCATTGATCATATCAGATTTGTCACGGGGTTGTCCCAGGGGATGCCAGCAGAACACATTCTTATGGGAAATTGGTAAGCCAGTGGATTTTGGGGACACATCCATATTTGGTGATTTTGGATTACCCTGAGGTAATGAAAATAGCAATTGACAATCCCACATTTATAGATGATGTTCTTATTGGAACCTCCAGTTATAGGCCATTTTCCTAGCCACATTTCTTTACCAGTTGGTATGTTGGCTATGAATCAATACCTGCCTACAAATAGCATCTTGAGAAGAATAGACATCCATAAATCCCAGCTATTTTCATGTTCACCAGGTATAAAAACCAGGTTTTGACCCAACCCCATGTTGGCTCCAGGCTCGAAACCCAGCGATCGCCTCTGGGCCAAGGTACTACACAGACTTCAACTATCCACCCGTGCGGCTGATCGCCCAAGCTTCACTCACTGGACATGGCACCAATGTCATCGCCGGCATGTCGGTGGGAAGCTGGGTCAAAAAAGCGATGGGGTAAAAAAAAAATACTTTACTTCGTGTGATCCCCACCGTGACATTTTTACATTTTCTTACTGGCAAATCTTCTGGCATTCTATCTGACATATCTTCTGGCATTCTATCTGGCAAATCTTCTGGCATTCTATCTGGCATATCTTCTGGCATTCTATCTGACAAATCTTCTGGGATTCTATCTGGCATATCTTCTGGCATATATTCTGACATATCTTCTGGCATTCTATCTGGCATATCTTCTGGTATATCTTCTGGCATATCTTCTGGCATTCTATCTGGCATATCTTCTGGCATATATTCTGGCATATTATCTGGCAAATCTTCTGGGATTCTATCTGGCATATCTTCTGGCATATGTTCTGGCATATCTTCTGGCATTCTATCTGGCATATCTTCTGGCATATTATCTGGCAAATCTTCTGGGATTCTATCTGGCATATCTTGTGTCATTCTATCTGACATTTTATCTGGCATACCTTCTGGCATTCTATCTGGCATATCTCATAGCATTTTATCTGGCATATCTTCTGGCATTCTATCTGACATTCCATCTGGCATATCTTCTGGCATTCTATCTGGCATATCTCATGGGTCCGGCAGGGAACACTTGGCGTGGATACTGGCGGTTGAGGTCCGGCAGGGAACACTTGGCGTGGATACTCGCGGTTGAGGTCCGGCAGGGAACACTGGACGGGGATGGTCGTGGTTGAGGTCCGGCAGGGAACACTGGGCGTGGATGGTCGTGGTTGAGGTCTGGCAGGGAACACTGGGCGTGGATGGTCATGGTTGAGGTCCGGCAGGGCGCACTGACGTGGATGGTCGTGGTTGAGGTCCGGCAGAGAACACTGTGGATCGCGGGTCACAGTTGAGCAGGAGGACGAGGAGGACAACGAGAGGAGGAGGACAACGAGAGGAGGAGGAGAGGAGAGGAGGAGGAGGAGGAGGACCAGGCAACTGACATAAAATCTAACAACCCTCACCTGGCAGGTGGGGAAAAACAGAACGGCCCCTCATGGGGGAGTTACAGTGTTTTGTGAGAAGAGTAGGCTTAAAACCGTTATTTTCGAGCAAAAAAACAGAGTTCACCTCCAAAGCCTATCATATGCTGTCATAACTACTGGCATCTACAGACTCTTGTGACAGGATTCAACTTTTCCTGTGGGGCTTGCAAGAGCTGCAAGCAATCAACACATAACAGAACACATTTGCTGCACAACATGCCATAAGAATGGGTAGCTGCGCATCTTGGAGCAGAATATACAGTAGCAATAGGTGGCTAGTGTGATAGAGGTGATGGAGAAATTCCATTGCTAGAAGCAATTGATATTTATATAGCTGTTTCTTCATGAACTTGTTTGATTGATATCATCTCAACATACATTGTATATAGAAGCATTTGCGCTTGCAACAGTTCATTGAAAGTACATAAAGGTCCAGGTGTGCAAAAGGACATACATCAGAAGTACACTCCTGGTAAAATTTAACATACCTATGGAAAATCACCATTTCTAGTTATCATTCCCATGAAAAATGGAGATTTTCCATGGTGGTAAGATGTTTGTCCTGGTTTTGTTGGGTGCCTTGGTGAATAATGGAAGGTATGCTATGCATGGGGACTGGGTGTTGGTTGATGTGCACCCTTTGGTAATCTAACATAGCTATGGAAACTGGCCCATGAATATACCCATATATATATACATATTATACATATTATTTTTATATATATATATATTGCTTTGATTTACCAACTGACCATGATAGATTTGCCTAGCTATGTTGGTTACCACGGAGAATACATTGAGTATCCAACGGCAAAAACAACAACTATATTCATCCATGCATTCGATTATCCCATACATATATATATATATTTATTTATTTATTTTATATATATATTATATTTATTTACAGTATACATAGATATGCATGCTGCATATATGTATATATATAGACATATATGTATGTATGTATGTATGTATGTATGTATGTATGTATGTATATATATATATATGTATGTATAATCATGTGCACATATATATATATATAGTGTCCATGTATTTTTGATGAACAATGAACAACCCCTATCTCTTCCCTATTTACATCCTCATCATATCCATGGTCTTTCGTCGTTGAGGAATGCGTGCCACGGCCGCGCCAGCGGCCATCATTTGCATCGCATTGCTGTGCTCCTACAAGACAGGGATGGCAGCCTTTGGTGGTTTCTCGGTGGTTTGGAGAGAGCTAAGGAGCTAGGGGCATCCATTCATCCATATTCCCAAACCAAAAATTGAAGCGTCGGGAGGAACCACTGAGAGTTTCCAACTATGATACATTTTCCATCCAACTGGTAGGAAAGCAATGTCCGCTTGTTATGTAGGAAATATCTTTATACATTAATTACTATTGTTATTATTATATATATATGTATAAATATACGCATAATAGCAACATATCCTATTTTTCAAGTTAGCATATATATATATATGCACATATTCATAGACATACATATACATATACAAATACATATATATATATATATATGTATTATATTAGATGGTTTCATTACCAGGCTATTATACATAGTATACATTTTAAGATATACACCTTTCCCCCGTTCAAACGGCGTTTTTGAGGTTTGCCTTCAGCGGGTCTCTTTGGCACCGCCGTGGCCACCATGGGAATGCTGTCCACCGTGGTCTTCGTGTTGGCCATGGACGCGCCCTGGCACCGAAAAACCACCCGGGCCCGGGGGATGAGTGGCAAAAACACGGGGACTTTCCATGGATTTCATGGGATTTGACCAAAGAAATGGGGATTGAATGGGATTCAACTCAGCAAACATGGTGATATAATCATCAAAAGCAATGCTTGTTTTGATGACATCGTATCTGATGCTCTCTACTTAGCTAAGTTGCTTGATAACTTAGCTAACAGTTGGGCACAAAATAGATATTTTTGTTTGAATTTTATAAAGGAACTAAGAAGCTTTGGGCATCACTTGATAAAAAAAGGCAGAGTGGTGTTCTTACAATGTGGTGCCAGTGGTTGGTAGGCTTCAGTTGGTTTAGTCCGATGACTCCTCGATTTATAGAAGATTCATATATTCATATACATATGTTTGCAATTTAACGGGTTAAACTAAACAAAATTCATCTACAAAGTTGATTGGAACTAAGGAGTGGTAAAAGGTAACTCTGGGAACTTCAGCCCAAGGCCCCACCTTGGTCCAAGTAAATTGCACCAGTCGGGAAGATGACCCAACATGACTTCCACACCCATGGGGAAAAAACAGCAACGCCGACAAAAATAGTTCCGTAGATGACTTCCTATCTAAATAACCATACAAATAGGTGTTCAACGTTGGCTTTCATCGGTACACACCAAACACCAAGATGTTCACAAGTTTACCCATTGCTATGAACTCAACGGGATTCAACGGGCATCTTCCATAGCAAACTGTTATATACGTATTACTGGAGGCTACGCACAAAAAAAAACACGACTGAGGTCTTCGGTCCCATCACCGACAACGCCGGGGGAATCGTGGCGTGCTGAAGATTCATTCGGTGGTTGCAACAAAGAAATAAGAAAACCAAATAAACAAAGCAAAGTCTGAAGGAATTTTCTTATGTATATATATATATACATATACATATATATATATATAATATATGTGTGTGTATGTATGTATATATACATATATGTATATATATATATCTCTCTCTCTCTCTTGCGCGCGTATTTTTTTGTATTTTTCATATTGGGATGCTCCCATCTGACTATGGTTAAGCTGACTGGATGGGTGAGACCACCAGGTCTCCGTGTCCTTGAAATATCCCAGATTTCCTGGTGGTTTCAATAGCTGTTCCTTTTGGAATGAAGATTGCCCTCTGGTAAACATGAAAAAATATGGAAAATCACAGTTTTTCATTGGAAAATCCATTCTAAATGGTGATTTTCCATAGTTATGTTAGTTTACCAGAGGGTAATGACGATTGATTTTCATTTTTTGCCCACATCTCTGCGGAGGGGTTCCTGCCTTTTGATATTTTTTGACCTTACATCTTGCCGCTGCAGCCTCATGCCTCTCGCCTCCCTTGCCTCCATCAAGATTATCTATATCAAACTCATCCATCTCTCTCAAACATATATATATATAATATAAATATATGCACATATTTCTACAGTTTTTACGGGTCAAACATATCTTCACCGTCTCCACCAAACGAACCTCTCTCAAACTTGTCTCCCGTAAGCTTACCTCTATCAAACTTATCCGCTGCATGTTGCATTCTATGTTCCCTTTGCATTTATCTCTCTATGGATCTCTGTGTTTCTTAATTGTCATATCTCTATCTCTATCTATGCGTAATTATATTTGTATCTAATCTATCTTAATCTCCATCTCCATCTCTATTTCTATCTCTCCCTATCATTATCTATCTGATTCTCTCCATATCTCTTTCTATGTGTCTCCACAGTCCTTCCTGTCTCTTCATTATGATATCTTGGCTCTCAGCTTCTTTACCCCGCCTTCTTTACCCGATGTCTGTATATTTGTCTTGTAGAATGTAGGAATGCTTCACATATGCGGTTCTCCGGTCTTTTTTTGGAATTGTTGGCTTAACCAGCAACCAGATGATGCTTAGTTCTTAGCATTCCCATTGTGCTGCTTTTCGAAACATATTATATTTCTATCCATCCATCCAGCCATCCACCCATCCATCCATCTACCTCTATTTACCTATAGATACTAATAGATATAATAATATACTATACTCTATATATCTATATATATATACATACAATATCGATTGCCTCCTCGTCTATTTGTTTAATTCAATTGTTTGTTGCCAGAGCCCGGTGCCGTCGTCCCGTCCCCAGGTAGAGATGAGCGAACAACCGGAGAGCGTTCGCGATATCACGGACTCCCTTGATGCGGTGGGCAACACCACCAAGGCATGCGATGTCGATGCTTCCACACGCGTGGATAGATAGAGTTGGTATGATTGTTTTTTCTTTAAATATTTTAAATGCATGTGTTTAAGTGTGGGTTTGTTATGATTTGTATGGAAAAACGTTGTGCTATGTTTTGTTCAGAATTGTTTGCTTGGTATTGTGTGTTAGGCCATCACCAAGGGCTTCTCGGTGGGTTCAGCCAGCTTGGCGTCTTGGACGGTGAGTTTTGTGACGGTGAGAAAAATGTGAAGAAATCGGGGTGAATCAGCCCATCTAAGCCCGTCTAAGAATGGATAGATTATATCAAGAATCCCTAACTGCTTGGTGGTTTAAGATGGTTAACCTATGAAAAATGTTGATTTTCCATGGCTATGTTAAATAACCAGATGGTATATCAAGAGCATATCTGGTTGGTGGTTTGGAACATTAATTTTTATGATTTTCCAATTATTTTACATATATTGGGAATAATCATCCCAACTGTCAACCGATTTTCATATTTTTCAGAGGGGTGGAAACCTCCAACCAGCTAAAATAAGTCCTCAATAAGTAATTGTAATTAAGTCTGAATACCATCCCGGAACCAAACATGGCAATGGAAAAGGCTATTTTGTTCGATGATTTTCCCATTAAGTCCTCCATTTGGTTTGGGGATTTTCCAGCGAGCCGTGTTTGATTACCACTGCGTATCCGAACCATGGACAATCTATGGGATTATAAAATCTATGGGGGTGATTTTTTTTTTGCGGGAGACTCTTTGGTAATCTACAGTAACAGTTTGCTAGCAAAAAAAACATGTTCAAAAGGTACAGTAATTCCTCTACAAATGGGCAATGTTCCACAGCTATGTGTTTGGTGAATTTGTTGGGAAAGATGGAATATGCTGGAATACTTATATATTATATATATATATAGACACACATATATATATATAGATCTTGATGTCCTAAATGTGAATTTGCCAACAATGCGGTGATTCCCAAAATGTGACAACCAGCAGTGGTAGAGTCTACAGGGAATCGCCTTTCCTGTTTTTGCAAATTTCCCAATGGGGTCGGCCTGGCTATCTTTGGCGCTCAACATCATGGTGCAAGTCTGGTTATAGGTGCGTATTACACACCCATAGCCCGTAGTTATAGAGGTCTCACACACACACATATATATATATACATACTCTCCGGTAATTGAACATAGCTATGGAAAATGGCCCATGTGTAGTGGATTTACCTATAAACATGGGGAGAACGCTCTGATAGTTTGCCAGCGGGTACATAAGCTCTGAGGCATGTTTCCTCCTCTTCTCCGCCTTTTTGGATGAGGTGCAGGAGCTCGCGGGCCAGCCCCTAGCCGCAGCGGTTTACTTTTCGCTTGCCTTGGGGTGCAGAATCCACTGGTATACCTTTGGTAAATTTTCACGTAGCTATGGAAACACATGGACAAGTAATATGGAACATGGCCCTTTTTGTGGATGATGTACCTATGATTTCAATGATGATTTTCCATGGCAAACCTGTAGACAAAAAGAGAGAGAGAGAGAGTCTGGAAATTGTCCATGAATTTTGGATCACAGTTTGGGGGTGAATAATGTAGGTTACTGATTAGTGTGGGGAGGCCCCCCCCCCCCAAACAAATTTGTGGTACAAATGATAGATTTAAATTGATTTCAATTTACTTTCAATTGATTTGAATTGATTTTGAATTGATTTCAATTTACTTTCAATTGATTTGAAATTACTTTCAATTGATTTCAATTTACTTTCAATTTGAATTGATTTCATTTTACTTTCAATTGATTTGAATTGATTTTGAATTGATTTCAATTTACTTTCAAATGATTTCAATTTATCTACTTTCAATTGAATTCAAGTTACTTTCAATTCATTTCAAGTTACTTTCAATTGATTTCAATTTACTTGCAAGTGATTTCAATTTACTTTCAAGTAAAAGAAAAAAAACAATCACCACAGGAAGCAGCTGGACACAATAGTGTACCCTCAAACAAACCATACTATTGTGTATCATGATCATTCATGTTTTTTTTGCTTGGCTGAAACTAATCCTTTGGAAAGCCTTTGGTTTTGATTCCAAGAAAAATGAAGCTAAGTAAAAGGAAACAAACTTTAGCAAAGGAAAATGTAAAGGGAATGTTAAAAAACAAAATCACCTCAGGAAGCAGCTGGACACAATAGTGTACCCTCAAACAAACCATACTATTGTGTATCATGATCATATTCATTTCAAGTTACTTTCAATTGATTTCAATTTACTTGCAATTGATTTCAATTTACTTTCAAGTAAAAGAAAAAAAACAATCACCTCAGGAAGCAGCTGGACACAATAGTGTACCCCCAAACAAACCATACTATTGTGTATCAGGGTTGCTCATGGACTACCCCTTTGAAAAATTGTTTGAGTGATGTTTTTTAATTGGGTTTTAATAAGGCATCAATTTTTTGGGGAAATTGAGCATTTCTGAGAATTCTAAATAAAAGAAACTAATTGAGAAAATAAAAGAAAAAACTTTAGCAAAGGAAAATGCAAAGGGAATGTTAAAAAAAACAAAATCACCTCAGGAAGCAGCTGGACACAATAGTGTACCCTCAAACAAACCATACTATTGTGTATCATGATCATATTCATTTCAAGTTACTTTCAATTGATTTCAATTTACTTTCAAGTAAAAGAAAAAAAAACAATCACCTCAGGAAGCAGCTGGACACAATAGTGTACCCTCAAACAAGCCATACTATTGTGTATCAGGGTTGCTCATGGACTACCCCCTTGAAAAATTGTTTGAGTGATGTTTTTTTAATTGGGTTTTAATAAGGCATCAATTTTTTGGGGAAATTGAGCATTTCTGAGAATTCTAAATAAAAGAAACTAATTGAGAAAATAAAAGAAACAAACTTTAGCAAAGGAAAATGTAAAGGGAATGTAAAAAAAAAACAAAATCACCTCAGGAAGCAGCTGGGCACAATAGTGTACCCTCAAACAAACCATACTATTGTGTATCATGATCATATTCATTTCAAGTTACTTTCAATTGATTTCAATTTACTTGCAATTGATTTCAATTTACTTTCAAGTAAAAGAAATAATACAATCACCTCAGGAAGCAGCTGGACACAATAGTGTACCCTCAAACAAAACCTACATGGTATCAAAAAGGTTGCTCCTGGACTAACCCCTTGAAGAAATGTTTGATGATGTTTTTAATTGGGTTTTAATTTTAAGGACATATATTATTGGAAAAATTGAGGCATTTCTGAGAACCCTAAATAAAAGAAACAATGAGAAATAAAAGAAAAAAAAAATTTAGCAAAGGGACCTGTTGTGTAAGGAATGTAAAAAAACAAAAATCACTAAGGAAGCAGCTGGGCACAAGGTGTACCCCTTTAAACAAACACATATATTGTGTATCATGCTTCAAGTCATTTCAAGTGACTTTCAATTGGTTTCAATTACTTGCCTTGAAAAAAATTTTTTTTTTTTCAATTACTTTCAAGTAAAGAAATAATACAATCACTCAGGAAGCAGCTGGACACAATCGTGTACCCTCAAAACAAACCATTACTATTGTGTATCATGATCATTCATGTTTTTTTTTTGGTGGCTGAAACTAATCCTTTAGAAAAGCCTTGGTTTTGACCCAAAAAAAATGAGCTAAGTAAAAGGCAAACAAAACTTAGCCAAAGGGAAAAGGAAAGCGGAATGTTTCAAAAAAAAATCACCTCAGGAAGCAGCTGGACACAATAGTGTACCCTCAAACAAACCATACTATTGTGTATCATGATCATTCATGTTTTTTTTGCTTGGCTGAAACTAATCCTTTAGAAAGCCTTTGGTTTTGACTCCAAGAAAAATGAAGCTAAGTAAAAGGCAACAAACTTTAGCAAAGGAAAAGGAAAAGGAAATGGTTGAAAAAAAAACATAACCTCAGGAAGCAGCTGGACACAATAGTGTACCCTCAAACAAACCATACTATTGTGCATCATGATCATTCATGTTTTTTTTTGCTTGGCTGAAACTAATCCTTTGGAAAGCCTTTGGTTTTGATTCCAAGAAAAATGAAGCTAAGTAAAAGGAAACAAACTTTAGCAAAGGAAAAGGAAAAGGAAATGGTTGAAAAAAAAACATAACCTCAGGAAGCAGCTGGACACAATAGTGTACCCTCAAACAAACCAGACTATTGTGTATCAGGGTTGCTCATGGACTACCCCCTTGAAAAATTGTTTGAGTGATGTTTTTTAATTGGGTTTTAATAAGGCATCATATATTTTTGGAAATTGAGCATTTCTGAGAATTCTAAATAAAAGAAACTAATTGAGAAAATAGAAGGAAACAAACTTTAGCAAAGGAAAATGTAAAGGGAATGTTAAAAAACAAAATCACCACAGGAAGCAGCTGGACACAATAGTGTACCTTCAAACAAACCATACTATTGTGTATCATGATCATTAATGTTTTTTTTGCTTGGCTGAAACTAATCCTTTGGAAAGCCTTTGGTTTTGATTCCAAGAAAAATGAAGCTAAGTAATTAAAAGGAAACAAATTTTAGCAAAGGAAAAGGTAAAGGGAATGTTTCAAAAAATATCACCTCAGGAAGCAGCTGGACACAATAGTGTACCCTCAAACAAACCAGACTATTGTGGATCTCGATCATTCAATTGATTTGAAGTTACTTTCAATTGATTTCAATTTACTTTCAATTGATTTCAATTTACTTTCACTTTACTTTGAATTGATTTCAAATTACTTTGAATTTACTTTCAATTAAATTCAATTTACTGCCAATTTACTTTCAATCGGCATCCCATAGAAATCCAATAGTAGTCCCAAAGAAATATCATAGAAATCCCATAGAAAGATCATAGAAATAACATGGAAATCCCATAAGAATCCCACAGAAATCCCATAGAAAGATCATAGAAATAACATGGAAATACCATAAGAATCTCACAGAAATCCCATAGAAAGATCATAGAAATAACATGGAAATCCCATAGGAATCTCACAGAAATCCCATAGAAAGATCATAGAAATAACATGGAAATCCCATAAGAATCTCACAGAAATCCCATAGAAAGATCATAGAAATAACATGGAAATCCCATAAGAATCTCACAGAACTCCCATAGAAAGATCATAGAAATAACATGGAAATCCCATAGGAATCTCACAGAAATCCCATAGAAAGATCATAGAAATAACATGGAAATCCCATAGGAATCTCACAGAAGTCCCATAGAAAGATCATAGAAATAACATGGAAATCCCATAAGAATCTCACAGAAATCCCATAGAAATATCATAGAAATAACATGGAAATCCCATAAGAATCTCACAGACATCCCATAGAAAGATCATAGAAATAACATGGAAATCCCATAGGAATCTCACAGAAACCCCATAGAAAGATCATAGAAATAACATGGAAATCCCATAGGAATCTCACAGAAATCCCATAGAAAGATCATAGAAATAACATGGAAATCCCATAAGGATCTCACAGAAATCCCATAGAAAGATCATAGCCACTAAACTGAAAAACATGGACCCCCATAGGAATTCTCACAGAATCCATAGACAGACATAGAACATAACATGGAAATGCCCATAGTACCATAGGACTCTACAGAATCCCATAGACAGCTCATAAAATACATGGAACCACATAGAATCTCCCGAAGATCCTAGAGATAACATGGAAATCCCATAAGAATTCTCACAGAAATTTCCATAGAAAGATCATAGAAATAACATGGGAAGACCATAAGAATATCACAGAAATCCCATAGAAAGGTCATTGAAAAATGAAATAACATTGGAAATCCCATAGGAATCTCACAGAAAATTCCAAAGAAAGATCATTAGAAATAAATGGAAATACATAGGAACCTCACAGAAAATCCCATAGAAAGATCATAGAAAGAAAAGGGAAACCACATAGGACTCTACAGAAAAAGAAATCCCATAGAAGATCATAGAAATAACTTGGAAATCTTACAGAAAATCCCAAGAAAGATCATAGAAATAAATGAAATCCAATAGGAACTCACAGAAAATCCATGAAGGATTATAGAAAAAATGGAAAATCCAATAGGATCCACAGAAATCCCATAGAAAGATCAAGAAATAACATGGAAATCCCATAGGAATCTCACAGAAATCCCATAGAAAGATCATAGAAATAACATGGAAATCCCATAAGAATCTCACAGAAATCCCACAGAAAGATCATAGAAATAACATGGAAATCCCATAGGACTCTCACAGAAATCCCATAGAAAGATCATAGAAATAACATGCAAATCCCATAGGAATCTCACAGAAATCCCATAGAAAGATCATAGAAACAACATGGAAATCCCATAGGAATCTCACAGAAATCCCATAGAAAGATCATAGAAATAACATGGAAATACCATAGGAATCTCACAGAAACCCCATAGAAAGACCATAGAAATAACATGGAAATCCCATAGGAATCTCACAGAAATCCCATAGAACGATCATAGAAATAACATGGAAATCCCATAAGAATCTCACAGAAATCCCATAGAAAGATCATAGAAATAACATGGAAATCTTACAGAAATCCCATGGAAAGATCATAGAAATAACATGGAAATCCCATAAGAATCTCACAGAAATCCCATAGAAAGATCATAGAAATAACACGGAAATCCCATAGGAATCTCACAGAAATCCCATAGAAAGACCATAGAAATAACATGGAAATCCCTTAGGGATCTCACAGAAATCCCATAGAAAGATCATTGAAAAAACTGAAATAACATGGAAATCCCATAGGAATCTCACAGAAATCCCATAGAAAGATCATAGAAATAACTGAAATAACATGGAAACCCCATAGGAATCTCACAGAAATCCCATAGAAAGACCATAGACATAACATGGAAATCCCATAGTACATAGGAACCTCACAGAAATCCGATAGAAAGATCATAGAAACATCATGGAAATACCTTGGAAATCCCACAGGAATCCAATAGAAATTCCATAGGAATCTAATAGAAATACCATAGAAATCCCATAGGAATCCAATGGAAATCCCATAAGAATACCATAGAACTCCCATAGCACCCCTTCAGAAATCCCATAGAAATCCTCCAGAAATATCCCATAGGAATTCCATAGAAATCCAATAGTAATACCATAGAAATACCATAAAAGAAAAAAACTTTAGCAAAGGAAAAGGTAAAGGGAATGCTTGAAAAAAATCACACGAGGAAACATCTGGACACAATAGTGTACCCTCCAAACAAACCACACTATTGTGTATCAGGGTTGCTCACGGACTACCCCCTTGAAAAATTGTTTGAGTGATGTTTTTTAATTGGGTTTTAATAAGGCATCATATATTTTGGGAAACTGGGCATTTCTGAGAATTTCAAATGAAAGAAACTAAGAAAGTAATTAAGTAATTCAAAGAAAAAAAACTTTAGCAAAGGAAAAGGTAAAGGAAATGATTGAAAAAATAAAAAATCATGACCTCAGGAAAGCAGCTGGACAAAATAGTGTACCCTCCAAACAAACCACACTATTGTGTACCAGGGCTGCTCATGGACTACCCCCTTGAAAAATTGTTGGAGTGATGTTTTTAAATTGGGTTTTAATAAGGCATGATATATTTTGGGAAACTTGTCATTTCTGAGAATTTCAAATGAAAGAAACTAAGAAAGAAATTAATTAAAAGGAAAACACTTTAGCTAGCAAAGGAAAAGGTAAAGGAAATGATTGAAAAAAAAACAAAAAATCATGACCTCAGGAAGCAGCTGGACACAATAGTGTACCCTCAAACAAACCACACTATTGTGTATCAGGGTTGCTCATGGACTACCCCCTTGAAAAATTGTTTGAGTGATGTTTTTTAATTGGGTTTTAATAAGGCATCATATATTTTGGGAAACTGGTAATTTCTGAGAATTTCAAATGAAAGAAACTAAGAAAGAAATTAATTGAAAGGAAAACACTTTAGCTAGCAAAGGAAAAGGTAAAGGGAATGCTTGAAAAAAATCACACGAGGAAACATCTGGACACAATAGTGTACCCTCCAAACAAACCACACTATTCTGTATCAGGGTTGCTCATGGACTACCCCCTTGAAAAATTGTTGGAGTGATGTTTTTTAATTGGGTTTTAATAAGGCATCTTATATTTTGGGAAACTGGGCATTTCTGAGAATTTCAAATGAAAGAAACTAAGAAAGAAATTAATTGAAAAGAAAACGCTTTAGCTAGCAAAGGAAAAGGTAAAGGAAATGATCGAAAAAAATCAAAAAAATCATGACCTCAGGAAAGCAGCTGAACACAATAGTGTACCCTCCAAACAAACCACACTATTTTGTACCTGGATGTAATTTTCTGTGGAAGGCATCTGGAAAATTTCAATGATGGAAAATAAAAAGTAAAAGGAAAAAGCTTTAAAAAATGAAAAAAATGAAAAATATTTGAACAACAAAAAAAGACCAAGACACAATTGTGTATCCTGACACAATGACACAATTGTGTATCCTGACACAATTTTACAAAATAATAAAAAAATATAATTTATAAAAATTATTATAACTAAAAATACAAATAAAAAATAATTTAAAATAAAATAAAAAAATAAATTAAAAATTATTATAATTAAAAATAAAAAAACAATATTTTAAAATTTTAAAATAAAAAAAAACACAATTAAAAACTAAAAATGAAAAACATGAAAAAAAAACTTACACCAAAATCCTGTGGACACAAAACTGTACCCTCGATCATTTCCAAAGTTTCAGAATAATTTTGAGGTCTGTGGACACAATTCAGTATCCCCACACTAATCAGTATCCAACATTATCTATTTTCATCTATTCTCCAACTATGTTGATGTGCCCCCACCTCGTGAACGCCAAGTTGGTGGAAATAAGTAGCTTAGCAATTGGATGTAACGGTTTACCAACGTTTTACCTCAGGGGGCACCCTAGTAAGTTGAAGAATTATTTTGGCCTATATATATATATTTCTATTGACATCTTTTGACATGCGTCAAAGATGGTCCTGTAATGTCCTGTATGTATATATATATGCGTGTGCACCAAAAAAGTTGCCACCTATTTATTCAAGACGAGTATGTTGAGAGTGGATGAGCTACCCCTATAGGATCGCCATCCGGATCGCCTGGTTGGAGGATTTCCCAAAATTTCCATCTGAGGAAAGTGGATGGGGTGGACATCTCGGTTCCAGAAGTCTTTTTGGGCGGCATCGCAGGGGCCACCCTGGTCTTCTACTTTAGTGGCCAGTGCATGACAGCAGTCGGTGGCCTGGCTGGAAGGATGTCCCGTAGATGATCGCTTAACCAATGGGCAGATTGCGATCATCTTTCTGAAGCTTTGTTTCGCCGAACAACTTTCCTCTCCAGGGAAACACCTGCAGTTTGCTCCTTTTTAAAGGAACATGATATTCTCTAGATTTGTTCCTTAAAAACCCACTTGGATTTCCACCTATTCCCCCAGATGCCCCAGATTTAAAAAAACAACCCATTCATATCTGCACTCAAAGGTTCTGCCGCCCAAGAAGTGGTGAATAACGTCCGCACTCAGCTACTCGGGCTCCGTTGGGGTTGTGGTATTATGTCCGCCATGTGTGATTATGCATATGTATATATATATACATATATATATATACATATTTTTATTCAAATACAATTATACAAAATTATGCATGTGTATTTGTTTAGTGATGTAATGTAATCTAGTGCGGTGAAATGTGATACGTAACGTGATGTATACAATGCAGTGTGGGTTGGATCCCTATTTTAGCCGCTTAAGTCCCCATGTTGGTTGAAAGAACATGTTGGTTGGTTTCTGCTGTTTGTGCCCCATGTTCATTGGTTAGATTCCCTTTTCTGGTGGTGATGATATATTCCATGTCCCCGCATTTTATTTTTCTGTGATTTTGGTGTTAGACTGATTCCCACTAAAAGTTTATTTTGCTTAGCAAGGGTTCGGCCCAACCACCACGACACAATTTGGCTAGGAACCCTCATCAAATTGTTATCATCACAACACAAAAACACGTCTAATCCCTAACACCATGATCTATATACTATATTCCATTATCAGCAAAAAAACAACAATTACAATCCCCTTTTCAAATCATCCACAACACCATCATAACACCCGTAAAACCACTACAATCCCTGCATTTTCGCAGGGCAAAAACCGCAGGTTTCGCGAGAGACCAGGCATCATGGACGGCTCGCAGAAGCCGGACTATGCCGCTCGCCACCTAGGGACCTGCGGGGATGGAACAAGAATGGTGATGGAACCAAGGATAAAGGTGAGATGATATAATGGTAAAGAATCAGGAGATATATACATCTATATATATATAATTATATATATATATACATATACACATGCCGTGGAGATGATGCATGGAAGGCGGTGCCCCATCAATAATTGGGATTGAATATCAATTGACCACCAATACCTAGCATTCAAGTATCAAAAACGGGCTAAGTTTGATTGTTAACAGTTGGGTTCTTGGTCATGAAAGACCTAAAACAATATTTGGTGGGTGAACATTGATTCACAAACAAAACTAGGGGCAATTAATTTGTGCAGTGTTTGTTTGGTATAAATATGTGTCCATGGTTTCAATACCAGCAGATTGGCAGATGACCCTACATGAAAACAAGTAAAACAATAATATAAAGACATAGAATCCCCTGAAGATGTACACACACATACATATGTATATATATATATATATATAATGTTTGTGCCTCTGTTTATGCCCCATGTATGACCCTTCATTGGATGGCAGATGCAGAAAGATTCCAGTTTTTTTGTGACTGGATTTCCCTGATTTCGTGTTGGGAACCTGCGCGTGTCAGCGCAGCTTATTATATTTGATGGCATTTCTCACAATTGATAGATATAGAGATAATACCTAGCTAACATCATAGTGGCGATGGAGAGATATCATTTCAATGATTTATACCTGGAAAAACCAAACGGCAAAAAAAAACGCCTCGGAGGGTCTGCGGCGCCTCCAGTTGATCTGAGGCATTTTTTGCTTATTGCTGAGGCATTTTTTGTTTTCTGAGGCGTTTTTGTTGTAATCCTTGTTCTTCACTGTTTTTCCTTTTTATCTGCTCTAGATTGTTCTGGGATGGGTAAATGACAGCGGACATTTCTTTGATTTCAATACCTGCGGAAGCAAAGCCTTGGCTAAATCGAACTCCAAATCTCAATAGTGTAAATCACTTAAAACTGGGGGCGTAGCTGCTGCGTGGCTAAAATCTGTCAGCGAGACTGTCATTGCCCACGAAATGCTGTCTCACTGGAATTGTGTGTTGCTTTTTGGCATTTGCAGCATGTTTCCAAAAGGCAACAGAAGTGAATACGACAAAAATTGTTGTCATGAGAAAAAAACAAAGGTAAACCAGGAAAAACATGGAAAAACTGAAAATTCAGAGGACAGAAAACGGCGGAAAAGGGCGGGAAAACGGCGGAAAAGGGCGGGAAAACGGCGGAAAAGGACGGACTCTGAACATTGAGGTCCAAATCTTGCCGGAAACATGCCCAAAAGGTTGTATCACGGATTTTGAGTCTTCTAGTTTTCTTCTTGCCGTGAAATTTTGTTGAAAGCTGCAATCCAAGTGATTCAATGTCGATGAAAGCCAACGCTTCAAATGTGCAACTATGAACACATATATACTGTATATACTGTATATACTCTAGGGCTTGTTTTCTGCATTGTTTTTCTTGCAGCGTTCATTACATAGGGAAATCATAAGAATTCCTTAGCAGTACGTGCGGCATCGTGCGGCTGTTTGTCAGGGGTTTGGTCCCTAGTTGTGGGCTTTGCAACTGAAAAGTCGCCATGGCGGGAGTCCTAGGGCTTCGGTAAACTCTTGTGTTTGAGGCGTTTTTTGCTTTCCAGAGGCGTTTTTAACCCACCAGAGGCAAAACAAAACTCATGCGGCGTTATTTTTCGCCTCGGGGGCCTGAGGCATTTTTTTCTGCCTCTGGTGTTTCTAGGTATGATTGCCTTTTTTGTACCCTGAAAATGTCCCGTGCGTCAATGGGAAATTAGTGGTTTGAGCTGGTTTGAGGTGGATTGGCCACAATGAGGATTCTCTCTGCAAGGGATTGCAACGAAATATTCACAGCAACGGATTGTGTTTTATCCTTGCAGCATTTACCCCAGTAACGGAAACCCACGGTTTTCCATAATGTGTTAGTTTACTGGAGGGTACCAAGCATTTGTATGTTTAGACTTTTGAAGTATATGTGCTACATGCCATACAGAAATATGAAGTGCACCCCCCGTTCATCCTGAACACACCCCAAAACCATTGTTTAGTTGTAGAGGATTTGCATGTATTTGGGACCATGTTTAGTATTAGGGGGATGGGATTGTTACAGGGACCGAGTCTTCGTTTGAATTCAAAAAGCTTGAGGATCAAATGGGGGTATCATAGGGTTCACAGTGGGGATGTGCAATGGGGATTTATGTTCTGATGAAAATTCGTTCAGCAATCATAGGATTCATAGGATGTACTGGGGATAGTTTGGCATAAAACTGCAGATCATCAACAATATGCGGTTCTCATTGTGTAAATGGGGTCTTCAACCGTGGGATCGTAAGGTGTGAGATCTACATGTCTGGCGGATCATCCATGTCTATGTTAGTTTACTGGAGGGCATCCCCCATTTTTAGACAACACCAACATGATATTGAATTGTTAATATATATATATATATATCCCATATTCTCCCATTATGTTCCCCTTTCAACTTCCTCACTTCGTGGTTACCTTCGTAGATACCCTCTGGTAATTTAACATAGCTATAGAAAATCCACCCATTTTTAATAGCTAAACCATCTATTTCCATGGGCCATTTTCCATAGGAAACTGTTAGTTTACCAGGCCGGGTATATGAAATCCCCCTTGAGACCACAGCAAAGCCTCGGCGGCGCCGAGGCGTCCTGCGTGTCCATTGTGACCCAAGCGGCTTTGCGGGAGATGGTTGCACCAGGTGGATGGTTTTTGGCTGATGAAACATGGAGGTTTCCAGTCCATTTGGGTACCCCAAATCATGCAAGATCATCCAAGTCATTTTATAGATCAGTTTAGTAAGTCCCTACCGACACCTGCAAGAAGCATGTGTTGCTGGGAGCAGCGATGCCTTCACCAGCCAACTTGCTGCCGTCCTCACCTTGCTTGCGCAAGGCAGGGCCCCAGAGTTTGTGGCCCCTGTCCTGGCGGGTGCTGGCCTCCTTGCCCTTCCCAAGCCTCATGGGGGGGTCCGGCCAATTGCCGTTGGAGAAGTCCTGCGGCGACTCACTGGGAAGTGCTTGATGGCTCTGGTTCGTGACGATGCCCGTCGCCATTTCTGGCCGGCCCAGGTCGGTGTTGCCGTTCCGGGCGGTGCGGAGAAAGCAATCCACACCGTCCGAGCTTGGTATCACCGACACAGCACTGCCTCCCACAAGGTTGCCGTCAAACTGGACTTCAGCAATGCCTTCAATACAGTCAGCCGCGAAGCAGTTCTTTCAGCTGCCGGGAGCCACTTCCCCTTGTTGAGCCGCTGGGCAACTTGGTGCTACCGGCAGCCAACTCGGCTGCAGTTTGGCGATTGGGTGGTTGAATCCAGGAGTGGGGTGCAACAAGGCGACCCCTTGGGCCCGCTTCTCTTTGCTTCAGCTTTGCAGCCGCTTGCCCACGAGCTCTGTCACATTGGTTTGGACATTGCCGTCCACTACCTGGACGACGGCTTTCTTGGCGGCGACATCGAGGCAGTCGGTCGTGCCTTTCGCACGGTGGAAACAAAAGCCGCCGCCCTTGGCCTCTGCTTGAACTTAAGCAAGTGCGAGCTTATCGCCGTTGGCTCCGCTGACATTGCCGCCCTGCATTGCCACTTCCCTGACGCACTGCTACGGGATGAAGCCGGCACCTGCAGAGCCCGCCGCCACTTCGAATTCTTGGGTGCGGCGGTGGGCGACAGCGGTTTTGTTCGAAACCACACAGCCGACAGGGCGGCCAAAGCCGGCGACCTTTTGGACGCTCTGGGGGAGCTTGAAGACCCCCAAGTTGCCCTTCGCCTTCTGCGGGCCAGTGCTGGGTTTGCCCGTATGCTCCACAGCATGCGTTGCAATCCCACCGCTGCCCAAACTATGGCGTTGGACATGTTTGATGGCATGGTGAAGCGCAGCTTCAGCGACTTCACCGGGCTTCAACTTACTGCTCCAGTGGAAGCAGGCGGCTTTGGGGCTAGCTCACGGGGGCCTGGGCCTTCGCTCCACCTCCGACCATGCAGTGGCTGCCTTCTTGACATCGTGGGCTTCCACCTGAGATGCGGCCCGGGAGCTTGACGCCAGCTTCTCCTTGCCAGAGGCCAGAGCCGGCGCTGACGTGCTTGCCGCCCTCACTGCTTTCAATGCCCAGCTCGCCCCTGCTGACGCCATCACCTTGGACACCGCGGTTGCCAGCACTCAGAAGACCTTGTCCCAGAAGTTAGACCAGGCAGGATGGGATGAGCAGCTGGCGCACGCCACAGTGACTGGCCGAGCCACTCTTCTCTCGGAAGCATCCATCGGCGGGCGCGCCTTCTTGAATGCCGTGCCTGCTGGCCGCACGCGTATGGAACCGGCTGCCTTCATTTGTGAACTTCAAGTGCGCCTTCGCATACCCGATGCCGAGTCTGACACTTGGTGCCGCTTGTGCAATGCAGTACTCGATCACCATAGCCACCACGCTGGAATGTGTGGCTGGAGGCGAACGCACTCGGCACACTGGGGCTGCAGCCGCTGCTTATGCTCAGCACAAAGAGCTCCACTTGGACACCGCTCAAGCGTGCGCGGCGCAGGGGGTCAAGTTCATGCCCATGGTGGCCGAATGCACTGGCGCATGGGCGCCAGAGGCCCTGAAGGTGCTGAAGCATGTTGCCCATGCGGCGCGGCTCCGCACTCGGGTGAGGAGCCCGCAGTCTGCTATGGCCTCCTCCTGCAGGAGCTGGCCGTTGCGATCCGCACTTTCCGGGCGCGGGCCTCTCTTCGCCGTCGGTTCCAAGCTCTTTGACCGACTCGGCCGTGTCCTGCACCGAGCGGTACCTTCGTGACATTCTTTGAGCTGCAGTGAGATGCGGGGGCCAGTTAGGTTTTCTATTTTCCTTTCTATAATTCAGGGGCTGCCTCTCCACCACCATTTTCCGTCCGTTAGCTTTCTGCTGAGCGTATAGCAGGACGACGCTACCATGGCGCTCGTTTCTTCTTCTTTATTTGTTTGGTGGTACTGATTCATGCAGCTCCCCTTTAGATACCTTTTGCTGCCGTGTGCTCCCCTCCTTTTCCTTTGGGGTCCCTACAATGATGTTTAAAAAAGCACATCAATGATTCTGAATTCTTGTAGAATCGTTGGAAATCATTGGAAATCCAAATCCCGTTGGTGCTCCAAAACTTGACCCATTTAACCCCAGAAGTCTGCCGGACAGCTCCGCGAGAGGCATTGTTGCGACCACGGTTCCCTTGTGCGTGGGCTTCTTCTTTCGACTGACCTCAAGTCGCCTGGAAGAATGGATAAATAGTAGGCACCTCACTCACTTTCCAAGGGGAAACTTTGGATGATTAGTTTTATATATAGTCTAATACTGAAGGTGTTTGCTATATATAAACGATATTTACGTATATTTACAACATGTTACAAACACTTAAGCCGCAAAAAACAAGATGAACATGCAAGATACCTAAGATTGAACATGCACCATCACTAGAATCATGGGATGAAGAGGGCAACTTTATCCCAAATTGACCGAGATTTCCAGCGGAATTTGATGTTATTTGTTGAGAATGTATGGTACACCGCGGTATACCTTGGTTTAATCCCGTTTGAGATTCAGTTCGGCCAGTTGCATAGATTCTGTTGAGATACGTAGATATAGCCCCAAAAACTTCAATGGAAGATATGGGTACTACCAAGGACTGAAGCAACGTTCGGGAAGATATCCCCGAGATTTATTCACCATTAGTTTGTATTGATTATCTAACCTAAGTATTTTCAAACGATAAAGCCATAAGTTGTCAGGTATGCGGCATCACACCCATGTACACACATATATAAATATATCATACAGAGATCCCATTTGTTTGAACCATTTAGAGGGTATTATGCCATAATTCTCTCGTTCAATCCAATTCAATCCTATCATCCCATGAACAATCCCACAAAAAGAGACACATCATTCTATCAGCTATAAATTCTATCAGCTATACGGCCCTTCTTTTCCATCACCCCGGCACCCAAAACACCCTGCCGCGCTGCTGGAACCGAAGCGAGGCAGTAACGACAAGTTGATCGGTGCCAAGGCCATCGCCAGCTTTTTGATGTTCGCCACCTCTTCGGGCGTTTTGTGCCGCGCTGAAACTCGCGGTGAGGAGAGGTGGTTGGAGAAACATGGGAATTTCAGGAGATGGAAATATAGTGCAAGTTATGATAAATACTGAAGAATCACATAGGTAAGGCTCCCCTTGCAAACAAATCTCTAAGTTGATGCAATTTGGGTGAATTCTGTCGGGTTCACAGGGGATATGGCTAAAGTTTTCATGGGGTTTATCAATTTGGGGTGCCTCTCCTTGTAGAACATATCAAGCAAGTCATGGTTCCTCATGGAAATCGCTTCTTCATCTTGGATGTTTTGTTTGTTGGGATTAAAATGATTAACCCTACCAACCGTACCAACCTGCTTGTAAATGAATGCAAAGATATGGCACTGTAGATATATGATGTAAAATATAAGACTCAAAACTCTGAACAACAAAGCAAAATTTATGGACCTGCTTGGTATCACTAAGTGACTTAAGCAATATCGAAATGGATACCAAAATCTGACTCATCTGCAATTTTCATGAGGATTTGCCATCTACCCCAGGTTCGCGATCTTTCTGAACACTGCTGGTGGAGCATGGGACAACGCCAAGAAATACATCGAACAAGGCTGGCAGTGGAAAAGCGCGATTGCATTTATGGCAATTTGTTACACTTTGCGAACTGGACAATCATTTTTTTTACGTTTAAATCATCAGGAAAGTGGCCATGCTCAATATATATATATGTTAAATGACCGGAGGGTAATTTTTGAGAACCGTGGCAGTGGAAAACCCTTGAACAGTTTCTATTTTTTTATAATACGTCCATGATTATCAAGATGGGTGATCCCAGAACGAAGCATTCCAACCATTTACTGAATGCCTTCGATCATTCCAAGTAAACTAACAAACAGATGAATTTCTTATTGGACGTGTAGATTTTCGATCGCCACGTCTATTTGTGCTTCGCGCAAGATTCGGAAGTGCTTTAACTCCTGTGCGCCTAAAATCAGCCCTTGACACAGAGCCCTTCAAACACCAGCTGTGGGAAGTCTCAACAATGGTAGCAACTTCGCTGGCAGCAGCAGCAAATCATGTTGCAAATCCCTTTGCTTGTGGGTTTCCTGGAACATTTCCCTTAAACCAAACCAGTGATTGATGCCTGTATCATTTTACATCCTCCAAATTCCCGTGGAACAACGCCACTCCAGTCGCATCCGCGACTGGCGAGGTGTTCACGGAGGAAAAGGTAGCGCCGCCCACAAGGCAGCAGTGACTGGAGATACAGTGGGTGATCCGAGACTCGGTGGAGCGCTGGATGATCGGAGGATTCCGAGGTGGTTTTCCCGTGAAAGCTAAGTAACTGGGTGAACTGTTGTGTTTGTGAGGAAAATTATGAGGGGATGCATTAAACTACATTACCCTCTGGTAAACTAACATAGCTATTGAAAATGACCATTTGTAGTGGATTTACCCATTAACAATTGTGATTTTCCATAGTTACGTTAGTTTACCAGAGGGTAAACCAACACACACAACTAGGGGCACAACCTACCTCAAAATGAGGTACGGCCGGCCATCTATTTTTTGGAACATTTTGCAATTGGGTACGCCATGTTTAGAGAAAACAAACTATATCCTGTAGTTGCTGACCGCATGGCTCCTAACCTTGAAAAGCAAGGATGTGTCATTACTTGCGATTACTTGTGGGTATCCAACTGTCAGTTTAGGTTTTTAGGGCCTTTTGTGTTGTGTCGATATGGTGGTGTTCTTTTATTCTTGATGGAGGTTTCCAATCCACGGGTACGGTACCCCAAAACATGACTAAAGCCATCTTGTTGCCATCTCCTTGCCGGCTTCAGCCCCAGTCCAGGCCGCAGCCCCGTGATGGCTGACTGGTTCACCTTTTTTCATCCATGGCCCACCTCCCTAGATATGTTTAGTGGTTTTCATAATATTTATATATATATATATATATTGATATTATATGTGTGTGTGTGTGCTTGTAGTGAATGATGTGAGGTTTATAAGCCCCACCAATATGAAATATTTATTGTGAACTATAGCTCTTGGAGTTATAAACGCACCACCAAAAGGCTATCCTTTGGGGGCCCCACTTTGAATTTCGCAACCATTTTCAGGTCCGGTAGCTTTTCCCTTGAACAATAGCAGTTCCAACCAGCGTGGTGGGCCAAACAGCTGCTCCTTAGCAACGCCTCACATGGCGTTGCTGGTCTCTGTATGTTACTGTGATATAGAAAGATCTGGGGTCTCTGCTGGAGTGAGGCTAAGTGAGTGTGTCCCGAATTTCCTGCACAGTTCCTCAAAACATTTCCAAACTACAGGTGAATCATAGCCAGATGATAAATTGGTCATATTGTCATTTTTAATACCCAATTTTCCGACACCTTGCAACTGGGACGTTGGGAGCAGCCATGATCTGTTTGGCACCAAGGAGCAAAGACACAGCAGGGCCATCCTTACACGTTGCTTGGCCTTGGCACATGACTTTCGGATGGAAAACATCCAGAAATGTACCTGGACCTGGAGCCTTCCTTTGTGCCCTTAAAGGTTGCGTTTTATCCCATAATTATTCTAGCACTTTTACAATTTGTTGGCGGTATTTGCAGGCTCTGGGTAGATGGATGGGGACTTTCCATTGCCCACAGGGTAAGTGTGCTGTGAAGCTAAGATCGTGCAGTATGTTGAATAAACAACGGTGAACGAAAAACTAAACGCATGAAACACAAAAAACCTGGGCGAACCATGCACCACACTTTCAGATGTCGCCAAAAGTACAGGTTGTTCCTGTTGTTCATCATTTTGGGTGTCGCAAAGTACCCCATTCCTCCACTGGTTGATCATTCTCTCCCCCCATTTCAGACCCAGTCCTGCTTTCCTGATTTCAGAGGTCTTGATCAAGCTGCTTTCGACCATCACATTGGTTTGTTCCCCACTCTTTGTGGCGAACTGACCGGTGGCCAGTTGACCGCGACCATCCCGCAGTCGGCGGAAAAAAAAAATGTTCCATGATGTTCCACAGCTCTTTGGATGCCCTTTTGGAAATGTGGAATTCATCTCCTTGCCGACCACTAAACTTACCAGAGGATTACTTACCAGAGGGTAATTACCATATCATATACCATTAACATCCATTAACAATATATACACAACTTACCATAGACTTTACCTTGGATATGTCTGCTGCTTCGTATTTCCGCTTGGGCCCAATCTTGGGTCGTCCTGCAGCATCCTCATGGCTAGCCATTGGAGTTCGATGATATTTACATTTACATCATATTTCCAGGTTTCCAAGGTATGTTCTTTGTGGGGGTCGCTCTATATAATGATATAAGGCGGGACAGGCGGGGTCATTTTTTTTTCTAAACACAATCATAAACCTACCATTAGGTGGAAAATATGGGGAAACCCAATAATAAACCTACCATTATTTATATACCATTTGGGGATGGTTTCTACCACCAATTTATGCTGATGACTTGGGCTCACCAGGCCAGGGTTGCATCGCGCGCCCTCCGGGAGGAGATGAAGGCGGGACGACTTTCTCGGTGCTTTCGGGCACTACATTACTACATTGCTATACATTGCTGCTAAGCCTCCAACTTTCCGATTGTTTTGAAGTTGAAATCACTGGAAAATATCCAACAAAATCCGCACCCATCAACAAATCTTCATGGTTTCCTAGTCAAATAACGTGTATATATATGTATATGTATATATATATATATATATTATATATATATACATATGCACTTCAATTATTTCCTGTTAAATCCCTCCAGGAACAGTTTTTTTTTAAACTATTGTCATCAATGGTTCAACACCTGAAGCCATCCGTTACTCCGCAGTATTCCGATCAAACAACTCATTTTTTTTTGTAGACATAATTGCTCTGTTCAGCCACAGCCATATCACAGGGCGAATTGATGTGAATTGCAGTTATATCATGTTATATCCCCTTCATATCACCGCTAGATACAATATTTAGATGGGGAATGCCCCCCCTAAACAATGATCAAGAGAAATGATGGTCGAAAGACGTAGATGGATGGTTAAATCATGTTGAATTACTCTAGTCTTAAAATGTCTTAAGCACATAACCAAAGTTATTATTAAGATTTTATCTTGGTTGATTGAGGTGATTTAACATCGATAATGTGTTGATCATCACGTGCCTTTTTGTCAATCATAGGGGGCTATCCCAACATAATGGATGGCCGTAATTGAGCTGGTAATTCCTATCAAATCCATGAAAAATCCCCATGTTAAAAAAAAAAAAACAGACAGTTCCGACAGTTGGTTGATGATTGCTATCAGTTCATGGGGAAATCATATAGAGATATCGGTTCCCAGGTTCCCAGCAATGCCTGGCAGGTTCCGCAGGTGCCACCTCCACCAGTGATGGAGGTGCCGCCGGAGTCTTGGCGTTTTATCCCCGAAAATGTTAAGGGATAACATGGGATGTCACAACCGGTTGGTAAAGGTAAGTATGGTTATGTCAAAGACCCTAGAATTAGAACTCACATATATATCCAAATTCTATGAAATTCCGATCCCTAATGTTTGGTAATGAATGTAGCATTTCTATATTTTTTAGGGGCATGAGAAGTTGCCCAAAAAGACGAGTACCAACTTGAAAAAAACACAGTGAGAGCATACTGCGTATGGCGTATGGTTTAAAAGAATATAGGTAATAATATACAAATAACTAACATCAAATAACTATATCTGGTTGGTGGTTTGGAAAATTGTTTATTTTCCATAATATATGGGATAATCCTTCCCATTGACTAATATCTTTCAATATGGTTAAAACCACCAACCAGATATATACACACCGAAATCAAGCTTCAACAGGCGGTTGGACACATCGTACCTGAAACCTCATGCTGACTGGAGCAGCGGCAATCTACCCAGATTGCCGCTTCCTGGGGGTTCGCGTGTGGCATTGGTTGCTATCCGGCCAAGAATCATATCACCGAAATGAAAACCATAGATCATAGACATATATGGAATCCATTGGAATCCGATTGGAATCTCATGGGCCTAGGAAACTCTAATCTTTACATCAATGAGGTGTCGTTTCCCCAAAAACGTGTGGGTTTCTTGACCCATTTGGGAGCGAATGTTCGGATGGGGTGAAAGTATCAAGCCCCTGCATGGCTTGGGGATCCCCAAAGTTTCCCTCCAATGATGGGAAGATTGTAACGACCTCACTGTAACCTCACAGGAATGATGGTTAGGATGCGGGGAACTGTTCCGAATCGAATATATTCAGAATGATGGGAACATGATTTTCCAGAAGGATGTCAATTGCGGGACAACACAAGTCTCCCACCCCAAAATGCCACTGTTTTTCTGTATTGGCAAACTATCATATGACCTTTTTTTTTTGCGGATTTCATCAGGATGGGATTTCGCATCTGAGGAACTGCCAGGGCTGCCAGAGGAATTGCCCTCGCCAAAAGGAGGCCGGACGGCAGATGCGGCTCCGCTCCTAGGCTTGAAAAACTGCTTCAGGGGCAGATTTGGGACCTGTGTGTGTGTGTTTGTTTTACCCTTTGGAAACTGCGCTTAACTGCGCTAATCATAGCTATCGGTTAAAATGGCCCAATTTTAGATCGATGATCTGTGAAACCATGGTGATACATCATCCATTTGGAAAATGTTGATCATCTCACGACGCAAAGTCACTGGAATGATCGTTAGTGAGGGAAAGTGTCGCGAAATAGCTGTATTTCAACTTGGTGATCTATTTTTTTCTTATATTTTTTCTTATATTATAATATGTATAATATGTATAGTTACATCCCCATTATATCCCATATATCCTCAGTATATCTCGATTTTCGGTTGGTTAAACGGTTAAACCATGTCAAACCTATTCAACCCGACTAAGCCCGAACCCGTCCAGATGTTTGGGTTGTTTGGGTGCAGCGGTTGGAGTTTAGCGCCAGGGAATGTACCTGGGAGTCGTAGCGACCTCATTGCGACGCGAAAAGTTATGATTGACATGCTCAATGGATTGAATTAAGGGACAATCTGGAGGAAACCATGTTTCTGCCATGGGAAGATATTATAGATACATATAACATATATATAATATATATATATATATATACATACATATAATATATATATAATATATATTTGCATACAGACATATATATGTATATATAATATACACAACCTAATATATATATATATATGTCTGTGTAGGGGGTGGGGAATCATCCCAAAAGGGCCGCAAGTTTCAGGTTAGAGACTTTTTTTTTGCCCAGATGATTATCATGATTCGCCCTCATAAAACCAGGTCATTTCATTTGTCCATCCCGGCCCAGGCTGACAAGCATTTCCTGCTCGGTGGAATCGATGAAACATATCATGGAGGTACCAGGCCGCCTGGTGAAATTTCGTTCGACGTGACGTTGGCCTCCCTTTTTAAAGGGCTCCGCAAATGGAAGCAATCACGTTCAAGTCTTTCTTCACTTTTTGTTTGTTGTTAATTGGAAACTATGTTTTCGTAAGTTGAATGTGAAATATGGTAAGTAGCATGTAGATTAACCGGTTTGTGATGGCAAAAAAGTAAACAAAGTGGGAAATGAACAAATCATAATAATGCAACAGATGTAAATATATATATATTTACATATATATATATATTTACATATATACATACATATATCTCTCTGCGCATGTACGTTTTATGTACGCATTGCATGTGTATATATATATATAGATATATCGGGTATATATATATAGATATATATACACGACACGACATGTTTATTTTTCATCCTGTAGCTATATAAAGGTATATTTTTATTTTACACACCAGTACACGCTGAATAATTATGCAACAGATGCCGAAACCTTGTATGCACGTGAACACTGGGCTGGACTATATATATATACATATTTATATATTTACAGATTTACATATATACATATATGCATATATACATATATACATATACACATATATACACATATATATGTATTTATATTTATATTCACATACATATTCAGATATATACATATTTATAAATACTAATATATACATATATATACACACATATACATATTTACATGAATACATTTATACATATATACATATACACATATATACATATACACATATATGTACATATATCCATATATACATATATACATTATTTTCATTATATGCATATAGCATAATATGCATAATGTACATTATATACTATTTTATACGTACATACATTTATACATATTTACATATATACATATATACATATATACATATATAAATATATGCATATATAAATATATACATATATACATATATACATATATTCATATATACATATATGTATACATACACCCACTTCAAAACTCACAGACGTTCAAACTTTAGGTACATCAAGGCTCAAAGATCTTGTATTTGCGCCAGGTATCCAATATTAACCCAATGAATGATTAGGATCCATACTTTGAAACGAGGTGAGGATAAAATTCATGAGATGTGCCCGACTGAAGCAGTAACTTCAGTTGGATCATTCTGCATGCGCATCCAGTCTGTGCCTTAAGTTTTAAGCAAACATTCCCTTGTTCGTTACTTGTTGGCGGTGTGATATCTATGACTGTTATACTTTTTTTTGCATTTCTGGTGGTCATAAGAAGCACCCTATAGACATAGATGAAATGCGATAAAATAAAGTCATGCTAAACAATATTGGGAGAGAACCTGTTCCATTTATTTGGGTCTTGCAGCTGCCGGTTTTCCACAAACCATTTCGTCCCAGCCCAATGCCAGCCGCCAGGCACGTTGCCGAATCCTGCCGTGAGTGAGGACTGACAAAAGTCATGAGTCGATGTGGGCCGGTTCCGGAGGCAAACCCCAACGAATGTGGTAATTTATGAAGAGTATCAGAAGAAATACTCTAAGTTTCCAAAAAATATTTTATTGGCAGGACAGGTTTGATCCACATCAGGCTCTTTGATCGTTCTGCTTGGTGTTACCATAGGGTAACCACATGGTGAATGGGGACCACGTGACACACATCTTGTGTGACCAGCAACTGGGGCAGCTCGAGTTCCTGGGTAAAGTCAGTGCTCAGAGCTTCTTCGAAGAAAGACCCAGGTCACCTCTGATGAATGTGGCTGAATGGTAAATTTTTGCCGATATGATATATGCGAACCATTGATATCAGTGGCTTGGTGCTGGTATAGTCGAAATTAGTCAAACAGGAAACCCAGCGGTTTTGTGCAAGATGGTGATGACAAGAGGTGAAATGCTGCATTCCGTGCTCCCAATCTTCACCTGAGTTTTTTTGTGGCAGCATCTTCCAACAATCTGAGAGCTGACCTATTGTCAATCCATGTCACAGAAAAAATGCATGTCCGAGAATACATCGGTCGTTTGTTTCTGGTTGGCGGAAACTGATTTTCTCAGTTTCCATCCTACATGGGGAGATGATTCGGATTGACTCGCGCTTGGATGGATTGACACCCCTAGCCCCCGGACTTTTAATGAATTTCAACCATGATCAACTTTCAAAGTAAAATTTGAGACCCCAACCAGTTTTTCACTTTTCAGACCTGAAAAGAATATGTTTTTTCGAAGCACATTGGAAGAAGGCCAAGAACCAGGCGGGCCCGCGTACGTCGAATCCGGGCGTTAGCGGGTCGGCCGTCGCGTTGAAACCCTGGAGCTGCCAGTGGCCACGTCCATTTGGCTCTCGAATGAAGGGACGGGACGCCAACCCTGGATCCTGAAAAGAGATAAGAAAAACCCGGTTAACAAAGTTAAGGAACATGGATGAACATGGCCCATTTATGGATAAACATGATGATTTAACATGATTATTTATGTACATATATATATACATATTATATATTTATATGCCATTGAAAATGGTGATTGTTCATAGCTATGTTAAATAATCAGAGGTAGCATTATGAAACCGTGAAAAATCAGGATTGAAACATATTGAAGTAACAAACATGGGAATATAAAGAGGACGTATGCAGGATGGTGACCTGAGAGTGCACCAGGTTCCTGACCACAATATATTCAGTTGGGTTGTGACGCTGCAGTTTTCTCAGGTTTTTGTTGCTAAGATGATCTAAGATGAATCTGAGATTTTGAGGAAGGCAGGTCTTCCATCATATCTTTTCAAGTCGAGATTGGCCTGCATTGTATAGTAGTAGAGAGGAAAATATGGCCCAGAGCGACCTTAGACCTGCGCCCTCGGAGTTGAATATTTACAACCCTCCGGTGATCAAACATGGCAATGGAAAGTCCCCGATTTATAGACGATTATTGCATTCAAACCATTTCAAACCTCTATTTAAAAGGGGCTTTTCGATTGCCACCTTTGAGTACCGGAGGGGATACACTGCTTGTGGTGTTTTTTCACCCAGTTGATAATTGCGGATGATTCAAGTGCGGTTTTGGGGTCCGGCCCCAGCATCGAAAAGCGGTTCCTTCGCGGGTCGCGACATGGAGAAGCGCCTTCGCTCACTGAAAAGATGTTGAGAGCGCTCCCCGAACTTAAGCGATGCAATTCTGAGGTCAGCAGACGGTCAGAATCTTTCAAGACTATATACTATATACTATATACGCCCTGTTCCAGGTGTGTTTTTCGCCCTGCATACAATTTATTTTATAGTTACATGCAATCTTAGCATCCAAGCCCTACAAAATTCACGATTTTGAAGGATAACCTGGGTTGACCCGTGACACAGACCAAAACCACTGGTTTCGATGTTATATTAAGAATCCTGCAGGCACGACAAAATATGCAGATGGACCTTTGATTCCCGTGTCAACCAGTGATTGGGAAAGCCTGGAGAACGAAGGAAGAAACATGAGATATTCGTTCTCCATGGGTTTCCCAATATGATGGAAATCCATGAAAAATATTGGAAAAACGAAGAAAGCCTGGGAAATTCATGGATTTGAAAAATCACAACTTTTAATCAGATCAACCCAGCTAGAGGAAGCAAGTACAAGATATGTCCTAATACAATCATCATTACTCTCTACATTCTTTACTTACAAAGAACAATATGAACAATCGTCAATTATCATCAACTGTCATCACAAGCTCTCGTCCCCTATTTTTGGTTCATTTTGGAAGTAAATTCCTAGTTTGAGAAGTAAAAAACAGTTTGAGAAGTAAAAACCCGAGTTTTAAAAGTAAGAAGAGCCCTAGTTTGAGAAGTAACAACCCTAGTTTTAGAAGTAAAAACCCTATAGGTTGGTACGATTTCCCTTAGACCAATGCAGTAAATCCCCATAAATGGTTTGGTTGAATCACGTGACAAGTCACTGGAGAACATCCTCATTAAACCATACAGTTATGGCCCGAAATACCAGTTATGGCCGTCAGTGAAATAGTATTAATAGCCCCATCCAAATGATTTATGGATATTTATAGCCCGGAAAAAAGCCATTTAAAACCATTTGTAATTATATTTATCATTGGTAAAGGACCTCAACTGTAGTAGATTCAAATAGCTTGACATTTGACCACAGAATTGGCCGCCAGCTCAACATTGTGGGGATGTCGAGCGGCGAGCGGAAAGCGACCTCTTTTTGAGATTCGTAGCTTTGGGCGGTGCAAGGCTCACAGTCTCACAGAGTCGGAAATGTTGGAAGATCTGGTTCAAAGCATGGTGAAATTGGCCTTATGGATTTAAACATATATATATATATTATATATATAAACGATACATGGCAAGTACATGAAGGTACGGAATATGGATTTAAAAGTGATTTAAATGATGGAAAATAGCGCCCATAGTTATGAAATGGCGATATCATTATTTAAAACAATTGAACATGATGGATTTGACAGCCAGGCACAGGGCTAGACCCAGATTTGTACTGGGGGGATTGATGGCCAATATGTTTGGGATTGGCCTAGAAATCAGTGAAAATCTGGAATTGTAACAGCAAAAAAGGACATTTTAACCAAGCAACACGCGGATAACGGAACTATGGATGAATTAGAGTGACGTCTCCAGCAAAGCTCAGCATTCATGATGGACAGTATATAGGACTCATCCCAAAATTGGTTTCACAGATGAAATGCATGGAGCACACCACAAATAGCTGTGGAAAATCTGTTGCAGCTAGGTCAAATGCAGCAATATTCAACACTGTTGGGTATATACTGAGGCCTTGCGTGTCATTAAGCTAGCCACTCAGGATCTAAGAGTGGTCTCATGGCATTCGTGCCCCTTGCCACCTGTCCCTAATAATGCTGTGCGGAAATGTGATTTCACATATTTCACGTTGCCGCAGACTTTCATGATGTGTCGAGAAAAAAGTGGTTTAGCTGTGGGGCGCGTTTCATCCTATAGAATTATGAATTGGTTTAAGGGACGTTTTACCAAACCCTAAGATTTGAAAGTAAAGACCATGGTTTCCCCCATGT